TTATCATGCATGGATTTTTTTAAGCTTCAAAACTAACACCATAGTAATTTGTACTCCGATTAAGGTAGTTTAGTAGAAAATGTGAATTTATATTAGATTGTAAAGGAAATTGTTGGCACACAGAGCTATGTCAGCCATTAATTAATAAAAATATACTCGAGTTAATTCAATGTTCATAATTTACAGTCAATATAATGATGATTCATGTAATGCACGATGCCGATGATATTGATTATTAACTTAAATTTTTGGATAATGACGAACAAGGACGCTCTAGTTTTTTGTATTTAGGTATCGAATTATACGATGAATCATGAACAAGCATGTATCCGTTCTTCTAACGATTTTCAAGGTGTAATTATAGTTTATATAACAATACGAATAGACAAGAGTTCTCATTTAATCATTCAAACATTTAATTTAGATTTGTTATTTTTGCTTCATTGCTCAAATTGAAATATAATTACTTGCGCTTTATCCCTCAACAGATATTATTAGTCATTGATGCATGTGTTAATTCTACATGATGATAACTGAATAAGACTGATACTGAGTACATTAAGCTTGATAACAAGAAAACCTGATTTTATCTGCTATCGAATACAAATGCTCGAAGACATCGGTATTTCTGTAATTTATATAACTTTACACAAAACGTTTCGAAACATAACACATATAAAATAACATCAATCATATTTATATCGTTACAGTCGCCGAACATAATGATAACTATGAAATATTTACTACTTAGAAAAATCGTTTTATCAATTTATATAATCATACAAATGGTTGCTTTTCTATCCAGGAGATTTCTGTTGACGATAAAGTTATTGTACTGGATATCAGAAGAAGAAAAAAGCATAACATCAAATTAACTGAAATTTCCTGCGCGATTATTGTATCGCTTTCTAAAATGAAATTATTTCTCGATTGAATTCTAGTTTGTATAAAATAATTTTCAAACATGCGATCCAATGAATTTTTTATGCGAAATTTATTTTCTATCATGACTCAGTTCTAAAAAAAGAACATCCTCCATGGCATGTACGCAATAGACACAAAGAAATTTTATTTTCTGTTTAATTTATTTCTAATAGAATTTCCTTTTACAAAAAAAAAAAAAACTGATCGATCTTGACAAATCAAATCTTATATAGCGATGAATTTGCATGTTTTGCAATCGACTAAAACTGATTGACATGATGTTTCTCGTTTAAATGGTAACATGAGTACGAAAGAAAAAAAATTATGTTTATTTGATTGTTGATTATTGAAAAATTAATACAAAATTTTCATAAGATATGACATTATCGAGATACTCTATTCAAGGACGCCATAAATATTCTCCTATTGCAATTTATCAGATCAGAAGAGCCATCCATTTAAAATATTATCTGTTTAGTAGCAAGAAACAAATGACATTTTTTCGATAAATAATATTCCACCTTGATCATATGCATATGTGTATGTTTATTATACATATCTTTTTTCTTTCTTTCTTTCTCCTGCCTTTATAGCCTCTAGACATCAAGATTAGATATTAAAAGGTTCTAAATCGATATGTTACCCTAGATATTTTCAATACAATTTTTTCTCTCTCTCTCTCTCTCGTCAATACCATTGCATGTCTATTAATTAGTAATAGGTGCGCCACTTGATCTAGGAACTATGAAGTGAAATATATTGAAGCGTGTGCGATTGATATAACATACCGTGTTATAATCAATGTTATTGAAGCTTCCTTTTCTTTTCGTTGATATACGACAGAAATTGCTAGATAGAATATTACACAGACGTACTGGCCTTCTTCTTACAACTATGACAATTACTATCATCAAGGCTAATTTCCTATGTATTTGATGTTTACTTTCTTTTGATTTCCTTCGTGCCTATTTTTTGTCTTTTTTCTTATTATTATTGAAGAATAGAGATAGATAGATAGAGAGAAGTATAGAGGGACTTGTGTACATAGGATATTCATAGCTCAAGTTAGTCAGTCCAGTTATAAGATGATGAAAGTGGCTAATCCTAATTCAACAGTCGATTGTACATATTATTCTTCGAATACAGCTTCTCATAAGTGTCTATCCGTCTAAAGCATTTGTTGTCCAACTGATTAATGTAGAGAAAAAGAAAATTTAGGAGACTTGTCCGATCGGTTAGCTAGCATGCACAAACAACAAGAGAGAATTGTGTGTATGCACCCTATAGACTCATTTGCATATGGGTCACATAGAGGCCGTAATCGTATAATTAGTTTATGTAGTCAGCATATACATATGAATATATAGACTCATTGATTCCTATTTGCATGGAACATCAATTTGGAGAATAGAATTAGGTGAGAACATTGTCTCATGTGTGTATTTAGATAGACATTGATTGAAAAATAACGACTAACAGTCGTTATCGTAACTACTAGTTCATATCTGTTTTGTTTCTGTGGCAGTTGCTAGTCATAGACAAAAGGTAAAATTGAATGACACAATTTGTATTTCTTTCTCGTCCCATATTGTATAGAAATTGCGTGGTGTTTGTCCCAGCTTGTTCTTTTCTCTCTCGCTCTTTTTTTGTGTAGTTCTCTTTAGGCAATGTAAAGCAAAAAAAGACAGAAAGAATAGAATGGCGATCATCACACATCATATTTGATGTCACCATAAAGGCGTGTACGAGAGTACTCTCGATTTTTTTCTCGACAAGTTTGTATTGTCCGTTCTTATTCATTACTATTCAACTCGTATAGTTATTTTTTTGTGTGCTTGACATCCGAGCGCGAGAGCGAGAGATAGAGGGGAAAAAAGTCTTATCATTTTGTATACATTCTCGATTGCCCATTGCTAATGCAAGGCCATCGCATCGTATTCCCGTTGGCCAGCTATTGATGGATTCATTTTTTTTATCGAAGGAGCAAATTACTCGTAACCGACCAACGCTAGTAATATAAAGATGTATGCAGATTTTTTTATAAATTTTTTTTGCTTTCTTTTTGATTGAAGATCAATCATTTATCGTTGATCAATAAAGAATAAAATGCATTGTTATTACTAGTTCTATATATTTTACTAATAATGGGTGAGTGTCCGAGGCAGAACTAGAAGAGTCACTCGAAGAAGAACAAAAGACAACCGCCACATACTTGGGTTGTAATTTATCTATGAATTATGCTCACTGGCGATCTTTTTTTTTCTTCTTCTTCTTCTTCTTCTTCTTCTCCTCATAGTAAAACAAAACAGACATCTCTATATACATATATTCACAAGAATCTGTCATCTGGTCGCATTGTCATGTTATGAAATTGATGAATATAGGGCAAGCGTCATAATAGGGACGAGACGTAGTAAACTATCTTTTCTGTTATATGCATGGTGATCTCTTCTTTTTCCTTACATATATATATATATATATAGAAGATGACCGCTTGATATGCATGCATGTAAGAATGCAAGCTCTCCCTCTCGCCCATGCTTACATCATCATCATATTGCTTCACTATGAAGGGTAGTGTTCTGCTGTCATTATCGGCGCCTTTCGGGGACATGCTCCTTATTCATTTTCGTTCCTTCACTCAAATATCTATCTATATACATAGTCGAGAAGAGTTTGCGCCTATATATCGTGACAAAATATGATTGATCTCTACGTGCATATAAACATTTAACATAAGGTGTATATGTTTGTATAGTATATATTTGTATTTACATATATATATAAATATACAATCGAATACAACAGTGATATAGTCTTCGTTGTTGCCAGTAGTTATTGATAGTATGGCACATGTTTCTTGTACTATTGATACTTTTATTAATAATCATATTCTTTTCTTTCATCAGTTGAATAATGAACCATAAATGACTATTTTACCCCATTAGATTTCATACTCTAATATATACATGCATATTTCATGTGTGAAATAGTGCGTATGCTCTTGGGTTTTTTTCTTGCGTACGTTGAAAGTGAAGTTAAAAAGGAGAAATCTAATCACCCTGTTTCGTTTCGTTTCTTTACTTTTTCTTTTTCTTTTTCTTCTTCTTTTCAGGGACAACATGAAATGAACAAAAGAAAAAGAAAAAGTACTCGAATTAGCACAACATAGATTCTTGATCGTTAATCCTCTCGTAAATTTTATCAAAGTTCATTGTCGTGTATATTAATTCATTCGGACGCTCAAGGTTCTACCTATCAAAATGTCAATCCTCATTTATCTCAGTGGTGACTGATCGTATACATACGTATGTAGACGGCGAGACAAATCTGTTCCTTCTTTTTGTCTTCTTGTTTCTATTACATTGTTATTGTTATTACTTCTGATGCTGAGTCTATTCCGAAGTGTGATCTATTGTCTTATTCACATAAGGGCTCAAAAGGTTAATAGGAATGTGGCTTCATGCAATGGCAATAATTGTTCATTATTATTAGTCTCACTTCTCTCTCTCTCTCTCTTTCGTTGCTTTCGATTGCTGATTATACGATTAATGATAGTCCTATACGACTGATGACCTTTTTAATGTCCAAATGGCTACTGAGAATGTTTTATTACTGCCAACTAATACACATTTACAGTCTATTAGCACATCTTTTCAACTATCTAGCTATAGAACTATATCGATATCGATCAACCTTGAACGAAGGTTGCCGCCCGTCGTGCTATTGTTTTCACACATATTCTTCTTTTTTTCCCTGTATCTCTGCATGTTTTAGTTATTTTCTTTGTTAGAAAATTTAGTTACATAGAGACAATTGTTACGTCATATTAATGACCATTTCAGTAACATTCAGATCCATGCATCAATCGATCTTGTTTTATCATTACATGCATTTGTACATACTGTATAGTTATATTGCTCCTAGTAATAATAATGACATCATCATAATGATCATCATCTTCGACGTTTTTCTTTTCTTCTTCTTTTGTGCTCCTCATCAATATTAATGCCAAACAAATTTACGCACTTGTTTGACCATAACTTTCCCCATTTGCTATTATTCTTAGTTCTATTATGTTTGCAGGTGATGATATGTCGACTGTTTGTTGTTTAACTATACCATCAAGTCATTATTCATTGATATCGCCATCATCACGATTCAATTCTACTGATGTAGTAAACGAACAAAATAGAAGAATAGAAACTACAGAAGAAAATTATAGTGTCATTGCAAATCAACATTTATCACCAATGATATATTCAAATAATTTACCGATTTCGACTCGAGCTTTACAACAACAGCAACAACATCCATTACTTCTTGTTGCCGAAGAAGCAGAAGTATTCGATATTGAGAATCAAACTGATAATGATAAACTTCTTCTACCTCGTTCAACACGTTCACTTAAACGACGTTCAAGTCTATTTGAAAAAAGTCGAGATTGGGTAATGTCTAAAACATTTCTGTATAAAGAAGATTTCCATATATATATATATATGTATCTAGGCACGGCGTCTTATAACACTTCATCGAATTCGTCGAAATGCAATATCAAATGAAAAAATTCGTGAATCTTGCTTTGAATTCGACAAAAAGAATTCGATTAGAAAAAATTCCTACCATGGTTCATTATATAATTATCCGAAAAATTTCGACGAAGACGGTTATTTATCGCCAATGGAAATTCAAGCTAAAGTAAAAATTATTCAAAAATATATAAAATTACAATCATACATATTTCTATCAATATATTTAGTTGGATAATATTTCTAAAGAAAATAAATTGTCCTATTCGAAATCTTCAACAAAACTTTCTGAACAACAACAATTACTCGTTTACTCTCAAAGTGGTTCTGATTTGCCACAATCTATCTATCGTTGTCATGGTCCAATCTTACAAAAACCCATACCACAATGTACATGTCAACCGCGGTTGCCGTCGAAACCGTTACTTTCCGAATTTCATAAATCGCTGTCAATCGTTGATTATATCGATTTCGATGTACCTGATTCATCAACGAAACAAGACGAAAGTAACGAGAACGACGATGATCCACTTTGCTGTTTAAAATATTTATTTAATGAAAATACTACAAAAGAAATAGAACAAAATGGTAATTTTATTCGTCGCACACCACGTCGCTCAACAAATACATCATCAATATCAGCTGATTCAGGTTATTGTGATATACCAACAACAACATCATCATCATCATCATCATCATCATCATCATCATCATCAAAATTGATACCTGTACATTTAGTATCATGTAGATTAATACCGGTGAATGTTACACGAACAAAATCAATGGATATACATTGTATAACATGTACATGTCCGACATCGTCGCAATATTTTTCTAATAAAACTGCACGTCACCGACGAAAATCTTCTGCTCATTCACATCTAACTTATTCTAGACAACACATGGATATAATTGAGAATGAGATAAATAATTGTTGTTCATGCAATAATAAGTATTATTCTACAATGACAATATGTCCAGCATTATCTGTGTCTTCATCGATGGGAACTAAATCCACAACAAAGATTGATGGCAATCATAAAGATGATTATTATCATAAACAACAGAAAAAACATTTTAGAAAAAAACGAGCAAGCCTTTTAAAGTTTGTTGATTTATAGACGAAAGAAAAAAAAAACGACATATCATTTTCCTTTCTATTATCTTTAGGCTTCCACTAGTAAATGATGATTTAACACCTGTATCACGTTGGTATAAACCATATCTTGAAAGGTAATAAGAGGAATTCTCTTTTTTTTTTCTTTGTTCTTCTTATAATATATCTTTATTATAGAGAAGCGGTATGTCAGGCTCTCCAATCGGCTGATTATGGTGCATTTATTTTACGTAATAGTACAACACATTCAGATTGTTATGCTCTATCTGTTAAAGTACCAAAATTTACTCATGACTCAAATATTGCTCATTATCTCATTGAAAGATTTGTTCAAAATGATACTCCTAGTTATCGAATTAAAGGAACAATAAAGCAATTTCCAACACTTCTTTCCCTATTAACACATCATTCAGTTATGCCAGAAATTTTACCAATAACACTTAATCTTAATGAAATACTTTCGATTTGATAGTCATATTTCATATATTTATATTTATGCTTAGAGACAGTGAATTGAATATGTGCGCGCTCTCTTTTCTTTTTGTCTTGTTGTTTCTTTTATACACTGACAAATTTTCTGCTGTGTTTATTTGTGCTTTGAAAAAGAAAGAAAATAATTATTTATCTTGATGTAACTCGAATTTATTTTTCAATGAATCAGCAATTTAGATATTAAATTATTTACAGGAACGTAATACGGAATACGACTAGAATTATGATGCATATCGTATTGAATGACAGAAAACATTTAATATAATCGACATAGATTTATAGATAATCGAGTTATGTCAATTATAACATGATATGTTGAAACAAGATGGTTTCTTGTCGTGTTAGAAGGATATATTGTAAACCTAATGCCCTGTCCTTCACTAATGTTTAACTCAGATTTTGTCCCATGTTTAATACACAATTACACATAAAAATAAGTGTGCTTTTAATCTTTCATACAAAGTTCGGAAGTCGTGGTATTCAAAATATCCATCGAAGATTATCGTTTATTCACAGGAGAGAAATAGAAAAAGCAGCAACAACAAAATAAATAGAGATTATATTATAACACATTGACATTTTATCGAATAAAATGAAAAATCACATTTATTTTTATGAAATTGTTGCCATACGAAATTCGTGTTCTTGGTGATTTTGTCGATCTTCATTGGCAATGGTCATATTTTCTAAACTATCAGTGCATAAATCATATTCAGAATCACGCCGTAAAACGGAATCATTAATACAACGTGGATTCGTATTTCTCATTCGTTTTAATGATGTCCATTTTTCTAAAACGCGTTGACGACGATTAATACCAGTAGCTACCAGCAGAACCATAACTATTACTACACATGACAATGGTATTGCATAAGATAGAATGCGTGTCATGTCATTGTCGTCATTAGATAATGGATTATGTCCATTGGCTATCGTTGATGTGGTCAAATTTTGAATATCTTTGAATAAATTATTATCGATATACATCTTTTGTATTCACAAGACACAAGAGGAATATGTTTATATACTAAAAAACAAAAACAAAAAGAAGCGTTGCTTATGTCACATCGTTTGAGATATCTTCTTCGTTTTTATCTTGAATTTTTGACTTTTTCTTCTATTGTTTTGAAATGATGACACTAGCTGATAGATCGCCTAAGGTTACATTACACATGAGAAATTTTCTATGTTTCTAGCCTTGTCATGATGTTCTAAGCATTATTCTTTATCTTTATAAAATAAAACTTCAAATGTAAACAATAAATTTTTTTCGATGGTTTTGAAAATTCGCTAGATTTTATTTATTAACGAAATAAAGATCTTAAAATTTCTTATCACATTAACAAGATAATATGATCTTATGCCCCCTCACAATCACGTCATGATGATTATTTGATGATAATAGAACAAATACTTTGCACCTCCAATCAGAATATATTTTTATACTATCTCTCTAAGGTTAATAAAGGTTCACTATGCACTAACTTGACTGTATAAATTTATTTATCTAGGTCATGTTTAGAAAAACTGAAGTCGTTATGATTTTTTCGTGGTTAATATGTTATTGAAATGGAACTGCCGATAAAACATCAAGAGGCCAAAGTAGGAAAAATCATTTTTAATAATTTGCACTAATGAGGGCAGGTCTCCAAGTGGCGCCAACCATTCGGGTTCATATTATGCTCATAAGTAGGACCCAGTGAGACTAGAAAAAGTCCAAAAGATTTCGTGCCATTAGGCCTTTATTTCAAAGTTATAACCGTTTTACTAAATTTTCGTCATTCGACAAGGAATTTATAGAAAAACTGAATGAAGGAATTTCGAACTGAAATTTTTCCTAACAATAGGTTTTATTGATGTTAGAAGATTCCAAAAGTTTCAGTGAAAACGGATGCATCATTCTTGAGATATTGCATATTGATGAAAACTGCCATTTGCCAAAAGAATGTCGTAAAATTGGCTTCTCTTCAATATGCAATATCTCGAGAATGATGCATCGGTTTTCACTGAAATTTTTGGTACCTTCTATCATCGATGAGACCTATTGTTAGGCAAAAGTTCAGTTCGAAATTCCTTCATTCAGTTTTTCTGCAAATTCTTTGGCCAATGACGAAAATTTAGTAAAACGGTTATAACTTTGAAAGAAAGGCCTAATGGCACGAAATCTTTTGGACTTTTTCTAGTCTCACTGGGTCCTACTTATGAGCACAATATGAACCCAAATGGTTGGTATCACTTGGAGACCTTCCCTGGTAAGTTGTGCACCAGCGCATTAACATTTCCAGGTCGTTGCAATTTTATGAGTGTACTGTAAATCGTTTCTGTAATGTAATATACACAAAAATTTGCCCTTTTCGAACGATTCTACAATAGAACTTAAACTCTAAAATGCACTCATATGTAAATAAAAAACAATTATTAATAGTCTCTTCTGATTCAACAGTGCTCGGTCGAGATAAGAAATAAAAATATTTCTTTCCCCGTTTAAGTAGTTTTCCTTGAGGTTTCTATAATATGATTTTATATTCATTTGACTTTGTTAAATCAGATAAAACAAAAGGATTACCTATCAGTAGAGCATTAAATGAAATTTATTTAGAAATGCATTTTATTTGATCATGAATTTCTATGGTCAACTTAATCAAGTCTTTAGCATACGTCTCTCACAGCGTATTATTTACATATTTACATAGAAAAGCAGATATCTGATCAGCCAACTCTCGTATCCATTGAAATGAACCATGGCTTTTTCAGTACAGTTCTTTTTGGATATGATGAGATCATCAAGCTGAAATACGAAAGGAAATTATCTAAATTAATCTTTCTTGCTTGATATGAGGTATGCACATAGACACTTCTTGATTGATTCGACTGTCATAAAAAAAACTATTCTAATAGTCGATTTTTCAACACTATGGAATAAACATTGGTTTGTAGAAATTTCGTACGCTTTTCAAGAGCTCCATGTGAATTTTCTTTGCTTAAATATTTGATGCCTTGTAAATATGTCCACGACATCTGTCACGCTCAGAGATATTTCTGTGTCTGTTTCTTTTTCGACTGAAGTTTTCGAATAACCTGTAGTTTAATATACTTCTCTGCTTCGTGAATTTTTCTGTTAGAAAATCTTGCCAGATTCGATTCATAAAAAGTATTTAGATCATGTTCATCATCAAAGTTAGCCAGACGTGTATCAACCATAAACCGACACAACAGCTATCGGATATCATAAGAAACTTAATCTTGTGGTATATTTTTCAAAGACAGACAGCTTTCGTTTGCTCCGAAAAGTGACATCGTTTTCTTTTTATATTTGGTGGTTTACATAATCAAACAAGTCATAAAAGTAACTCTACCTTTTTCGATGACATTTCAAAATCTTTTTAAATTTATTTATTATCGACAAGCGCAATAGTAGTAAAACTTGTGTGTATACTTGAGAATTTCTAATAATAAATTTTTTTCGATAATTTCTTTTCCTATTGCAGCCGTTGACTCGTCCTTGTACATCAAGTCTTCACAATGTCGGATGTAAGTTTAAGTCAAAATCTTCTCAAATTAAAAAGAGCAAGGCAACCATAGACGTAAAATATTCTGTTTTATTTGTACTCTCATCGGCAGTGATGCTACTGAATGAATTCTGCGTGCATAGAATTAAATCGAACCAACAATGTCAATAGAATCAATTATTAAAATACTTCTAGTTCTTTTCAATGGTTCTTTTCTTCATCAATAAGAATCAAGAGAATTTAATCTTGATTTAACAAGCATTATCGTATTAATACAATGCAATAGCTAGCTATTCATTCAAAAGTACACTTATTTCACTTAAAGTTTTCAAATGTTATGAACTACATTAAAAACAATCTTCTACAGATCAAATTTCTTCATTTTTCGCTCTCAAGTACGCTGTACAATTTAATCTTCTTATTGAAAACATTCATCGTAAATTCTATGAAAAGAAACCTCAATAAGTTTTTTGATCATTTTAAAACATCGAATATTTAATAGACCATATATGATATTACGACCATAAAAAGAAAGAAAAATTTTGCATAAGTTTTATTTCTGTTTATAGAAATCATTAGCGAAGAAAATGAATCAATATTTCAAATATCTGTCAAACTAAAAAGAAAGCACGTCGATTTAATAATGCAGATATATGCATTTATCGGCATACATTTCATAGCATACAGATTAAAAATATGAAAAAAAAAGACTTTTTTTTTGTAAATCGAATTTATTTTTCAAAATTTTTTCTTTAAGCGATATTTTTCAAGTATGTTTTTTTGTCTATTTAAGAAAATATTTAGTTGAATCAAATCGATTATCCTTAGTTCGACTACTACAATGGACATCTATTTGAACGGTATCATTGTACAATGAATTAAAAAAAGACAAACTAAATCGTCCATTACGCATTTAATACCTTCGTGATTCTTTTTCATTGACAAAAGTTTCAATTTTCTTCTTTTCCTCCTATTTTTATCGTTCTATGTGCCTGAGTATGTTTTAACACTTCTTCCATTGCTATCGCGCTTTTTTCCTCCGTTTCTGCACGTGTCAAAAAAAATCTAACTTGAAAAAAGAATACAGAGAATCTTGCCGTTGTCGGCATAGCCAATACGTCCAAAATAAAGTTATACAACAAGAAAAAGCATAAAATGATCAATGCTGTTGACCTTTTAGTTCGCATCGATGATCTATGGTATGTAGTTCAATTTTTTTTTCGGACAGATAGCATGGAACGAATAGAAAATGATGGCAAGTTTTATTCAATTATCTCTGTTTGATCTCCGGTCTTTTTGCGTAATACAGATGGTATTCTTTTTTTTATGAGTGAAAAGGTGAATCAGATTTTTTTCTCTCAAACCAAATGTGAAGAATTTCATTACTCTTTTTCTTTTTCTATCTCGGCACACTGCCATGAATATTTTCTTTCGCCTTTTCTTCTCCTCCTAAAGGCTTGCCTTTCTTTTTATTATTAACATTGACGTACATTGAAAAACAAGAAGAAGCAACAACCATGTCGATGTATAAATTTTGTCCCGGTGTATGTGTGTCGTTATTGAATGACATGATTGTTTGAAGCAGACTTATTTTCCTTTTGTCTTTTTCTTCTTGTCATTAAGAGTGACACGTTTTACAAATAATTTCGACGCTTTTCTTGTCTAATACATAGTGCCAATGTTCATCACATGGCTCATTGGACATTTGGAAGGACAAATATATATATATATATATATATATATATGGGCTCCTATGCAGCGAAAGAAAAAAAGCAAGCATATTTATTATTCTACAAAAAGCTTAGTAGTAGATGTATGCGTGTGCGTGTGTAGAAGTAGGCAAGGTGACATTCACTTCGTCAGTGACCCTCGACCACTACAATCGGAAGGAGAGAGAGAGAGAGAGAGAACATGAACTCTATGGGCCTATGTCACCAATACACACACAAAAAAGTAGGAGTGTTTTTGTTCATTGAACGATAGAAGAGAGACAGAGAAAAAGAGAAAAAAAGGTACAGATGTGTACATAATGTTTGTCCATCAAGATGAGAATAAGCAAAAGAGAAAAGAAAAAAAGGAAATAGCAGCAAAAAACAGTAGCAAGCTAAGAGTTCATCATCATCATTAGTCTTCATTCTTGTGGTATGTGTGTGTGTGTGTGTGCGTATGTTTGTATGTGATTGCTCAATCTTATTTATGATATGTCTATTGCAGATGGGTACCAACGAATGTTGGTCATCTATTGAGGCGATTATAAGACAACGTTTAGATTTGAATGAAATTGATCGACGTTATTGTGCTGTATGCGGTCGACAAGGTCCATCATTGTCGCGTTGCTTCGGGTGTCAGATGGTTTATTATTGTGGTGAGGAACATCAAGCTGAAGATTGGTCCAAAGAACATGCTCAAAAATGTACACAATTAGAGTGGGTTGCTTTAGGAGAATTTATTCAAGCTCTACCGGCTCAACCACCCTTACCAAATATTGGTGATAAATGGCAAATATCATTAAAAGAAATAAATAATTGGAAAAGTTGGTTTTCAATACGAACAAATATTGTGCATTTAGCTAATAATACAGCAAATGTTTTGAAAACTCTTCTACATCTAACTGATAAACGGCAGCCAACCGATCAAAGTAATTTTCTTAACATATTCTTTTTAATCAACAATACGTGTTAATCGTTTCTATATATATATATATATATATTTGGTCACACCTCAGTAATATCTATACTGTAGATTAGCATGTCATATTGACACATATATGTAGAAAAGAATAAGTGAAGGGAGTTCACGTGAAAAGCAGCTCATCATCGTTTACATAGATACATATAAATCAACTTTTGACTTCTTTATTTGTTTCTCTCTTCATCATTCTATAGATGCAGTCGACGGTCTTCTTGCGGCGGTAACTGATCTTTTAACAAACGTTCTCACGATTGGCAAGGCTATTGTTTCCTTTGGCCTTCAACCAAACATCCGCCCTCTTGTTATTCATATCCTTAGTGGTTTTAACAAAATTGATCTTGTCGATCGCAACCAATCGTCGTCAAATTTACCCGTTCGTTTTCATGAACTCCTCAATATGTTTCCCGATAACAAAGTAAGTGGCGTCGTGATACCGAAAATAAGAGCACTTGTCTTCATACATATATTGATATAGTCGTCCGATTGATTATATAATCATGAAGAGAAAAGAACTGAACAGCAACTGTGTAGGCTCATACATGTTTGTGTCAATTATCTATGACGAGCTTGTATACCTCCTAGGTAGGAGACAAATCGAAAAGATCATTTTAATTGCGAAAAAGAATGTCGTAATCACTGCAAGGAAGACTATTGACAAAAACATTATCTATCTCTTTCTATTCACATAACTCAATGAATGATTGCTAAATAACTATCACCAATATTGTGTGCGTGCAATAAGATAAAATCATTACGTACTAGTCCGGCTGTTATTTTTGCCCATCGTGTCGTTCATGCACATACGATTATAATACATGCATATATATATATATATATATATACATACGTAAAGTATGTAGGATGCAGTCAGGCAAAATAAAAGATTATCGATCATCTTGGTCAGCAAAACGTATTCATATGCAAGGAAGAAAGAATATATATATATATATATATATCTGTCTGTGTAGGGTGTTGAACTAGTTATTGTGATTGGTGATGACGATCAAGACGACACAGACTATTCATCTTTACCACATGCAAAACTCAAGTATGTACATTACTATTCATTTCATTAATTTTTTTTTCTCTTTCTCTCTCTCTCTCTCTTCGACATTTGCTTAATAATAGACCCGATAGATTGATTATAACCACTACCGGTAAAGGTCGCCTTCTTGACACATTTGAAGAAAAGCGTCTACAACGGCCAGTTGCTGATCTGATTGTTTATTTGAATGCTGTACACCTTTTTTTGGTATATATTTATACATTAGTATCTTCTTTATATTTAAACAATGTCAATTACTTTTTTCTTTCGTATGTGACAACGTAGCCATCGAATAAAGAAGAATTAAAATCTATGCTCACTAAACAACGTCCAACGTTATTAACATTTGAGGATCAGGAAGAATTTTATCAAGCACAAAGATGTTTATCAACCAAAGGTGCGAATATTCACCAAGCAGGACTTAATCAATTTAGGTATTAATAACAAAAAGAACTATAAAAATATTTCATTTACGCTATGCATCGATTTCTTTAGCTCATTGATTATTCGACAACGTTCAAATAAACCAAATTCAACCTATTCCAAAAATTCATATCAAATACTATTGAATACAATAGCTATTAATAATAGTGCTGGAAGAAATGATGAAAATGCATCACTATTGTCTCGTCAACGTTCTCATCAATCTTCCATTGGCATTCAACATGATCATTCACACCATCATCATCATCAGCAACAACAACAACAACAACAACAAAAATACGAACAACCGCAACAGCTCAATCCCGGCTTGAAACAGGTCAATGGTAAAATACATATTGAATCTCTTTCGTCGTCGTCGTCAGTGTCACATAATACGCAAGCAAATAACAATGGGATACTGCTAGACACAAACGTTCACATAGGTATAATTTCATGAATAGAGCTCGAGAGAGACATATGTATGAGCATGCATTATTATAATGTTCGTTCTTTTTTCTTTTTTCCTTCTTTCTTAGGTTCGACCGCGAACACGGCTACTACCACCAATACTGTTCAACCAATGGTACGATCAAATAATAATAATAATAATATACGTCAGCCTACTGTAGTACAACGACGGCATCACTCTCCACCTTCATCAACGTCGCTGGCTATTAATTCGACGACACCACATCGTACACACAATACGACCGCTGCTGAGATGATGATTACTACTGAAATAACTAGGTATAGTAATTTAGATCAGAATAACTAACGATCAATATATGTATATACATATACGTTTTTCAAAAAATAATTATCAGACTTTTTTTAAAACGTTCTTTTTCGACTCTAGAAATAATCTTAGACCACAACCAAAACCACGTTTATCTCTCGCCAAACCATCGGATAAAGATATAGATATAACAAAATCAGAAATCAATGGCAGTCTTGTTCAACGTTTTAAACCATTTTTTGAACAGACCTCACAAGAATCGAACGTTATTAAACAACATCGTCAGTCGATTACAATCCCTTATACATACAAGAAAGGAAGTAGTACAAAAGCAACATGTCTGGATGATATTATTTCATCTAAAGTATGAATATTTACAATCCATGTGAATCAGTAGACATTGATTATTTATTCTAGAATGCATATCATGCACCAATACCGCCCCCAGTAGAAATGCCTATCAACGGTCGAACTGTAACAAATAATCCAATTATCTCTTCGCTATCTACTGTTGAAACAACACACGTGGAACGCGTACCAATAGCAAATGCAACTAATACTGCAACAATTTCGAAGCCAACGATTGAACAACGTACTGAGGAACGAACGATAAAAGTTACTACGAACAGTGTTTCTTCATCGTTGACAATGCCAATTGAAATTCATCGTGATCAACGAGCTGTAATAAATGGAAAAAGTACTAATGCTTCAGCTTCTTCTTCATCATCATCATCGTCGTCGTCGTCGTCGAGCGAAAATCGTTCTGACGAACGAATTGTTAAACCGACTACTGTTAATACTTTTTCAATGCGACCACAGCCAACTGTAACAACAAATAATCAATTAACTATAAAACCTAGTACGAAATCAATTTCACCTCCACATCCACCACCTCCGTCACGACCACCACTACCTACACAACCACCTTCATCTACTACTAATGATGAAGTAATCTATACTGAAGTAATTAAAAACCGTGAACGAACTTTATCCACTCATGATAATGATCTCGTTCAATCTCCGATAAGTCCGTCACGTTCATTTATTATTCCATCAACTAAATCACCAAGTGTATCCATAAAGACTTCATCATTTAATCTTCAACGACCATCTCGATCTCAAACTACGGGAAACGTTTTTGCACACACAAATAAACCAAAACCTATTCCATCGGCCATGACATCAGATCGAATTAGTCTTTATTCACAACGAAGTACTAAACAATCTGATCAGGGTTTTACAATTAAAAATCTATCGGAATGTATTGACCGAGTTGGTGTTGTATTCGACGAAACAAATCGCCGAAATGATGTACCAAACACTGGCTTGACAACAGTTGATCTTATTCGTGAACAACTAACAAATGCATCAACATCAAAAACTACTGAATCTTTACTAGATAAATTGTATAAATCGAACAGTAGTACTCGTTTATCAACATCATCATCATCACGAACACCAATGTCTATAGCTACGCCACGGTCGAAATCTCAACAAGCGACAAAAACTCAAAATGAACAACCTTCAACATTGAAGTAAAATCTTTAAATTTAATAAATTAACGTTCCTACTTGTTTTTCTTCTATTCAGAATGCAAGCACCAGCACCACCATCAACAACAACACAAACACCATTGGTATCATCTTCAAACCGACGACCTAATGGCATCTGTCTACCTTCTACAGCAAAACTATCTCATGAACCTGAATCAATAGTTTCGCCAAGATCTCAACAATCGCCGATTCAACTCTATCAAAATCTTGAGCCACAGAGTACAAATTTATCAACTCAAATTGTTAATTATACACTTAAGAAACCTTCTGGTCCAATCTGTATTGGTATACCGAAACCATTTCGAAAACCAACAGCTATTATTGAACCATCACCTGTCATAACATCACCAATAGTAAATAATTCCGAACCAAACTACATAAATCTAACACATCAAGATGAACATATATATACAAATGAAAATAGTACCGGAGTGGCCGGTAGTAGTAATTCAAATTCTTATACAAGTAAAACATCAAGTATTTATTCAACATCAGACAAACAAAATTCCACAGTCAACCCTGAAATTCATTATGCAATATCTCAAATACCATCTTCACAGCAAGATCAATCCGTGGAATACGATTCATTTGATGATGAATTAGTTATAGATGATATAGCTAAAATTGAAAAATCATTTAATTTAAATGATAACACAGATGATGATTCATTCGACGATGATGAAAATCACATACCAAATCCATCAGTACCATCGAAAAATTCATCGAAAAATTTCTTCCGTTCAACTCTAAATCGTTTGACACGATCAAATAAATCGTTAGATCGTCTTAATACTGAATCTATCACAAATGATGCTACACAAGAATTAAATCCATCAAACGCAATTGATACAAAAACGAAAAAAACCCTTCGTAGTATCAAAGCTCGACATGAAGCAAAAAAAACTGGTAATCTTTTAACAACATATACAGCTGGTGATGACGATACAACATCAATTGATTCTAATTGTTCAACACAAACAGCAACAAGTTTAAGTAAATCATCAAACAAAATGTTGCATCATCGTTTTCGTTTATTTCGTCGTAAAGTTGAAAAAGAATTTGCTAGTGATACAGAAGCAGAAAAACATCAAACAGAACAACGAAGAAAAAAATGGAATAAAAAAATGATCAACACTGCAGCTAGCGAATTAAAAGCCAAACGTTTACTAATGATGAGTGATGAGGATGATGATGACGATCATCGTCACCACCACCATCAAAAGAATTATTCACTCTCAAATAAACAAATCAAAGAAAATGTTATTCACGATGAACCACATATATATGATCGTATTATTCATGATGATAATAATAATAATCATAGTCTATCTCGTATGGGCAAATTATCACATGAAACACATTTTAAATCTCCAACAATAACTCTTGATGAAATCCGTTCGGAAATTCAAGCTGAAATAGCAGCGAGACAAGATATACAAATAAATAATCAATCAGTAATATCATCAAATTTTAATTTACAAAAGAAACGTTCGAAATCCGTTACATTTCTTGATGAACTACTAGGTGATGATCCTAAACAACAGAAAGTAAATGTGATAACAAAAAATGACTTACAAATGAAAGCATCGACAGCAGCAAAACGTATTGAAAAAGGCGATGCAAGATCTATATGTGGAGCACTGACAGGTACAGGACCGATTCGAGGTATTATTAAAGCAGCTAATAATGATATTACTGGAACGACGGCTCCCGTTTCACCATCTGCTGCAGCGGCTATTTATTTAAGTGGAACACCTATGGATACACGATGTACATCACCAAAACCCATTGAACGTACACATCGAGTAAGCACCAACTCTTCCTTGCTTTCTTTCGTTCAACTAACTATTTATCAATTTATTCTAGCCTCTTTCTACGTATACCGTCGGTTCAGCTCGTTTCTATGATGGCGCAGCTGCCGTACCTGCAACTCTTGCACCACCACCGCCACCGCCGCCGTCAATGCCACCACAACAACCTATTACAACACACTCATCAAATTCCAATAGCAACAATACGACACCCAATCATCGACCCATATTAAATAATCTTTCTCATCCTTCGTCAACATCGAATAATGTTCATCATAAACGACCAACAGCAAAAGTTAGTCCATTTCAAACTAAATCTCCTAACGAGACAATATCACCTATATCTACAAGTAAACAAACAGCTTTCTCATCAGTACCGAAAAAACCTATTCGACCATCGACAAATCGCAATATGCAAGTATCACAAGATGTACCTAATGTAGCTATATCGTCGATTAGCGATGGTGTTGGTGGTGTATCGAAACGGCTACAGTCGAATTTTTAGAGTCCAGGGAAATTTCAGGATGAGCTTTTCATATTCTTTTTACATTCCATGATTTTGTTTTTGGTTTGTGCAATTTTTTATTTACTTTTTCTGTTTTGCCATACTATTTTTCAGTACAAATTCGTATGTGTTTATGCACGTATATTAATTTTTGAGTTAGAAATTGTATGTTTTTGTGTGAGTGTGTTTTGTTTTGAATATATATATATATAATTATATTGACAGAGCAGAATAAAACCTAAATGTGCATCTCAAGAAAGAGTGAGCGAGTGAGTTCACATGAATAAAGTTTTTTTTTCATCTTTGCTTATTGTAATCTTTAATTAACTGCGTCACATTATTTTGTTGATATGATCACTGATTACGAGATTGTTCAATCGACTTGAAATCATATCTCAATTAGTCAAGTATTTTTCATTGCATAAAAGTTAAAACTACTCGTCGCTATCTTGAAGATAATGTGATACGAATATTCACTGAGTAATAAAATGATTCAAAAGGATTGAAAACAAAATACTTATGACTCTTGTCAACAATTTCAACTAGACGAAACGCTGTCTCGTGATTATATCGCTGCATGAAAAAGATTGAAATTCATAATATCACCTTCTGAACAGATATTTACCAACAAGATAGACATGCGAACTACAAAACCATTAACAACTGGTCATATTGATGTGTTTCTTAGTATCAAATAATTCTGAATAGAAGACTAATATGAAATATAATCTCAATAACTAGGCAAAGTCAAGAGCTACGAGTCTGCAGTTTTGCCCATTCTAATGGCGATTAGTGAATACTACGTATAACAGATAAAATTACTTAAAACCGTTATCGTATTGACAAAACATGCAGATTGATGTTTCGTTTCAAGGAAATTTCGACAAAACAGTCAACAAAATCATAAATAGTCTGACTGAATGCATACATGATTGCATTTGCTTAGCATTAAAATGTATACGTAAATTATACCTTGAAACATAAATACAAAATCTCTCTTTCCGATACAAAAAATCCTAACATCATGTTATTTTCATGTCGATCTTTTAAAATGATTTAATACTTTTAATAACAAGTCATTCGGAACACGTCTCTTTCTATTACTGAAAACCACAGATTGCTATTTTCTAATGAACAAATGCATGCGCACCTCTCGTTAGTGTCGGGGCGAATGTTTATTTATATTTTTTTTAATCATGCAATGCCTATAGGATTTTCATGCATATTAAAAATAAAATTACTATTATAGAAAAGCAGTTCTTTAAGTTGCTGGTTTATTGATACAAATTAACTTTGTCATGCAGTACGCTTTACTTAAAAAAGCTTCACTAAAATGAGAAAAAACAAAATAACAACAACAGCATCGCTCGTATGATATAACTTTATTGCATAGAATAACATATTTTTCAGTTAGTCGTTTTGAAAAATGTTTGTATAACTGCCCATTTTCCATTTACCATCCAATTTGGATCAAGTTTTGCTACTTGTTTTGCTATTTTTTCATCGATTTCGACTTGTACATCAGCTTTACATGTGCGTAAAACCACGAATGAAGTTGGTTGAAAACCACGTAATGCAGTTTCAAACGTTTCATTCAATGGCCATTGAAGATCGCCAACTAACTTTCTATAATTAAGATCACCTTTAAATATGAGTAATTTCGATTCTGACATTGCCGAGTAAAGTTCCGGTGAAATTCGTTGCATAGATGAATAATCATAGGGTAAAGTAAAAAAACGATGCGTTTGAATAATCCATTGACCATTTCGAATATATTCTTCCCATCGTTTTCCAGCGATTTGCCACACTGGATTTGATGACGATTTATTTAATTCGTCTAAGAGCCATTGAAAGTCGGTTTTCGTTGCATCAGATACAAACCATGGTAAACATTTTAAGTATAGTGTTATACGTGAACACAAACGTTTCGAGATAAGAAAATCAGCAAAACATAAATCAGTGATAAGTTCAAAGCCAGCATTATCAAGAATGAAATCAATATAAACATCAAAATTTAATAAATATGCTTGCTGATCATAGAGATAATTAAAAACTGATGATTGATTATTAATTAATATATGGGATTTGAGTTCACTGATTTGATGAAATGGATCATGTTCTTGGGAACAATCAGCACCGCCAGATAATGACAGATCGCATGCGTTGCCCCAGAGACTAATCTAAAGCAAAAACAGAAAATTAGAACCGTACTTTTATTTTGTTTCGAATCGTCCTTCATACTTCCATATAATTGTAAAATTGTTGTTCGATTGTTGCTTTATGATTGAGAAGATTGATGGTTGGATCAATATCTGTATTCAATTGAGCGAGAATAACATCGGTAGCTTTTGACGACAAAATAAAATTATATTGTTTCATTTCAATAAATGGATCAATATGTTGTAAATGCTTTCTAAATGATTAACAACGAAAAGAAACAAATCACAATTATGTTGAATTCATCTGAAAACATTTCATTTCCTCACTATTAGCGTGCAGTATAATTGACTTAAATGTCTGAATATTCTGAACCATCTAATTCTGAATCAAGATTTTTCTACATTTTCGAATACAATTTCATTTTAAGGTCGCTGAGCTTTAACTGTTTAGAGAATTGAAAGCTCAATATTTTGAGATTGATCAGAAATTTCTACGCAGAAAGTCAGCAAAGAAAAAACATATAGATAGCGCTAACAACTGTACTGCACTAGCTATATATACATACGTTAGAAAAAATGCTTCAGCAATTTTTCGGTACATGTAACATTCATTAAGAAGCCAACTGCTTTTAAACCAACTTAGCGGTTCGCCTAAAATATATTCATTAATTTACGAACTTTTCAATTCTAAAGGCTTGCCTCGATCAAGTTCTTTTTGAAGGCATTCATTCCATAGATGAACATCATCAGTATGATTATCAGTTAATAATAGAATAGGTTTATCCTAAAGATTTTTAAATAAAAACGAAAAGAATTTTTATCACGATCTTTTTTTGATTGATAATGTGCAACGGTTTCTCACTCATCCCAGAAAAATTCTTCTAATTTATTATTATAACAACTTACTCGACCAATTTCATATCGTAATTTATCCATCGCGGCAATACAAGATTTACATTCATTCTCTGCTTCCTAGAATAGAATTACCATTACAATTATTTATCAGATAATTGATAAATAACAACTTACATCACCATATTCTTTAGCATAGTTTCCACGATTTCTTGCAAGAAAATCCACAATACGTGTAACAATTGATGGAAGACGATCTTTCACTGTTATATATGCAAATGACCTAGGTAAATTTATTATACTAGAATAATATAATGAAAAAGTCTCGAACATACTTTTTATTTCTAGCTGATAAAGATGGTGGTAGTTCCATTGATGATATACTTTATCTTTTTCGATTCTATTTTTTTCAATGAATACAAATAATGAATAATTTTATTAGGAAAATTAAGCGCGTATTATCTACAATAAGTAAAGTATCTTTCATCCAAGTGATTTTATTTTACAGACAAGAAAAAAAGAACGTTATATAAACAAGCAAACAGCAAATCAAAATTAAATGTATTTATATTGATTCAATTTTTTACTGGGATCATAATCATCGCTCATCCGTTGCCAATCTTGTTCTGTTTGACCAACAACAAAGCCAACTAAAATTGAAAACGAAAGAAAAAACTATAGAATCGTACTGCTCTAGAATAGCATACCAGCTTTTTTATGTAAATGAAGGGCACTTTCTTCAACATCAGCCCAGCGAACTTTTTTCTTTCTTGATTGACAATCCGGTGATAAATCATTCGGTTGTTCTTCTATATTACCTGTTGTATTATTCGAATATTTTTCAATGAGTGGCGACGATGATACATTACGACGTTGATATACACCATCGAGACGATCTAAATGTTTACATTTAAATATAAATAGAATATAATGAGACGGAAAAGTATTTAAAGAAAGAGATTTTTCAAAAGGAAAGTAAGAAAAACAAAGAATATAGCATACCGAGATTTGTTTCCATCATTGCTTCCCATTTACTTTTCTTTGTAATCTAGAATGATCATTTGCGTGCTTCTGATGGTTCACATCGTCGATCGGATTATTGCAAAATTCAGTCTCAGACAAACAAATATGTGCTTACCGTTTTCTCTCTCACTCATAAAAAACTCCCTTTGTCCCTTGTATTCATTTTGTTTTCAAAAGTATTACTTATTCAAATTACCTGACTCTCCTCCTCTTCAGCGTCATTTTGTTCAGTAGTTGCTGTTGTTGTTGCCGCTGAAGGAGCATCGTCCATTTCAACCTTTGACAAATAAAAAAGAAACAGTTAGCATTACCCTTGAAAGATAAAACAGAAAGTATGCAATACGATATTGTGATTATTTGTACATTCAAAGAGATAAAACTGAAGATGCCTATAAAAAATTACTCGGTGTGTCAAGGTCTGTTCGAAGAATCTAAATTTATTTTTTGCTATATATCAATATTCTTTTTAGATCATAGTTCACAACAGTTGCAGCGGCAATAGAAGACTCTTGTTTCAAAAGAAACCAAAAACTTGTGCAAACCTCATCGATTGCGTCGGATTGAAGTAATGAACGAATATCCAGAATTTCATATCGAAGTGGTAATTGTTCCCAACGTTTATGGATCTATAAGAAAGCATAAATAATCTTTACCGTTTTTCTATGTTTTCACAAGAAATTTACTTGTTCAATGTCAACAGAAGATCGACTGTGAATATTTCGTTGTGCACATATTTGTATATCATTGTTTAATTCAACAAAATAAACTTGAAATTGATTGGCTTCAGCATAATCAGCCATATCACGAAAATGTCCTGTTTGTTCATTATTTTGATCAACAATTAGAAATGGATAAAAACGATCATCTATCGATTTTCGAACTAATTTAATTAAATTTCGTCTATATGTTTCTTCCATTTTGGCATCATACTCATACTCCATAACCTGTTTTTTAATTTCAAAAGGAAGTGTTCAAGATTTTAAAAGAAAAGAGTTAAATTTCGAAAACCTACAGATGTTTTTGTTATTTTGCCGGTTTTGGGATCTTTTGTTTCAAGTTGATTTTCGTTTAAGAAGTAATTATCAATTGAAAGAATTTTCGGTTTATTAGTACCTTTTGAATTTAGCTCTTCTTCATTCTATAATAACAGATTAAAAAGAATGTGTAAAAATAGTCGAATTTGATATACTTTGATTAATTCCGCAACATAGGATTTACCCGAACCTATTTGTATAGAAATAAATAGTTATTTTAAATGAAAAGCAATAATCACAAACCAGGTAAGCCACGTAGAAAAATAATCAGTTGTCCTGGCCTTTGTAATCGACCGGGTTCTTTAAGAAGTGTATCAATCTGTAAAAAGAAAAGCCAAATGACTTCATTATTTTACATTTTAATTTGTTAAATTAGACATACTGAAATAAGTTGATGTTTTTGAAAAAGTTGACTAGTTAATACTTGTTGTTGTTGTTGTTCACGTTGGGTAGAACGTGCCAATTGAGGAGGCATAGGGTACATATTACGATCACTGTTTGTCCAATGCGGATGTGGAAGTCGATTGTTAAATGATTCCGTTGGTGGTGGGGGTGGCATACATGAGCCTTGTGGAGTCGGTGGAAGTCGTAGTATTGTATTGGTATTTCCCATATATCGAGAATTTGCATGTTGAAAATGATGCTTTTGTTGCGGTTGATTATTATTATATGATTGTGTTGAGATATTCATTAGCGATGGAAGCTCTCTGTTATTGTCATGCGTTGAGTTTGTCTAAATAGAGAGAAAAAAAACCGGGTGCAAGGCATTGTACAATTAATACAAATAAACTTACCGATAAATCGTAATCAGACTCTTCAAGATAATGACTCTTTCGTTTTAATACGCCGGTACCACCACTGAATGATGGCTGTGGAATACCAGTACCACAATTCAATAGAGGTTGCGAAACATTATTGCCACCGCCACTAAATGATGACTGTGGCATACAAAATCCACCACTAAATGGTGGATGATTAACACCGGTACCACCGCTGAAAGATGGTTGTTGTATATTGATTCCACCAGAGAAAGATTGTTGTTGTGGAGGCAACGGCGGTTGAATCTGATTAAACGTCGGTGGGGATGGTGACATAAACGGAGCCGATTGAGGTGGACCAGATGAAAGTATCCAAGATTGTTGTGGACGCGGTCGAGACTGTACAAACATTAGAGTTTGTTGTTGCATTGGCATATTGCCTAGGTAAGATTGACGAAACTGGTAAGTCGGTGCGCTATACATTATCGATTGAGGTTGTACTATTTGCGGTTGCTGTTGTTGAGGAAAAGGTACCATATGTCGATTGACAGGCTGACCATTATTAAAATGATCGACTATAATATAAATTGAAAAAAAGCAAATTTTTATTTTCTATTGGACCCATAAAAATTGACTTACATCGATCGCCACGATATGGTATCATTCTAATAAATATCTATCAAACATCTAGAAATAAATAAACAATTGAATGAATTATTTTATTTCTTTTAAAAAATATGTTTTATGAGTCGTTATAAGAAATTTTCTTTTTGTAATAAAGTCTTGTGTTTTTCTAGATTGCATCCATCGTCATAGCATTGGACATGATAGTATAAGTCAAAATTCATTTTTCATCAATATCTAAACACAATAAATCCATTAGAATATTTCTATTATTTTACCATCTTCTCAAAAAATATACGAATTCAGCATTTATGCAGAGTAAAAAACAACACGCCATCGATTACTAAACAAATTTCTCTGCAGTCCATTGGATCGATCATATAAAATCAATTAAATTCTCGCAGTTAAAAATCAATATTTAATGTACTTGAACAGATCACTTTCTAGATAAAGTTATTGGCGCGCCAAACGATTTAAAATACAACATGTCAACAAATGTTTGTTCGAGTACATCAACAACAGATCTTTATCAACGGCATATAACTTGTAGTGATTCTTCTACTCAAACAATGCTGTACGATCATAACGATGATGACTATGCAAATTACGAAGAAATTCATGGTCACGAGGACTCTTCAACATTTCTTCATACAAAGAATATAAAGAAATCTGATCAAACCACATTGTGTCGAACAAATCATTATTCAATTGGTTGCTGGACAAAGCCGGCTTCTTTACTTACTAGTTAATTCAAGAGAAGTTTTATCAAAAATGAATTATTTCATAAATTCTCTTCGCCAAAAACAACATTTTAACACTTCAAAACGACTTGCCCTTCCTTTTATATAAATGCATAAAACATTTACTCATATATTGACGTTTAACAGATCTGTCTAGTTAAAAAGAACATAGAGCATTCACTAGCTTTTGTTCACACTGTCACTAACTCGTAGTTATATAGCTAAATATTATTACATTGAGAAATAATATGAATTTCGAAGAAACAGTTTTTCGTCATAATTAAATAATTCTTTTTCTAGGAAAAGCCAAAGGATTCGTTTGAAATTGGCATACACAGATAACATCAAGTCTAGTCAATCTCAACAGAAACTTAAGATTGTTGACACATAACAGAACTATAGCTTTCCACTGCACAAAAAACTTACGATTATCTTTTTGTTTTATCGCCGATATTTACATTGACCAATAGCACATCGAGTAGCATCCATTGAAAACCCATCAAGTATTCGTTAAGTTTAATAATGCCTATGAACGAAAAATCATAACAACTTAACTTAGTATTTCAAAATGAATCTTTCATTTTGTTTTTAATTCAACTTACAAGAACTAATGCTAATGACTTCGTTTCATTTCTTTTTTGATTTTTCGATGTCATCTGTAAACATGATTCATAGACATATTATTCTATTATTCTCTGTTAATACTAAATTCGTGCTATTTTTATAAAATAAAACAACAGTACACACACACACACGCAAATATGGAATGATTAGTTTCTATCAAACGAGAAAAAAAAGATGAAAAGAATCTGAACTGTTCATTCTCAACGAACATCAATTTGTGAGATAATACTAGCATTGTTATCAGCCCCATTGGTTGTTTTGCGTAAACGTCTTAAACGTTCTTGAAATAATGTATTCATATGATAACGTAGCGCTGTACTACGACGACGAAGATCAGTTTCACACATATCATGATTTGAACCAAGACGTTGAGCGTCTTCTAATGACATTTTTGTTAATTCTAATTGTGTACCTGATTCAGTGCGTAAATCAAGACTTTTAGCCGATTTATCCAAAGGTGCAATACGAGCTGTATTAAAGCCAGCTAAACAATGCTAAAATAGGCATAAGAACCAACAAAATTATAATTACTTTGAACAATAAATAACTAATTTTTATTTTTACATTAGCAAGAGCAACACTATCAACCGACAGATCTGATAGATTGCCACGTTTTGGTGGACGGAAATTATATGCATTTCTATTCACACGATACTTTGGAACGCTAACACTATTTAAGAAAAAGAAATGTTGTTTCAATGAATTGCAATTGTTTTTGTTGTTGTTGAAAATAATGCTTACCGTGCATATTGAGGTTCATAAGCGTTAGGTTCTTTACGTAATGATGCACATATCGGACAACGACTTTGTCCATTAGCGTCCGGATTAGTTGGAACAGTAAAAAGTCGATCATTAATCGTATAACTGTGTATACCTAAGAAGAATCAATGTCTATATTCCTCAAACAGCAACGAAGAAAATAATTAATTGAGTAATTCAGAATTCTCTGTAAGTATTCATTCTACGTGTTGACTTTCATTTGCAAGAACGTGAAAATTTAAATGTCTCCAACAACAACAAAAAAAGATGCTCTTGCATAGAATAACCCCTAAACTGAAGTAGAAGGAACAAGGCACAGCGTCGTGCTCGACATATTCAAAAATAGAACCTTCGAATAGAAAAAAAAGCTTAGCCTAGGCTTATTCTTCGACACATAGGTTTTGATTGTGTATATTTACAAGTATGAGAATGTTGGTCACCATCCGGTGGTACAAGTTCGAGTTCTTTTGAAAAATCAGTTAAATCCGCATCACTAAATAGAATAAATTATTGAAGAAAAAAATCAAAGCAAAGTTTTATTTTATACTTTGACATAGAATATGATGCTGTTGAATCTAAATTATTCTTTCGAAATGATACTAATTCATCTAAATATGATTCCGATAGAGTATTTTCAGAATTCAATAATGATTTTTCATTATCAAGTAAGCCAGCAACAACATCATAGCCAAGTAAAACTTTTTGACGATTATGAAATGATGTTTGTTGTTGATGTTTTTTCGGCGATGCACTGGTATTTTTTCGTTGCTGTTTTAATGACATATTTTGTCGTTCATGAATACGTTTCTATGTTATTAGAAAGAAAATTTCGAGACAATAATTATAATAAAACTAACTTTAATTTGCTCAACATTATCGGTTGTCCAAACTTGTTGTTCATTAGTTGATGTTCGTAATGTATTATTGTAAATGTCTCGATCGTTGCCTTCATCGAATAAAGAACGCCAATGTTTCAACTATTTTCAATTGAATAAACGAATAGAAAATTATTTCGAGCAAATAGAAATTCACCTCATCCCAAGGTTCAATTGGTTTTTGTATAATTTCATGAGATTCATTTTTTTGTTCTTCTATTTCTTCATCAGTATATGCTTCTTCATCATCTGTATTGTATGAATAATTAAGTCCTTTTCGTCGTTGATCTTGAACATTTCTTAAATACTGATCAATATCAATACGTGAGATATTTTCAGGAATGTTAACAACAAATGGTTCAAGTGGACATGTCTCATCATTAGTAGTGTCTTGTTTCTTTAGAATTGAACGAGGTTTTAATTGATCGGTATACGCCTATATGAAATAAATGTACTATTTAATTGAAAGGAAAAGAACATCTGTACCCTCATATTAGATTGATCATCAACATCAAAAAATGTAACACTTTTGCTTTTTTTTAATGAGCCCACTGAATCGTTTGTAATTGTTTTTAATTGAGTTGAGATCATGTTTTGTCGTACTTTGAGATGATCAATTAAAGATCGAGTTTGCTGTGCAAGACTGTTAGTACTGTCCATGTTGAACTGAACTCTTTTTCGTAATATACACAAAAATAGAAGAAGAAAAGCGAGAACAGAACAAATAATAAATAAACACTAATGAACCAATCCATCAACATGATGATAGATGTCTATGTTTCATTTCTCTTTGATTGGCTCCAGAGAATAGACATGAATCGATCTACTACTTATTATACCCATCCATCGTCGATAGTATTCATTCATTTGGCTTTAAAGAAGGAGGAAACAATCCAGCTGTTTTTTTTCAATTAATGTTCCCGATTTCGATTATCTAATACAAGTTAATGTATTATTATTTATTATCATGCCGACTGACATAGCAAGCACACCTGATGAGTTATTTGAAACTTTTGTTAATGCTCAAACATTTAAAACAATACTTCATTCGTTCGATGAACTATGTCGATCAATACGTCTCGATCGAAAAACAGTTGGCTATGGGAAACGTTCGTTATATAAAGTTTTAACAAGTAGATTACCATCATGGAAATCGAAAAGTCTGTGGTCGAAAATTGATAAACGCGGGGCACAAAAAGAATATGAAAATGGTAATGCTTGTGCAGATATGAAGGTAATCAATCATTTGAATTCTTCTTACAAAATATTGTCATTTACGAATTCGAAAAAAGAAATCATAATCAAAAATCATCTAAATTATTTTCATATCTAGATCGTCTACTAAAGAAAAATCTTGTAAGCGTGCGTGAACGCTTTCATGTATATCATTATGTTTTCTTTAACGAGTTTTTTCCTAATATTTTGCATGAACTTTTGTTCACCGCAGCAACAATAAGCAAACCAATAAATCCTTGCTTAATTTTTTTTTCTACCCTGGATGCATGTATGCAGCCTTCTTTTTCTCTTCTCAGCATGATGAATTCCAGTTTTCTTTTTTTTTTTGTCATGTTTCTTATTACAGTTATTGTTCAACATTTTCTCCAAACCATCAATCACTAGCAGTTTTTTAATCTCTTTTTTTTGACCGTTATTGTATATGACATATATAAACATCGACACTTGTGCATAGTGTGAGATTACATTGCGGCTGTACGAGTATATATATATATATTCCCTGAGTAGAAGCGATACAAGACGAAGAGAAAGGATAATTGGAAAGAGCGATAGGCATTGCATACATTTATATATATATATATATATACATATATATAAGAGTGAATGAGTGGAAAAAAAGAAAGAGATCACTTAATGTAAGAATAAACAAAGAACATTCAATGATTGTTCTTTGAGTCGTTTCGAAAAAGAATAACTATATGTTTTAAAGACAAAAATAAAAGTTAATGTTTTGTTGTAGCATTAATTGTATTGGCTTCTTTAGCGAAAAGAAAATTAAAAAAACGAAGTTTTTGATGAGAAATATTTAAAAAAACATGATATCTACGTAACTGAAGAAGCGTCGCTATAAGGTTTCTTTTTTAATGCTATATACATAAGAGTAACTATTCGGTGTTTATAGGTATGCATTGTGGGTGCTGGTCCGGTTGGCCTTCGATTAGCGATTGAATGTGCATTACTAGGTGCACGGTGTATAGTTGTTGAAAAACGCGACAGGTTTCATCAATATTTATTTTTTGCATTTTAATATTCGAACATTTAATTCAGGTTTTCTCGACACAATGTCCTTCATTTATGGCCTTACATTATCACTGATTTAAGAAATTTAGGTGCTAAAGTTTTCTACGGCAAATTTGCTACAGGTCAAATTGATCATATCAGTACGTGTACATTAAAATAATTTTCAGAAAATTGAGATCTTATGTATAATTGTTTTATGTAGGTATTCGACAATTACAATGTATTCTATTAAAAATCGCTCTTATACTCGGTGTTGAAATCTATCAAAATGTTACATTTATCGATGCAATTGAACCCATATCTACTCAACATGGTATTTCTCTATTCGTATTTAATATACAAGTTTGTTTGAGATTATTTTTTTGTTCATAGGCTGGCGAGCACAGTTTAAACCTGAAAATCACCCGATAGTATCAACGTATGAATTTAGTGTGTTAATTGGCGCTGATGGTCGTCGTAATTCATTACATGGTTTTCAACATAAAGAATTTCGTGGCAAATTGGCTATTGGTATAACATGTAATTATATCAATCACCAAACTCGAGAAGAACAGAATTTTGAAGGTTTCACATTGTTCTGCTTTCATGCACTTAAAAATATAATGCTATTTGTTTTTTTTTAGAAATAAGTGGTGTTGCAAAAATTTATAATCCACAATTTTTTAATGAACTTCAACAACAAACATCAATTGATCTTGAGAATATTGTTTACTATAAAAATGATACACATTATTTTGTTATGACAGCTAAAAAACAATCACTACTTGATAAACATGTTATACTACAAGATTTCCCTGATGCGGCAAGATTATTAGCGCGAGACAATGTGAATTTTATGAAATTATGTAATTTTGCTTGTGAAGCTGCGCAATTTGCAACAAAATCTTCACCACAATTTGCATTTGAATTTGCCGTAAGTTAACTTTCTATGTTGTAGCGAGCCGGTGCCTAAATGAATGTGATTGATCTGAGAATCTCATTTGTTGATGATTGAGTGCAATTTACTCCCCATGATATTGACACGACTCGAAAATCTACCCTTGCCAAAACCGATAAACTGCTTAGTATTTGATGAAGGCTTATCGTTCTGTGAATAAGATTAGCCTCTTCTTTTTTTCCAAATATCTTCTGTATAAGACGAGTTTCCATTCTTATTCCATCCATAGAATAATCATCATTTCTTTTTTTGTTTGATCTGATTAAATATCGTTATCAATTATGTCAGAAATATTTAGATAAGAAATATCATGATGGCCATCTGCCATTGATTATGAAATTCTCTTCGTATATACTTATCGATTCTTTGTGTGTACACAGTGTTACGACACCTTGCTGATAGGTCAGATCATCGCTTAGCAACTGATTTTCTCTAGACAATCTGTATCCTAAAGACGTCATTTTGACAAGATGTTGACGTGATAATGTTGAAATAGTTGAGAAATACAGGATATTTAATACCATGGTTGGCGTCACGATATTTATTTGTTTTCTGTCAATTCAGATCATAAAAATATAAAACTATTTATGATAGTTAAATATATGCTCTTATAACAAGTAACTGTTGTCGTGCAATGAAGTATTTTGTTGCATTTTTTTTCTCAATGAATGTTATAGTAGATGCATAAAATGAGAGTTTTTCTTTTCTTGTTTTGCATCACTTAACATTAATTGCGTTGTAACATGATAAGCACGTAAATCCATATCGCTTTGAACTAGGTAGCCTATTCTCCTTCAATAAACATTGAATGCAGTGCACAATAGTAGAGTGTTTCGATAACTTTGGTAAACGAATCATTATCTTACTTTTTATATAATTTTTTCTCTTGTTTAAACATGATTAAATCTAACTGTAGACGTTTTTGAATTAATTTCCATAATAATTTCATACGCATTTTTCTTTCATCGAATCAGAAATTTCTTGTCTGCATGTCATAATGATTGATCAATTAGTTACATAATCATTTCTCTCTATGTCGTCAGACTTCATTGTTTGTGTTTCCTACTGATAATCTAACAAGAAAAGGTCATTGATAACATTTACTGATTTGGTCTGCAAGCAGTGATTAATTAAAACTTCCGATATGGTTTTTGTAATTGATAAAAAACATCTACTGTATTCACAGTATCAAATAAATAGTTGAATAGGAACTTGTCTATTTTGAATCAAGAAAGCTATCGAGTTAAATATACTAGATGATGAAATACTAAATATTGTTTCATTATGTTGCAATTTCAATTATCTATATTTTCCCTCATACTTCATCTAGGATGAAATATATCTACAGGGAAAGATGTTCCCTTTGACATGATTCTGATAATCAAAATTTTTCACTCTGAAAGTGGAGATTTCTGTTTTCATTTTTTTCTCGAGGCTTAAAAACATTCAATCGCCATTGCATAGAAAAAATCTAATCGATGCTTGCTTGTCTATCCGTCTATGTTTCACTTTGATTTCGAGAAAGGAATTGACACGTGTGTGAATAAATATAACAAATCCTCATGTAAAACAAAATCGTAAAACATCTGATTATAATTGATTTTTATGCGATTAGAAACCTATTTTAATGGCACTATCATAATCTGATTTTAACCTTAAAAGGCAGACGATTTTTGATTTTATTTTAATTGATTACCTATCAAACTATTATAATCGATTAAAATAAAATAAAAATAAAAAATAATCTGCCGTTTAAGGTTGGAAAATCTGAGTAAAATAGTGCCATTATAATAGACTTTTAATCTGATCATTTATCCAATTTTTTTTTACATGGGTCTCTCTCAAGAGGATAGTTTAAATAGACTCCGTAGCAATTTATTATAGATAAAGGTTATAATCTAGTAAGTTACATTTTAGCTGTTAAACAGAATATATATATATATATATTGATCTTTTCAAATTAAATTTTAATTTTCTAAACAATAGGAAGATCATTATGGTGCAGCCGATGTACAGATGTTCGATTTTACATCATTATTTCATGCTGTCAATGCTTCTCGGATTGTTGAACGTAATGGTAAACAAATCTTCATGGCTCTTGTTGGCGATAGTTTACTTGAAGTAAATAGTTAAAAGTGAAAGAACCTTGCATTTATTGATAAATATCACTTATAGAGCTTTTGGCCCACTGGTTCCGGTATTGGTCTTGGTTTTTTTGGGTTATTCGATACAGCATGGTCTATATTAAAATTTGCTAAAAATGAACATCCACTTAAGATTCTTGTTGAACGTGAAAGTGTTTATAATTTACTATCGCAAAGTACACCTGAAAATACGAAAAATAATCATCAATTGTATTCGATTAATCCGGCATCACGATATCAAACTTTAAATTCGAAAAGTTGCACAATTGAAGAAATTCGTCATTTGTACGATTCAGATAGTATACCAACTATTGACATGAATAATAATCATGTTAAATTGAATAAAATTGATCGAGCATCTATGCGACGTGCTCGAAGTTTTAAGCAAGCACCATCGCCCATAGGATCATCATCATCATCGAATGGTATTGAAAAGTGAATTTAAAAACAAAATTCTAAGTTCTCGCTTTTTCTCTTTTGAAGGAAGTAATCACGAAGAAAATTTATTGCAATGGTGTGAAGATATTATCCATCCTTACAGTATTACAGTGAAAAATGATACAAAATCATTGCAAAACTGTCTTGCCTTTTGTGCTATTGTACATTATTATCGACCTGATTTAATGTATGTGAAAAAACACAAGAGATTTTGATTTTAAACAATAATTTCTCTTTATTTTAGTGATTTTAAATCGCTTCAACCTGATCGTCCAATAAGTAATTTTCAAATCGTAAGTTATCCCTTTTGTTTTTACTTTCATAAATCAATAAATCATTCTTGTTATGAAAAGTTATTCGATGTAATGCAAAATCAATTATCATTACCACTCGATCGTAAACTGCAAAATAGTCTTATTTTATCAATGAAAAGTTCAATTGAAGAACGCATACATCAATCATCAATCGTTCTTCTTCAATTGTTGTATACACATTTTCATCATGATCATCATGAACAACAATTACAACGACGTCGCTCAAGTACGCCATCACATGAAGTTCCACCGACCATTGTAGTAGTATCAAAAAAAGCAACTGATGAAACAAATAAGACTAATAATAATAATTCAACAATTAAAGTTAGTGCTTTGGTCGCTCACTATTCAAATGGTGATACGTCACCATCACCGTTGAATGTAAGTGTTAATCCGATAGAAAAAACTAAAAAACATGAATAATCGATCCACGGGAAAATATATATTTTCAATTATCAAATGAAAACTGAAAAATTCAGATTAATTGTTCCGTTAGGCAAATAAATACATTTGTAGTATTCCCGAAAAGATTATCAAATAATATAGAAAGATAGTTTTGTGAAATACGATCTGAAAGGAGTGTTGAAGTATATAGGGTAGAAATTTGGACCCATCCCTCCGGCCTCTCCCCCCCCTCACAGACCGGGACAGAGAAATTAATTAATTAATTAATTTCGGTCGCAGTCTGTGATGATTTCTGAGGTTTCTGTCACGGTCTGCGATGGTTTTTGAAGTCTCTGCCACTGTCTGTGATGGTGCCTGGATTCTTTGTCACAGTATGTGACGATTTCTGAGGTCTCTGTCATGGCCTGTGACGATTTTTAAACTGCAACGATCTGCGATGCCCTGTGAAATCTCTCTGTCACGGTCTGTGATGAATTCTGAAGTCTGTGTAACGGTCTGCGATGGTCTTTAGAGACTCCATACATCATAATACAGACCGTGACAGAGAAGCTTCACAGACCGTGGTACACGGGTTCCAGAAAAGGAGCTTTATCGTGTTTCACGTTTTAATCCCACAGGGATTGCGCTAACAGCTTTTTTTACATAAGCAGTGTAAAACCATGATTTTCCAGCTTATGTTTAGGCGATGTATGAATTATTCATAATCAAACAGATTACCTTTTTTTTACAACCTATACGAGAAAAGCTATGTTTTAGTAAGGATTGCAGTAGTCCACACAAACTAAAGACGATTGATATTTAGAATTTCTTCGTCTAGCGTTTGATATGATTATTTTCCAAACATTTAAACATGAATTATCTTATCACCTTACATTTATATATAAAAACTCCATACTGAATTAATTTTTCATTGAGAAATTTGTTTTCAAAAATTATTATTCTTGTTTAGAACCATCCTCCAATCAGTTTACAATCTGAACGTGCTCCAACATTTTGTTTTTATTGTAAAGAAAAAGTTTCAATACAGGATTGGTTTGTTGTTGAAAAGAATGTTTTACATGTGAAGTGTTTTAAATGTGATACATGCCATTTGCAACTACGAAAAACAAATTATCAAATTTTGACGGAACCACACTCGGGCAAAATATCATTCCACTGCCGATATCACAATTTAAATAAACAACAAAAAGTAATATACATAAAAAAATAAGCGCAATATATACATATATACATATATACATATTTGATTTATTTACATGTCTTTTTTCGTCTTTCATAGGACGACAATAATGAGAATCTTTTGCGACTTTGTAAGTACAATCTTATTATTGTTTTGGATAGTTTTATCGATATAATTTTCTCCAATAACCAACCAATAATTGCTTTAAATCATGACGGAAACGTTTGCCAAGAACAAAATATAGTACAAAGTTTATTGAATGATTTATAATCATTGATAAACGTGCAAATGTATAATAAATATTTGTATCTACAGAAGTGCCATCACGTACGATTGAATATGTATCATAATTATTGATTGTTGATGATTTTGCATTTAATTTCATTGACATAACTAAATTAACCACAACAGCCGGTAATGTTAAAACCAAAAATGAAAATGAAACAAATAATAGCAATATTGTCAATCTTGTATGAGTTAAATATGAAGCGCTTGTTGTTCTATTACATGTTGGTACAACTTCATATTGATAACGTGAACGATTTTTTATTTCGGTTGATATTGTTGATACCTCAGTTGATGTGCTTGATATTTTTGTATTATAACGTAAACAACGTTTTTCTGAGTGACCTAATTTAAAAAGTAAAATAATTAAATATTCAGTTTGTTTTTTTCTTAAATTTTAACTTACTCGAATGCGTATGTAACGTAGCAGTTAATGGTTTTGTCTTTGGGATCGATCGATAACATCTTAAATGGCGATGTTGATGTTCTATCATTTCTACTGTTGCATAACTTTCAGAAAAATGCCGATGTTTACCATCTTGTTGACTTGATCGTGATGAGGTATTACTGAATCGAAACATACGTCGTCGAAAATGATGTGCCTCAATTAAACGACGAATAATTGAAGAGTTCAATGTTATAATTATAAAAAATGGTGCAATATTATAAATAACAAAGTCAACATAAACCCATATCTTTTCATAATTTTTTCCTGTTAATCCACATAGAACTCTATCTTCCCTTTCATGTGAAACGTTTGATTGATTATTGCATGTCTTTAATGCATACGTATATTCATTTTTAATGAGTTCAACAATCAGTACTATTGGACAATCAACGATCAAGAAAAACATCACTAATATAGCCAATGCCACTCGTGTATTTGTCGCATGATTAATTTTATGTGCAAGCAATGGATATTGTACAGCAATAAATCTTTCAACAGTGACACTAACAACCAAACCAGCGGATAGATGTGTTGTGAAATTTCCAAATAAATAAACCAAACGACATGCTAAATCTGATGAAATTTTGACATCGTAATATTTGTTCACTTTTGTTATCCACTCAAGGAGTGGACTAATTGTTAAATATAAACAATCAACAAATGCCAGCAATGTTAAATACAAACTTGCTGGATAACGAGAATGCCGACAATTAATAAGCATAATAAAAAATGATAGTGCATTACCGAATATACCCGATAGTATAAATACTGGATAAATATATAACCGCATATATTTTGAAACTAATTCAGCATAATCAGATTGAGAATCAATTTGATTGGATAATGATGATAATGATGCTTCTACTGCTGCTGCTGTAACACGGCATGTAATATTATAATCATCGGTATTATATGTTGAAATTGTACAACGGGTGTATTGACACGTTGAGTTTACACTAATAGGCGTACGTTGGTCTTCCGAAAAAGATAACATATACTCTATAATCTGTTTTATTGAACTGCTTGTATTATCGGCCATTTTATGCACTTATTCTTGTCGTATGTTGCTTCCGTTTCTATAAAACTAGACACTGCTCAAGTCTGAATAAAGAAAGAAATGACGTGATAGAGAAAAATAAAAACTATGAAGAATTTTGTTCTTCTTTTTCTCGTCTTTCTCTTTTCTTCTTCTCTTCTCTTCTTCTTTTTGTGCTCCAAGTGTTTTTACTTTTGTTCAATAGGATATTTACATACATCTTTTCGCTAAAAAGAACGTCAAAAAAAGAATCCTAATACTAATCAACGGTTAACATCATTAAAGTTTTTGATGGCTTGTTTAAGATAAAAGAGAAAATAAATGAATCTTGAATAACAGAATTTTAAATCGAATATAGAACAACAAAAGAAACAATCCGAAAATCCTGTTTTTGTATATATATATTTGATAGGTCTCGATCAAGAAAAACGTCCATTGTCATTTGATGAAACAACAATTGCTAAAAAACAACAAATATTTCCATCACGTCATCTAGATAATACAACAGCAGATGAACGTGTATCATTTAGTTTAGAAAAAGAAATTATAGATGATGATAAGGATGAAATAGTTTACAGTTCGACATCAAATATAATGTGAGTATCTTTCTTGATCGTTTAGACACTTATTATCTAAACTATATTGATTTTAATCAAAAGAAATAATAATGATGACGATGACGATGATGATGATGATGATGATGATGATGATGATGATGAACAAACATCACCAAGAACCAATGACAATTCAACAAATTCATCAACTGAGGAAATAACTGATGAAGAAGATGAAGTTGATGATGATGGATCGGACAATGAAGAAGACGAAGAAGAAAACAATCGTGATGATGATGATGCTGTAGTGTAAGTTCTACATTTATCTTTTTCCTTTTATTTAAATTATTCGATATTATCTATCTATATATATATATTTGAACAAAAGTAAAACAGCATGAAAAACTACGCTTAATGGTTTAATAAAATCGGCTATTTCCGCATGTGAATCTTCTATAAGAAAAGAAAAGAAAATTATTTGTGTCAGAATACGTGAGTCAAAAAGAAAGGCCAGGACAACCAGTTCAGTTATGTTAATGTGTGAGAAAACAAAAACAAAAGATTCACAGCAAATAAGAATCGATCGGAAAATTGCGTGATAAAAGCAAATATTGGTCTATTCATGCGTTTTATTTTTGTCATATAATCAATAAATTATTTTAACTATCGTTCATTATAGGATTCAATTAGATAAATCAAAAAATAACTCAGCTATAGAAATATCAAAACAAATTCAAAACAAAAAGTCGTTCGCTGAACGAAAACAATATTTAAGCATCGGTAAAAAAAAAAGCTAATGTTCAATTAAATGATCGGATTTGATTAACTATTTTAATTTAATTAGATTCTGGCCATATTCAATCAGAATCACCATCACCTGTTGATCTTTCCCCATCATCACCATCTCCAATAAATCAACAAGTACCAACATCAAAAAAATCAGATCCAATAGCGTTCGTAAGTTAATTTACTGTGAGACACAAAAAGCTCGTGCTGTTTTTAAATGGAACATATTTATGAATCTTGACAAAGACTCATTGATTATCGTAGAAGATGCTGTTATTGTCACGTTGCCTGTTATTATTTAATAGATTAACAATGCATAGCGCATATTCCTCGTAACGTCTCTGAATCTACAATTTCAGTTTACCAACTATTAAAATTCCTGACCTTGAATAGAAACTACTAATTAAGATGAGAACATCAATGTTTCCTAGGCCATCTCACTACAAAAAAAAAGAAGACTTGATTTGATCGAGTTAGGACTTGAATTTCGTCGAGAGAACCTAGGCACGAAATTAATAAGTGAACACTACCAAGGACCTCCTCCTCGTCCTACTACTACTAGGGCCTAGTTTGTAATCAAGTTTAACACGCTCATTGAAATCGTCTATGTCAAATATCTTTTAGTCATATTTTCGTGCACCATGTCCAATTTGTCGTGGCTCAACATATGACGAAACGTCAACAATTGAAATAGAAAAACAATATTATCATAAAACATGTTTACATTGTTATTCATGTGATAAACAATTAAAAGAAAATGAATATAACTATCATGATTTATCATCGAATGGAAGATATAATTTTTACTGTACATTACATTATTGTAAAAGCCGTCTCAAACAAGTAACAACAACATTAGCAGTAGCAACTCAGCAAGGTTTGGATGAGTAAATCTTTTGTTGTTATTGTTTGTTTTCAAGTACCTTGATTTTCATTTAATATTCTAATCTAATCAATGGAACAAGCCTTCGGCTAAGACTAAAACAACAAAAAATACTCCTATTCAAAAATAAAACCCTGTTCGAGATTTGTTGCTTTTTATGAAAATCCTTGTATTCACCGAAACTAAATAAATAAGAAGATTTCATTTCTCGATGAAAATAATACTAGTTTAGAGAAAATTAAGATTTAATATATCAGCTATAACAATTTATTTCATGTCATAAGAGTATTTGAAGATAATTCAAATGAAGATGAATGCTACTTGTCTCATTAATAGCACTCAATTAGACTCAATTTTGTCGGTTACTCATATTCTGATGCTATTGTGGGATGATAGTGTCAGGAAAATATCTTCAAGAATATCAAATTTTTTTTCTCATTGAAGAACAAATTATCATACTTCATAATAATCGTTGTAACTGGGAAAGTGTTTTTTTCTTCTTCATATTTCAAAAATCTTGGTGAAATAGTTAATGATAAAATTAATTACTAGAAGGCATCCGTGACATAAACAGATTTTTAATTGATAAAAGGTTAACTTCATGGAAGATTTAATAATATTGTAATAATGAAATATGCCGTAGTTGAGAGCAACAATGAATAAGTTCTTTGAGATATTTTAGGAACTCGATACACTTTATTGCTTTGATAGACACAATTGGTCAGTTCAAAATTACATCACTCGCTAATGCCTGTTTTGCAGTAGCAGCACTCAATTATTTTTCTACGAATATTACATGAGATTAGTACTAGCAGTCGTCTTGTTAACTCGACAGTTTTGCGTTTCTTAGCTAAATCTTTTGAATTTCTATTTTATCGCGTCATTGTTTATTATAGAATCTAAATCGAAAGCACTTTATCCAAATCTAACTCAATTACGTAGTAATACAAATGCACAATGGAATGACAGTCTTCGTTTGTATCCGTCATTGAAAGATGCTCTCAGTTCAACACCACATCCTCTTAATATTGTAAATATATCTGATAATAAGAAAGCACAACAAACGGATCGCCTTGAACATGTTCAAACATCTATTTCAAATAATATCAACGAAAAAATTGCCTCAAATATTATAAGAAGTAAAACCTTTGATGAATCTTTACCAAAAGAATTGAGTGATAATGATGAAAATTTAAATGTTGACTCAAAACTAACAGTAGATCACTCAGGCAAATATCGATTTAAACGACGTGAACAAAATCGTCTACCGTCACCGATATCATCAAGTAATACTCAATTAGTGTCATCAAACAATACGCAACAAAGTGAAACAAATCTATTATCAGTAGTAAATCGGAAGAAAAAGAAAATTCTTATTCCACAATCAAATTTGAATTTATCATCGTCATCATCACGAACATCATCTCAATCATTAGACGATGAACGGCAACGTATGTCGAACGAACGTCGTCGGCAACGTGATGAACGACAAAAGGAGCTTGTGCGATTTCGTCGTTCACAAGAAATTCAACGTGAACTTGAAGAAATCGAAGAAAAACGTTTGGAACTTGATAAACGTCATGTGACGGCACGTCAACATTTGAGTAAAAATTCAAAATTCTCTGGCTTCTATTTTTAACTACAATTTTTCTCATTAAATAGATTCATTTTTCAATGACGAAACGAAGAAAACCTATTGGGAACGAGAGTGTTTATGTGTTGTTCGAGAACGAACAGGATTACAACGAGTCACAGACGAATTATTAATGTCCAAACGTGGCTTGACGCTAGAAAATGAACGTTCACGTGCAGAAAATGAATATCGACAATTAATTAATTTGCCAGGTATGTCATAATTTGAATAATTCACATACCGTATTTTTCAATTGAAAACGAAGCAAGTTTTTGAATAAAAAGAATACGACAGAATTTTTAATTGATCCTGGAATATTTAGAGTTTACGCCAAAGAAAGCTTACGAACTCATAGGCGCTTTTGATCTTTGATAGAATATGAAAATCTTAAGGAGATTTTCAGCTAATGACACGTTACTCAAATTAGATAAACCTTTTATTCTTATAATAAATATTGGAAATAACGTTATGTCGTCTACAAATTGTAAAAATTTGAGACTTCAAGTTTTTGTTCTATTTTTAGCTTACTCGCGCTTTTCTTATAGGATATACGTATGAATAAACAACTTATCATGTGATGTTAAAAGAATTTTTAAATCAGTGAACAATAATCTTTCTCTTCCGAGTCTATAAGAATCCGTCAACACGCGAATGACTCATAAAATTGGAAAAGATTAATTTCCTGTTATTTGTTCTTTTTTAAACCATTAGTAAATGGATTTTAGTGCTTCAATATTCTATTGATACGCATTTACAATGAACTTATAATACCCTAGAATTGAGATGGCCTTTTCTAATTTAAGAATTCTTAAGAATAAATGAACTATTTTTCTTTACCCTGGAGTTACTTTAGTACGTTCACATTTTCCCTTGAAAATTCTATTGAAGTATAAAACTATTTTTAAACTAAACACAATTATATCACCATCAATCAATCAAATTTTGAGCGTTCTTTTGTTCTTGTTTGAATAAATACTTTATGACAGAATTAATGTGAAATCTTCACTTGAAAAAGAAAACCAAAGTTCATGACATCTAGATAAACTTTATTTATAGCAACGTCTGAAATAGAGCTTCCGATTCTTGATGTCCTTTCTGAACTTTGAATATTGAGTTTAGTCAGCATTGAATTTAAGAAAACTAAAAGTTCATTTTAATTATATTTTAATATCAATGAATTGCATAAATTTAGATGAACATAAAACAATCAAAGATAAAGAACGTGAAGAACAATTGATAACAATGATTGCAAAATTGGTAGAAGCAAAAAATAATTTAACACTTGAACTTGATCAAATGAGATTACGGTAAAAATAAGTAACGAATTCCAGTTATTCTTATTTATATACAAGAGCACTATTTGAATGCATCTCTTCTTAATATTACTGATTTTCTTCTTATTAACCTACTTCTATATCTCATAAATATTATTTTCAAAGGGATAATAACAACTACTTATAAAGGTGAGAATATATGTTTAGTGTCCGATCTAAATAACAAAAAAAAATGATTAGTTCCCAAATTTCGTTATTAGTTGATGAAAATATAGTTCTCTTGTGTCTAGTTTGCATGCTTGTGAACCTTCTATTCCTGTACGTGTTGTCTCCTATTTTGCTCACATTCTAGATTTTCTTTTCATTAATTTTTTGTGTGATCATATCATAGTTGCTTTTGCTTTCTTAATTATAAATATTAATGTTTGCCTTAATATTAAATAATCTTTCTATTTATTCTAGGGAACTACAAGAAGATGAATGTTTACATCATGCCTTTCAGCTTCAAGGAATCGAACAACCGACGACGAATTTTCACACTTTTGACACCCTCAAAGACATCATTTAATTTTATATTGATTAACAATTTCATATTGCCTTAGTTTATTACGTAATACTCCATGCTTTCTTCTTTGTTGATTTTCGTGATTGATTTTGAGCTTAAATATAAAGAAAATAATAAAACCTTCAATTTCTCTATCAGTATTTTTCAGCAAAATTCATTTTTTCTTTTTGTCACATATCCTATTGTACACTCGTCGTCTTTTTTTTTTATATATTGATATGTCATAATAAGCGTGCCCGCACTCTTTTTGCTTTTATTTACAATGTTTGTTTGCTCTTTTGTTCGAATGCAATCATCCAGTGAAAATAATAAAAAAACAACTTTTCCTGATGCTTGTTATAAGGCCTTGCTATTCATTCTATTTTTTCATTAGTTACAAAGAAAAAAAGATATCCTATGATTTCATATTTGAACAGAAAAATCAATTTTTGAATTTCTTAATTATTATTAGAATAGACAGAAATGAATTGAATTCTTTTCGTCTCATCCAATTAGCTTTTGTCTACAATTTTAATGAACATATAGAAATGGAAAGAACTCCCAAAGCCTTTTTTTTTATAGCATATGCTTTTATTTGCGTATTTCTTTAATTATTTTTAACATCGAGCATACTTTCTATCTATGAGCACCATTGTCATTGTATTGATCATCTGACAAAATAAATGCGAGCAATCTTTATGGAAATGCTTTGTGTGTGTAGATTAACAATATTGCTAATAATAATAATAGGATTTTTAATAAAAACATGCTTTTTCTATAGTGATTGCATCAAAAGAAAACGAGAATATTTTTCATAATTGTCTTATTGGCACTTTTCTTTGCTTACGCAAACAACTGAAATAGCAACAGAAGCTATTCAAATCCTGTTAAGTACATTTCCCGGTAAATTTCATCATGTGATGTTTTCACAGCTTAGTAAATCCTGTCAAAACAAACGTGACTCATGAAACAATGATGAAAAATAATACGTATCAATTTCGCCTAAAGCATATTAAATAGCCGAACTTATTTACAAGCTTGATGCGAATAAATATTGTTATCTCCAATGTAAAAGTTAAGAAAATAGAAGTTCTAAAAATATTAAAATCATTATATAAAAAGACATTCTATGTTTTCTTCAAGTGAATAACAAACTAGTCTCGTTAAATAAGACAAAAAATTGTCATGAAAATACAATGAATGATTCAATCGAGTTGAATTACGTAAAAAATAGTTTCTGTAGTTAACACTATAGTACTTTGTGAAAAATCTAGGGTTTTTGTTACTTTAACACTTATGGATAAATGCTTGATGAATGAACAGTTTTAACAGGGATAGATGAATAGTGTATGAAAATATTATTGTAGCGTCGAGTGGATCTTAATGAGAATGGATTTTGCTTTTAGAGTCAATTCTTTTTATTAAGTGTAATGATGCTTCATTTGGAATTAGAGCATTTTGCATGATTAGAACTATAAAAAAAAAGCAGCAGAATGACAGTGATATAATTAACACAAACTTAATTGTTTATTTCAGCGCTTTTGTGTCATATAGGCCAATTAACTTCAAAATTACTCTTGATATTCATTGATTCACACATGAGTCGTTACTTGAGTTATTTATAGTCAATTTTAATTGAGTATAAGAATAAATAAACAGGTGAAAATATTTTTAAAATGATCACATTATTTAGTGAGATGATGTAAAACATTTACTTGAAAATTTATATATAGAAAAACAAAACTTGTAGTATGAATTATTCTCATTAGATTTAGCTGATAAACGTTTTTTTGATCTGTGAAAACTATCTTTAAAAATATGTAATTATAAGATTTTTTAAGCACGACAGCATTTGATTGGTGATTGAAAAAGTTGTTTTTTATTAGTCATCCACTTGGCGATGAAATTCAGTCAACCATGATTTTTCTAACAAGGGAATCTTTTCATATAACAAGCGCACCTTGTTTACACATACATGCACGTGTTCAATTGATTGTTAATCATTCAGTTTTTTCTTTATTTGGAATGTCTTCCGTTTTTTCTATGCTCATTTTCAAAAGTATGCTAAAAACATGAGGCAGATGAAATAACGAATGATGATGAAAATCAATTGGTGTCACCCCGATTCGCCCCTGATTGGTCCCATACACAATTCGTCCTATTTTAAATTTTCTCAACTGGTCTCATTCCGAGTTTGTACCTATCTCAATCGGTCCCATGCTTAATTGGTATCTAATTTTTCGGAATGCCGTGATTATCCCCTTCTATTGAATGCTAAGTATACTAATCACAATACCTTATGTCTTGTTGATCTTCTGAAGTACGAAAAAAACCTTAGGCAATAGCGAGCACAAAGAACATTGCTTGTATTTCTCTAGTAAAACAAATAACTCGTGTTGAAGTTCACATATAGCGAACGTTCAAAGCCTGTGTTGCACTTTAAAGGATATCAATATACAAAAAAACGGGAATATAAAACTGGTCAAGAAAAAGAACAACATAGAGAGTAATAGCTTTAATGTAATCTTATTTTTCTTTGATAATAAATAGTTCTTTGTCTATAACGTATTATATTGTTTTACAGGCAATCAGGGACGAGCTAAGAAAAATTTAAATGGGACGAATTGGATATGAGGCCAATCAGGGACGAATCGGGACTAAGCCAAATCAATTTACATGAGTGATTCGTGCAAACGAAATCTGAGTATTGCAGCTTATTATTTATTTCATGAAAAAACTCATTTAGGTAGAGCGATGAAGACCGACCACTCGACCAGCCAACAGGTCTTATTATTGAATTTAAATTTGCGCTGCTACGTTGAAAAAGTGAGTTCTCTTTTTTTTTCTAACGTAAGTGTGCAACACTGGCTGACTTCGAAGTTAATATTTTCTTCACAAAAACAAATTTGTTCTCTAATGTAAAAAACGCACACTTGACACATAGAAACGCTTTCTTTTTTCATTGATTTTCGTTTGCCAGGGCAATTTAAGCAAGACAATATGCTGAAAATGGCTGTTTATATTCACAAAGAAAAACAATTTTTTTATACTTCTAAGATTATTCATGTCAAAACTAATCAGAGAATCATGTATATCATTCATTTCGTTTTAGTATTTGCCGTCGATCTATATGCACCAGTGAATATATACATTTCGATAGACGCTAGTTATTACTTACGATTTTCTACTAGTGTATACATTTTATTATCTGTAAAATATACAGCAACGAACTAAAAATGACTTCTGTTGATATCAATATTCAAACAAGTTATAACAAGCGACCGTCTTCTTCTCCCGGCGAACATCATGAGTTTTTCAATGGTATTTATAAGCTACTATTAAATTTTGCTAATGCCATGGTTAGTTTTGATATACTTTTGGTAACATTTGCATTCATATTGTCCTTTGGCAATATATTACGTAAAGATCCATACATGAGTGATACATTTCAAATTCCATTGCATTATATAATTTATTTTCTATTGGGTTTTCTGCTATCATATATGTGCTTTAAAAAGGTACGAAATTCTTGTCGATTGTCTATTCATTTGTTAATTGTTTGCTTGATATTTACTCTTATGTTTGTTTTCTTCTTTTTTGAAATAACGTATAATGACGACAAACTAAATGTATCGATTCGTATTTTTCTCTCAGCTGGTATTGGTATGCTTTTAGTTTGTATCTATTCATTACATATTTATTATGAAAACAAATCACATAGTGATTGATTTTTATGATATTCTATAGAAATTGAAATGTGATTTCTTTTTTCATATTTTACTGATCCTAATCAAATTATTATGTAAAATAAATGAAGAAAAGATTGATAATATGAAAATAACTTTTGTGATACAGAAGAATGACATGGTTCGATAGAAAATTAAAAAATGTACATATAAACTTACTTGCAAAAGTTGTTTTTTAAAACTGTCTATTAACTCATCATCGGAGATATGTTTCTATTGGATTAGAATTTTAATAAACACTGAGTTGATATTCGTAGATTTGAAGTTCTAAATAAAATCTGATTCTAATTTCTGAAAATTTTGTTTTTGATTTCAACGCTTTTTGTGAAAGACTGTAAACGAAAATTGCAAGGAGATTTTCTTTTTCTTGAGTATTAAATTGGCATAGTATTATAGAGAATAGTTTCTTTTACGAATATAATCTGAACGCGGTTGAATCGTAAGGATTTTGCTCTCATATTAAACTATATGATTGAAAGTTGTATTCGAATTAGCAGAATAGTTGAAACTAGATCCAGAAACACATTCTTTATTTGCTTTTTGACGACTGGCTACTTGTTTCACTTGTGTAGTCGTTCTAAAACAATGCTTTTTGGTCTTCCGCGTGTATCTTTATATATTTTAGTCGAAGCTGGATACCGACTATTAAGGATATGACCGATGAATTTATCATAGGAAAACATAGAACCTATATCGTAAAGAACCCTAGATGAGTTTTGTGCTCGATATGTTGAGCTAATAGATTTCTTGCTTCCTGATGATTGATCATTTAGTTTTCTTTGATACGTGAACCATATTGCTCTATGTGCGTTTGCTACAAGATTTGCTAAATTTGATCTGATAAAATCGACTTCTTCTCGAAAACATCCTAATTCACATTGACCATTAATGGCTTCCTGTTTTTCAATCATATCAAAAGTATGCGTATTGAACAATTTATTCAGATTCCGAGTAAGAATTTTTGGTCCATTTGGATCGACTTTCAAGTTTTTAAAACATCACCGTACTGTTTCAGTGGACATTGGTGACAATCTTCAAGTAAATATTTACGTAAATTCAATTAAAAAGAAAGTCGACAGATTACCGCATGAATTCGTGTTTTTACATTAATTTAAGAAACAAAACAGTAAAGATAAGATTTGATGTGTCATTGCTTTTTATATTTAATGTAAAAAAAATGAAATAAGAAAGAGAAACCAAAAGTTGATAGATGTCATCAATTCTTACGAACTGGTCATAAAAAGCCACGTCGGCAAATTGACTTACGAGAATAATAACATGCCACGTGCAATTTCTTGAGAAAATATGACTGATTTTATTAATTTTTATTAAAAAGATTAACAAAACAGAAAAAAAAGACGTTCATATTATGTTATGATATGCGGTAAATCGAGTTCTACAAAAACAAAATTAACTTTTGAAACGCCATGCTGCTGATGAGAAATTTGTTGTTGTTGGTTTATTATCGAAGACTTGTCCGAATTTCCTTAATAAACAAAAAAGAAAAACAATCATTTTGTATTAATGTTATTCAATTTAATATTTGAGTGCTTAAGATTTCGTGATCATTTCAAGAATGACTAGACTAGTTCTAGGTAGTAGAGAGAGAGAGAGCGGAAAGGCTCACGCAGATGAGCGATTTTCTGAACTTCTCAGATTTTTCATTAAATTTTATTTATGGATTGGGTAAAATCAATCTTTTGGACTAATGACTGGTAAATATTAGCGGTTTTCTTTTCACAATCATGAATTTCTTTCATTGTGCTAAAATATAGGTCATGCTATTGATAGATGCGTGCAGATAAATCTAACGATTTCGATAAATTCCAACAGCCCCGTCGACGAAAATACATACTTGCAATCGAACTGATTGATTTCTTCTAAAATTTTATCAATATCTTCATCAGAAAATTGACCTTGAAGTTTCTATTGAAAAAACAAATAAATCAATATGATCGGATAAACATTTGATAAAATTATTTTACTTCTTCAATTGCTTTTTTAAATAGAGCACGATTTGATATTCGACTAGCTGATTTATCATCTTCATCATCATCATCATCATCATCATCACAAGTAGCAGCAGAGTAAAAGAAATTTGCTAAATCAAGTTGAGGACGACGTCGAAAAAGTGTATGCAATCGTTCGATTGGCGACGGTTGGGTTCTACGTTTTACTAATTTTGGTGGTAGTGGTTTGTCACCAACTAAAATACGAAGATTAGGACATTGAACTTTTACTTGAGAGCCAAGGTCTTTAAAATCAAGATTGTATTGAATTTCCTGCGAATCAAAATCAATATAGAAATTCTCTTGAAACATTAAATGAATTAATCTATACTGTTAAGTCAATTAGTTCAAGTTTATTAGGCACTGCATCTTTTGCTATAAGTGGTTTGACAATAGCATAGCATCCAGCTGATTCAAGTGGATTTGCTGTTAGCTATGAAATAAACGAAACAAAGATAGATATGATACGTTTATTTAAATATTGATTCTTACAAATATTTTTTGTAAACTTTCAGTTTTAGCAAGACCACGACCAATGAATATAGCCGATTCGACTGTTAAACGATTGTGACTGATCAGTATAGCAATAATACATTTCTAATATGTCGTTTCGTTTATGTAAAGATAGACAATATTACCTGAGATCAAGTTCAACAAGTGAAGTATTCTCTTTGAAAGCATTCAACCAAGCACGTCCACATTCAGGTCCAGATAAACCATTATGAGCCAAATTTAATATTTTAAGAAAAACATTTTCCTAGTTAATTAAATAAATATACATATATATGATTTATCTCAATTGATTTCAGGTAGATATTGTATAAATTTCATAGTAGCTTCTAATAAGTTATGAATAATTTGAAAATAGTTAGGTTTCTACGTTTATTACTAATGGCAAGTTGCTTTTTCTATTCTATGTAGATTGCACGTCAATATCAGGGTGGTCGTCGGAAAAACTCATTTTGAGACTTCAAGTTGAAATCTCCATAGAGATAAGCTGTGACGTAAATATTCTCCGCATTTTCTTGATATAAGCACAGCAAGTATATCGCTTACATATGCACGATGCCAAAGTATGAACAAAAACTCTTTCGATACGCTGTTCTCAATAAGTTCAAAATCTTTGGAAAGTTTTCAAATCGAAATACAAATCATAATCCTCTCACGATATTCGTAACTCATCAGAATTTGAATGATACCGTACACTGCTCACTCAAGCGTAGTTTACCGTTGGGACTACTATTCTCATGAGATAATTCCGCTACTGTTTATACGAAACCAATAGGAAAAGTAATATCCGCAATAGATCGATTCTTACTTGCATTCCTTTAATTAACGCCACAGCACCTTTACCATTGATTGAATTCCAACTGAGATCAAGAGATTCCATCGTTGTATTCTCGGCTAGTGCACGACCTTAATAGAACAATATTTTTTTGTTTTCAGTATGTATCATGTATATATTTACCTAAGAAGAAACCACTTCCTGATCCAAGTCTATTTTTTGCCAAATTCAATGTCCTTATTTGTCCAGTATTCTACATAGTATCAAATAATTAGAGTAAAAAAAATTCTGTGGTACTCAAATCTTACTGAAATAATTTCAGCGAATAAACAAGCAGATTCATCATTTAGTAAGTTTCCTAGAGATAGATTAAAATACTTATTGAAAAAATGTATATACAAGCACAAAGGAATTTTCAACCTTCAAGATTTAAATGATTAATTGTTCTATTATCTTTGAACATATTAAATAATTCTCGAGCACCAAAAACACTTATAAAATTGTGTGAAAGATTAAGATCAACAATTGCGATATTATCAAGAAGAATTTTCGATAAATAAAGAATGCCTTTATCACCAAGACCATTACTTGTTAAATCAAGTTTAGTTATAGTTGTATTCCTCTGAAATAAGAATCAAGCAACAATAATAGATACGCTTGATTCTTCTGGATTAAAATTATTGTTACATACTCCTAAGCTTGGTAGAAATCCTCGGATGCCTCTCGAACCTAAGCCGTAAAAACGCATCATTAATTCTTTTTTATCGTGATTTTTCAAATAAAGTCCGACAGGTACAATATTCTCGTATGCACAAACACGTTTATAGATACCAATAGATGAATGATCAACATCTGGATTAATATCATCTTCTAAATCGGTATCATAATCTTCGTCACTAGCAAATGAAAAAGTAGTTGAAGTTGAATTCGATTGAAATTCACTATTATTTAAAGTTGATGTTTCGGCTCCGCTTGATTTTGGACGACGTTCATTAGTGTTTGTATTGATATTTTTACTTCGTTCTAATCGCTTTTTTAGACAAAAAAAACTATTTGTGCAAGCTTTTTTTTTGAATGAATAGCTACATACTCGTTTAGGATCGACTGTAAGTGGTCGAACGAGATAAGTCGGATTTTTGAATACTTCAGAGTTACGTTTTTGCATTTTATTTTTAAGATGAAATGAAAGTAAAAAGAGAAAAGAATGAAAAAATATATAACACGCATAATCAAATTTGTATGGATTTGTTTACAATTTCAATGTATACATATTTCTATTTCGATGTTTGTCATGCAACACGAAGGAACGTACTTCTTATTTGATTAATTCAGTTTTTTTCTCAAATAGATACAACAATAATCAAGTATTTTTTGTTTTCATAGTTTTTTTTTGTATTTTTATCGTCGCCAATCAGATGTTTGCCGGTAAAACCTTCAATAGTGGAGGTCTCATTACAGATAAAAATCAACTCATTTTAATCAAAGTCCTTTATCAAATCAATCACTAATGATATGTAATTGTCAAAGTAAATAAAAAGAAATCAATGTGTTCTTGGCGTTTTGCTTGTATAGACACCAGTAATTAACGCAATTCAATATTTTGCTGTTACGAACTAATTTTTTAGATTCTCATTAGTATATTTATTGTAAAATATAAGAAATTATTTTCAACGATTTATTAATGCGGTGCGAAGCACTGCATTTATGTAGTCCGTCGCGAGTTTTTTTTTCTTTCTTTCAAACTTGAGTACGCATAAAAAGTTCTTATTAAGTGGCGCGATGATCTAAAGAACCGTAAATGCTAGAAAATCCATTCAAACTAGATATGAAAGTATCGAGATCGAACTTGTTACATCTTTTTCCGATTTTCAATACTAGGTTTCGTTCGCCTAAAAATATCATTCGACAATGATGATTTTGAAAGGTTTTATTGTTTTATAGTTTCGCGCTAACCAAAATGACGTCATCAATAGTTGTTAACCAATAGTCTATTGTTTTACATCTGATTCAAGATAATGATTCATGAAAATAATTAATCGTTCAATGAAAAAAATCGTTAGGAAACTGGTTGTTACATTTTCAGAGAGATTTCCTAGTGATGAATTTCAAAATGATCGATTTGAGAATAGTGAATGCGAAATTTTTATTCAAAATTCGTATACGGAAATTTAAAAAAAATAAACGTTTGTAATGAATCTTAAAGTGAATCATTTATTTTTAAATCTTATTCTCGCTACTTTCGAAAATTCGGCGCGTGTACTTCGCACCGCATTTCGTAGTCGAGTGAAACTCGAATACCATCTAGTTTATTACTAAATACTTCTTAGACTGTATGAACTATATATATATATATATTTATGTGCCCGTGTAGTAGTGTGATGACAATATTTAATGAATATAGAAGTGTTAGAATATTGATCAAAAAGAACTGTCTATCAAATTGGTCTACTATTTTCATAATTGTTTAACAAATTAAGTCGATAGATTTTGCCAAAGCGAGCTATTTAGCTCTTATTTCCGATTACGTTTAGATTCTGTTCTTTTCGCTTTTAGCAGACCAATCTTAACAAGACAGTATGGCCATGAATACATGTGTTGAAAAAGCAAAATAAAACGGAACTACTGTTGTATGTATGAATCCTATGGATATTGTTTATCGTGATCAGCTACTGATAATCAATAGTCAACGAATAGAAGACCAAAGCAAGACATATCAAGGAGAAAAAACAGTGTCTTGTTTTCTTGATTGATATCTTCGTTTGACGCTCACTAGTAAGTAATCAAACGAGCATTTTTTTCATATATGTTTTAATCATATTTCATTTTAAAACAATTCATCTATGAAATATAATTGATCGAGCTCGTTTTCTTCGCATATTACTTTACTATAAAAATTTTATTTCTGGATCTTTCTTATATCAAAATTCAACAAAAAAATGACGCCCGTAATTGTAACTGATAGACATGTCATATCATTATTTTTTTATGCAAAAAAGAGATATGTATAGTGTAATACAGTTGTACACTGTTACGGTTGACAAAAATTACCTTCCTCCATCATTGATCGTTCGTACTCGATAAAAGAAGGTTGTTATATGCCAAGGCACAACAAAAATTCATTTTCATTGCCGATACTTAAAATTACAAAATAGATTCTACGATCGTCGACCTCGTGAACAGTAACTTCGTGTATATTTAAATATTTAATGTATAATTTATCTATAAGAAACTAATGGCTAAACAAATACAAAATAATCGTGAACGCAATCCAACGCCGTTGCCGTTGCTCATTGCTGCACATTGCTCAACAATACGTCGAAAAACAGCACGTATTGATAAAAGTGAATTATCAGCAATATTAAATGATCTAGTTCGTGAATTACACACCAGCAGATTACCCCTAAAATCATACTTGAATTGTTTAAATGAAATCGTTAAAACACTCAATTCACATTTTCCTTCAACATTACTTGAATTAGCTTCTCATTACTTTTTTATTCTCATTCGTAGTACAATACGAACTATTTTACAGCAACTACACTCGTCCAATGAATTAAATGCTGAAGAAATTTATCTTCTACGTAATTGTACTCTTTTACTTCATCATGCAGTGAAAGAAATCGATAATGTTTCAAAAGTTGTACATTGGTTCAGTGATACAGCATTTCTTGATGCTGTCGCAAATTGTCTAAATCATATTAATAAAATTTCCAAAGCAAATGAAAGTCGACTTTTCATTAAACAGATAGCACGTCTATTAGGTGTCATATCTAATGTTCAAGAACGTTTACCAATGCAACTGCATAATAATTTATTTGCACAATTACTTGAACCAACGATCAATTGTTTAACATCATCAGATTATCTTAAATTATTTCTTAATTTAAAAGCAAACGAAGGCTCATGTTCTGAAAAGCAAAAGTTTTATCTTATTAAATGTCCATATTTTCTTACGACATACAATGGTAAACATTTTAAATGTGGATAATTAGATTGCTATGCGTTTCTTTCTAGGACCACATATCGAAAAAGCTATTGAACGTATTTTAGAAGTTATGTTACCACGTTATGTTTCAATACTCGATAAACATATGAAAACAATTAAAGAATGGAATCATTCAATGATGCGTGCTATACACAATCTTATTATCACTATAGTTTATGCCGAAGGGTTTTTCTCATCTCATACAAGTAGTAAATCATTTCGATTACTTGTTAATCATCTTTTACATCTTCTCAATGAGCCTACACTAATTAATAAAATACAATCAAATTCAAACAGTGTAGAAACATTATTAATCGATGCAGCATTAGTCGCCTTTAGCATACTAGTTTATGAACCCAATGCATTAGATTATATTAAAGCGCTTAAACCGATAGGAATATTTAAAAAATTAACCAAAAATCCTCATGAAACAATTGTTCTAAATGCTTATATGATGCTTGCATATGTCATAGATGAAAAAACTATTCAAGCATCCGTCGAGGATCTATCTCAATTACTTTTTACTACGCTCAAATTGTTAGGAAATGCAATTGAAAATCGACACGAAAAAAATGCCGATGCACATTCAAGCCGAGAAACTATTGATCGAAATATAATACAGCTTATTGAAACATTGAAAGGTAAAGGAATTAATAGTTTCATCTATTTAATATTTTTATTTTGAAATTTATTTTATAGGTTTAGCTCAATATCAACAAATCAAAAATCAAATATTAAAAAAGGGGCTGATATCAAGTTTAGTTGCTTACTATGAAAAATCACATGGATTACCAAAACAATTATTACTTGAATGCATTTGGACATTATCGTTCAATGAACAGATAGCTCAACAATTACGTACTAATTCAAAATTTATTGTTTCATTAGAAAATATAGCGAAACTTACTAATGATGATACTCAACAAGATGCAATTCGTCATTCAAATAGTTATTGTAGCCGTCAAAATGGTACTGTTGTAGCATCGAGTGAAGGAACACATAGTGGAATACAAAAAGTAACCGATGGACTTCTTTGGAAACTTGTTAAGGGTATGATTTTCAAGTGAAGAATTGTTTTTTTTTTAATTTATTTTTGTTATATAGAAAACACATGTCGAGAACAATTCCAAAAGCAAATAAAGCAAAATCAAAATTATGAATATGATCTAATGATATCATATTGTCATGCTGACAAAGACATTGTCCATAAGATTCAAAAATTTCTTACTAATGAAGGTTATAATATTTGGATAAATCGTAGTCACAAACATAGACAAGGTGAGACGAGTATGAATAGTTTTTTTTTCTTTGTTTAATAATGAGTGAAAATTCAATCAATCATTCGATTGATTTGTGAACTAGAAGAACACCATGGCAGGTAAATTTATCCAAAAAGAAAATGCAATCCCAAGGTTGATGTCTTGAAACATATATGTTTAGAAAATATCTTGAAATATGTAGTTTTCTTTCTAGCCATGGAAGTTGTTGCAGACGCAATAGAAAATTCAGAATTTGTCATTATTTGCATGTCTGATTCATATAAACGCGATAATCATTGTCAAGCAGAAATTGAATATGCATTTAACTCTAAACGATCGTTGATTCCATTGTTTCTACGTCAAGGCTACAAACCCGATCAATGGTCTGCTTCTATGATCAGCACTAATAGCTACATTGATTTTGCCGGATCTGATTTTAAAACAGCATCTTCATTGTTGTTGGAAGAAATTAGACAACGAAAATGTAAAAAACAAATAGAAGAAGCAAAATCGCCAGAATTTACATCAACAAGTAATCTGAATGATACGTCTATTTCTTCAACTGTTTCTGATACGAATAGCGTACCTGCTGTATCGTCAACTTCTACTGCATCTACTAATTCTGTACTATTTTCTCTTCCGACCGCCGATTTTGAGGCACAACCAATAGTACCGCTGCCTTCGACACCAAGACCACAAGTATCCGATACTACCTTATCTACAACGTCTGCTGTTGTTGATAAACAACAAAAAGGATCTGCATGGTCGACTTCACAGCCATCAATAAATACTTCAATCTCTCATGTAATATCTGATGGTATTACTGAGCAACAGGAATCACACATACATTATGTTTCCAGACCATATAGATTTGGTGGTATACCCTCAAATAAACCAACTATTGATATGCATCAACAACAATCACAAATACCGCCTATTTCAGTATCAGCAGTGTCTAATGACACTGATCAGGAGCAACAACAACAACAACAACAACAACAACAAAAGTCAATTATTTCAACTTCCGCAATACTGACACCCACTGACGTTGATACTTCTACCATGTCTCCATTCATCAATAAAAAAAATCAATATCATCAAATACTGATACGCCCTGTTGTACTGCCACCAATGGTTAATGTCATTTCTTCTGTTGCATCTACTGCCACCGATAAGCAACAAAATTATCAACAACAACAACAGCCACCGATGTATCCTGTTTCAAAACCAATAGCGACTAACAATACTACATTTGCCAACACTCACTTTATCGGCCCACAACAAGTGCAAATGTCAAAAAGGTCTGTTTCACAATCACCAGTACCTGGCGCTAGTTATTCTACTGCACCTACAAATTTTAATACACAACAGCAAAAACCAATAGTACCTTCTGTTTTAACATCGTTGCCACCTAGTACTGTGTCCATTGACGCATCTAACAATGTAGATTACAATTGGCAGCAAGCACTCGTACCAACCCAACATCAAACATCGACTATTAATGCAGTATCCTCTGGCACATCTACACTTATGAGCCAGCAACAACAACCAATATATGGTGTTATAGGACCGCCAACGAATGGTGTTGACCTAGCCGGCACACAAGCCGTTATTGATAAGAACCAACAAGAATCAAAGTTAATGCTTCTTGATTCCCCATCTTCATCATCTAGTTCTATGTCCCCCGATGAATTTACCAATGATGAGAAACAATCGTCACGACACGTCATAGTATTTTCAATGCCACGGCCACCGATAGCGACTAAGACTTCACCTTCTTCTACATCTACTATTGCCCCTCAACAGCAAACATCAATATATCCTCTTTCTCAATCACTAACAAATAATAGCCTTTCTCCTGCTTCACCCATTTCCATAGATAAGTATCAACAACAAATACCAATGCGTTCTATTCCGCAACCGCAAACATTTGGATTTTTACCGTTGGGTACGCCTGTTGCCAATGATAGGCAACCACAAATAGCATCCTTACATCCTAATTCACAATCATTAACAAATAATATAGTCACATCACCCTTATCCATCGTCGTTGATAAGCAACAACAGAAATCATTGAATTCAGCTTCGCAAGCACCGCCGTCTACATCTTCTCCAGCAATACCTGTTGTCATAGAAAAACAACAACAACAACAAACATTGTCATTCTCTAATTCATATTCAACCACACTTGCATCTTTGCCCGTTACATCTTCCATATATCCAATGCTATCCACATCTTCACAGACAACTCCACGGGTAACACCAAGCTTACCCGAAGTATACACAAATCGCAAAATTGGTGTCTCAACGTATCATGATATTCCGATTAATGCATGGATAAGAAATGATGTACTTGATTTTCTATTTGATTCAAGTCTTTATGCAATGATGCCACTGTGCGAATCGATGTCAGGTAAAGCTTTACTACGATTTTTTAGAATGTGCCAGGAAAAGCCTAGTCGCCTTTACGGTCAATTAAACGAAGAATTACGTGTTCGCTTCAACGGCATAACTTTACCGATGGGTGTTTATACAGAATTTCTCACAGAAATGGATAATTTACTGAATCCTGAATCTGAAACAACTTTGCAAGCATCTTCTTCAACGCAACCCATGGTGGAACATGTCATGCTCCGATCACGCGCTCAACAACAACAGCAACCGATACAAATGCCAGCAAGCTCTAGATTCTCTACATATTCAACAGCCTCACAAGGCCGATCGAGATCTGTTATACCATTGCAAACAATCGAAGAAACAAGAACTACCGATGAAAAGCGTTTTTCTGAACGAGCCATTTTTCGTCCACCATTATCATCTGGACGACCATATAGCTTGATTGTTGAATCATTGGATAAAATAAGTACATTTCTATAATAAACAAAATACTATAAACCTTATTCAATTCGAATCAATTAAACAAATCATGACTATCGAAAAACAAATTGTTCTCGTTTCGAAAAGTTGTGTGACCGCCTGTACTTTTTTTCCACCATAGATGAATTCAACAATAGAGATGTGCAGGATATGATTATTTTTTGCGTACATTATACTTTTAATGAGAAAATTTTGTGTGCCATATCCCTTCTTCGACTACTCCGTAGAAGATCTACACAAGTAGGCACTTATGATGAGTGACAAGCGCATTTTTACACTTTACTCTGTATACTTTTACTTTTTCAAAACCAAAGGACAATTTTGAACACTCTAGTGACCATAAATTTTCTTTTTAACAAATCAAATCATGCATTTCTACGAGTAAAAATGAATTATCATGTGATTGGGTACCCTTTTATTTTTCTTCGAACCTTTTTTCTCTCATCCTTCTCAAAATTAACATAACAATCAAAAGTAGAAATAGTATTACAATAAGATTTTTTTCGTAGTATGCATCCTCACTAAGGAAAGGTTTTTCATCATTATGCTGTCTTATCCTGCACATTGCTATTGGAGAAAATAAATTTTGGAATTTAAAAAAAATATACCACAGTATAAAATTTAATATTTCAATGTTTTTATTTTATGTATGCTGTAACAATTATTTTAAAAAAATTCATATACATGATAATCTGAATAAATCTTCTGATTATTTAGATAAGCACCTTAATCATCGGGTTTGAATTTATTTGCAAAAAGAACAAGAAAATAAGGAATCTGTATAAAAAAAAATTAATTAAGAATTGGAATAAGTTCATCAAGTTCACTTTCGCTTAAAGCCTCTCGAAGTCGTTGTTTTGTAGCTGTATCACCTTCTTCCTCACGCCAAATTTGTAGTAATGCATATATCTAAATAGGTTTGCATGATTATTATATGAAAAAGAAAATAATCTTAAATATTTACTGTTGCTTCTGAATCATAATTTTTTAATTCTTGATATGCCTCAACATCATATTCAAGAAAGCCCAGCGTATATGCTAATCTTGGCCAATTTTTTCGTGAAGCTTGAAGTGATATTTTTTGTAGTTCGTCATTACTTACTAGATCATAATCGTGAAAATTGAGTTTACTACGTGGATTTGGTACTGATAGTTGAGGTGATGGTAATCTGTTAACCTCATCCAGTAATTTTGCTGGTATTATATTAAAACCAAGAATTTCTTCGAGTTCATCGCGCGGTATAAGTCTTTTTACACCTTCTACAAATTGTTTTTGATTTAATTCACCTATTGAAATATTATTCGTTCAACATATTTATCGTTATCAAAATCATACCCTTTTCGTTTGATCCTAATTGTTTCATACATTGTATTGATAATGGTTTAATTTCACTCTATATTTATTTAGATGAAAGAAACAAAAAAAAAAAGGGAAAAACCATTAATGTTAGGTTCTGCTTATATATTCAACTAGTTACATACATCTTTAATATCTGTATAAAGATATCGTAACAGAACAGCTATCATCGGAGCAGTTATTGGTCCACCATTATTGAGATATAGAAACACACCGACTAATTTAGCGTCAAGACTAGCTCCGTCAAGCCAAAACATAACCATTATAAAATGGCCAAATGGTATAGCCTCATGATCTAATTTCGAACGAGGAAAATGTTGTAAAAACTAAATATGAGAAATAAAAGAAGGATTTAGTTTTGAATACATCTTTTTTCATACTCATGCAATCAAGAAGCAACACCGGAGTGAGTGAACATGGACAAACAGTGCCAGCACAGTACATAGGACATTTAGCATTACATAATCATGATAGTGAGTATTTACGCGGCGAGCAATCGCACAAAGTAACAATTCATTACTATTAGCCTCATATTGTAAGTATTTTGAGAAGGCTATTGAAATAAAATCAGTAGTAAAGAATTTCCATTTTCATTAATCTTCCTAATAGACAGATGGCAATCTATTGTTTAAGAAGAATACAATATGAAGACGGTTTCTATTTGAAAACTTCATCTACAAATAGTTCTCATGGTTCTAAATATATCCGAAAAGATTCTGCTAAAATAGCTGATTTTCTTTCTTTTTTAGATACTCAACGTTCACAAGTCCAAATAGATTGCCGGAAAAATAAACACGATTTTTTATGTAAGAAACCAATGTTTACTAATAGACAACAAATCCAATGAAAACAACTCGTCACTTCTTATTAAAAAATCTATGAAGTCAACGATTAATTTTAATCTTATAAGCATTTCAAAATACGGAAAATATGAACTTAAGACTGATAAATATTGTTTCAGAAGTTTCTATAGTAAATAATACATAAACTAGCCGAACAATTCTAATCAGAAAGTCATACAATGCAACAATAAAATTCAATAAATTAATTTGTACCAATATCTTTCGTTTTTTATTGGCTGTAGCAGATAATAACACGAAGGAAGTTTTCTTCTTTCTTTTTTTAAACTCACATTTCTAACAAAAATATCATTCGGCAATTCCTTTGGTAACGGCTTATCATTTAGATATAATATTGTTTCATCATCAGATTCCGTTATTTGTCGAAATCGCCTCCATAAACGTTCAACTTCAACTGTTGCTAAACCGGTTGCATCTGCATGGTTAGTCAACCAATCACCACGATCAGGAGACGTGTTTTCTAATGTATCTACTTCTGTGTAGGATAATTGATTTAGAATAGCTCCCATTGATTAATTATATTATGCCACTCTAAAAAGTCAAGACGTATGTAGTGTACATGCAAGACGTTTCGTGCGCTAAAACAAGACGCTTCGTCTTCTTTCTGATTGGTTCATATCTAACTCGATAAGACGCTTCAAGCGTCAACGGATGACCGATTTTAGACACTCGAGCGTCTTAATCGATCCTGATTGGAGTATTTAAACCAATGTTTTTAGGCGTCTTACAGCAGTCTTTTTTAGACGCTTCTATCAATCTATAGTTCACTAATTCAAGAATTCATATTTTTATATGAACATTAGATATTAGAATAAATATTTTCAATGAAATAATTTTTTTACACTACTTGAGTTAAAATTATATTTAAAAACTAGAGAAATTATTGTAAAATTTTTCATATATATGTTTTGATGTTTAATGAAATTTCTCGAAGGTGATATTCTTGTGGAATAAAATATTATCTTCGAAAAAATTTTATTTGAGTAAGTCTCAGTTTTGAGGAATTTCATTAAACATCAAAAATATATATAAAAAATTTTATAATAATTTCTCTAGTTTTTAAATATAATTTTAACTCAAGTAGAGTATAAAAAAATTATTTCATTGAGAATATTCATTCTAATATCTAATGTCCATATAAAAACATGAATTCTTGAATCAGTGAACCAAAAATTGATTGAATCGTCTGGGAAAACTCATGCAACACAGGGCTAAAACGAAAAAATAAAAGTCTTAAGTATTTTTTAAATATACAATATTAAAATATAACTGTAATCAGTTATTTTTGATAATTTTTCTATCATCTAGAAAACAAATAAAAAACTTGAAAATATATTAGAAACAAATAAAAATATATTTTGATAAAATGGTTTGCTTATTTATAAAGCCCCTTCACTTCAGATATCGAATCAAGAGATACTGATCTCTTCAAAACCACGAATATCCTCAATTCGAGTTGAAATGTGAAGTAGTTCACGGCAGAAAAGTCATCGGAAAAACTAGTTCTGGAAAGAGTGAAATCCTAAATATTTACAAGAAATCGAATAAGACTCTTTGTTTCACATTCGAAAGTAAATTCTCATAGCTACGAAAGAAAGTAAAAAAATTGATCTATTGGTCAATAGCTATAACAATGTTTTACGAGAAAGAGGAACTTAAGACGCTTTCCTGTCGGTAGTCACTACATGTCTAAAAACAAGACGTATTTCGCGTCTAAATCAGACTTTAGACACATGAACCGTCTTGTAAGACGCTTGGCATTTTTTAGAGTGCGAAGTGTGATTACTGCTGCCATAACTGTCGTTTCACTATTATCTACGTCCAGTGAGAGACTCCATTTTAATTTCTTTTTTTGATAAAATACTTTTTAAAAAATATTCATTTATAAAATGATTGCAAAAACAATATAATTTTTGATAAATGATTCGAATAGAGGGAGGCACAATCCATATAACGAACACGTCACTGCATCTAATCTCCATCCATCTGATGCCTTTTTGCTGTTGTCCACGTTTTCAAACGAACGAACGAATCAGAGAACAGAGAAAGCAAACCAACATCTGCGACTTGCTATTTTTTTTATTATTTTGGTCTTAAACACTTCTAATGAATACTTATAAAAACTTTATTTAAATAATACGTTAATAAATATTTGTCCTATTGAATTCTTTTATTCTTCAATTTAATTTTTTAGAAAATGGATGCATTTACATCTATTCTCCCTTTCAAACAACTTTTACCGCAAAAATTATCGTATGATAAGCAAGAAACATTTTTGAAATTATTTATCTTAGCTTCGGCTGGTATATTAGCATTTGCTACACGTTTATTCTCTGTTTTACGTTATGAATCAGTTATTCATGAGTTCGATCCATATTTTAACTATCGTACAACAAAATTTCTAACTGACGAAGGCTTTTATTCATTTCATAATTGGTTTGACGATCGAGCATGGTATCCATTGGGACGTATCATCGGTGGTACAATTTATCCTGGTTTAATGGTCACATCGGCTGCTCTTTATCATGCATTACGTTGGTTTCATATTACAATTGATATACGTAATGTTTGCGTTTTTCTGGCACCATTATTTTCCAGTTTTACTGTTATTGTCACCTATTTATTAACAAAAGAACTGAAGGTAAAAATTAATTTAATTGAATTCTTTAGTAAAAATATGTTCATGTTATTATTTAGAATACAAGTGCTGGCCTTGTCGCTGCATGTCTCATATCGATTGTACCCGGTTATATTTCACGTTCAGTTGCTGGATCATATGATAATGAAGGTATCGCCATATTTTGTATGTTATTAACATACTATTTATGGATAAAAGCAATTAAAACCGGCTCTATTATGTGGTCAGCATCATGTGCATTGGCTTATTTTTATATGGTTTCATCATGGGGTGGTTATGTCTTTTTAATCAATTTAATACCATTACACGTTTTAGCATTGATGTTTACGGGCCATTTTTCACATAGAATTTATGTTTCATATTCAACTGTAAATAGTTTTCATTTGTTTGAATTTTTAAGATTTTTATTGTATATTTTACAGTTCTATATTATGGGAACAATTCTATCGATGCAAATTTCATTTGTTGGATTTCAACCAGTACAATCGAGCGAACATATGCTTGTAAGATTGTAATTAAATGATAATCTTGTTTTCAATTGTTATCTTTGTTTAGGCATTTGGAACATTTGGTTTATGTCAATTATTTTCATTTGTTGAATATGTAAAATCAAAATTGACACAAGCACAATTCGATGCACTTTTTTCATTTGCACTTGTTACAGTCGGTTTTGCTCTTAGTGTTGCTGGATTAGTTTTATGGGCTAGTGGAAGTAAGAATTATAATCAATATTGTTTCATTAATTAGATAAGAAGAGATAGAAAAAGAAAAGATATGTTCGTTTAATATTTTCACACATTTAAACTTCCTAAATATTTTATATGATTATTAATAAGAGAATTTGTTTTTATTTAGAAATTGCACCATGGACTGGTCGATTTTATGCCTTATTGGATCCATCCTATGCTAAAAATCACATTCCTATTATTGCTAGTGTTAGTGAACATCAGCCGACAGCTTGGTCAAGTTTCTTTTTTGATTTTGAATTACTTGTTTTCATGTTTCCAGGTATGACTGAAATGATTTGCTTCTTTTATTTTCTAAGCTTGATTTTTTTAAATTCTAGTTGGAATCTACTATTGTTTCAAAGAATTAACTGATGCCAATATCTTTATTATTATATATGGAATGACATCAATCTATTTTGCTGTGAGATAATTAAAGAAAAAAATTTATTTTCTGGCAAATAAATTATCTTTGTTTTAAGGGTGTTATGGTTCGTTTAATGTTAGTACTTGCACCTGTTATGTGTGTTCTATCTGGTATTGGTATATCGAGTATTTTAACAACTTATATGCGCAATTTGGATGTAAGTCAACCGAAGAAATCTGCAGGTACTGCCAGTGCAGGTTCACGATCACGTCGTACTGATGATTCATCGACATATCCAAGAAAAAATGAAATTGCATTTGGTGTTGTTTGTTTGATGACATTTTTCTTGATAACCTATGTTTTCCATTGTACATGGGTTACAAGTGAAGCTTATTCATCACCATCGATTGTTTTATCAGCTCGTGGCGGTGACGGATCACGGTATATATTTGATGATTTTCGTGAAGCATATTGGTGGTTAAGATATAATACAGATGAAGTTAGTGTTTGCATAGATATTTATTTTGTTATAATCATGTTTGAATTTTATAGGATGCCAAAGTTATGTCATGGTGGGATTATGGATATCAAATAACTGCTATGGCTAATAGGACAATTTTAGTCGATAACAATACATGGAATAATACACATATTAGTCGAGTTGGACAGGTAAACTATGATTCCGAAGTAAAAATAAAAATAGTCGATGGATTTTTGTAGTTGCTTTAAATTAAATGTTAATTCATGAATATCTCTAGTGATAAGAGAAAAAAATATAGACTCAATGAAGAAACTTTTCAGTCGACAATAGACTCCAAAAATTAGTTAACATTTTAGTGATATTTCTCTGAGTTAAGTTGCCTAAATGTATATTCGTCTATGGAAACGTTATTTTGCTGAAGAATGATTTTAAAATGCACTCTTGTTTTTGTTTGGTTTAGGCTATGTCATCAACAGAAGATAAAGCTTATGAAATAATGCGTGAACTTGATGTTGATTATGTCTTGGTTATATTTGGTGGTTTAATTGGTTATTCATCTGATGATATAAATAAATTTTTATGGATGGTTCGTATTGGTGGTTCCACAGATAAAGGAGCTCATATTAAAGAAAGTGACTATTTTACACCACAAGGAGAATTTCGTGTGGATAAAGAAGGTTCACCAACATTACTTAATTGTTTAATGTATAAATTATCTTATTATCGATTCGGTGAAACCTATACTGAACAAGGTAATTTTGTGAATGTTTAGAAAGTTGTAAATTTTTATTATTATAAAAATTTAGATAAACCACCTGGTTATGATCGTACAAGATCAGTTGAAATTGGTAATAAAAATTTTGAATTAGAAAAATTAGAAGAAGCATATACAACCGAACATTGGCTTGTGCGTATATACAAGGTGAAAAAAGAAGAGAATCGTGGTCAATCATAAATATTTATTGGTTATAAAACCGACTTGATTGATTAAACATATTTATACACTTTTCATTGTTTTTGCTCTGGCTCTTTTATTATTGTTGCGGTTTTTTTTGTTTTCTTCTTCAATAAAAACTATTCGTAGCTTATTCTGTTGATTCGAAATGTTATTTCTTATGTGATTTCTATTCTAATGAGAGCAACAAAAGTAAACATTAGTGCACTTGAATTTGACAAATAAATGAATTTGAAATAAAATAAAACAATAATAGGCCGATCAATCAACAAAAAACAAAATGATAGTAATCTAATAAAGGGTATTGAAAATGTTGCCAACAATTATTTCTAAAGAAAAAATCTATTGGTTACGTCATTGAAATGATTCAAGTAACAGTTCTGTGAGTTTCGACGGTGTGTCTGAATCATCTATTTTAGTCTTGATTATAAGATATGAACGTTTCTGAATTATATTCGATGATGATTATGGGCATTAATATCTATTTTTACCTATCATATAAAAAAAACCGCTTAGATATTGTCATAGAAAGGCAACAGAAGAACAACTGATCACCGTTAAGACTCCAATGAAAATCTAGTGACTCGGAATTCGATCGGATTTTGTCGGCTTGCCGGATCCCTTGAGATCCAATAGGAGTGATTGTCGGATTCATTCACGTTGGCAGCTGAATAACCTGTGATCGCCCTGTGAGGTATTCTAACCTGATTGCTCGAGTTTGAAAAGATCCTTAGGTAAAAATGAATATAAATATCATAGTTTTCACTATCAAATATGGTATTATGCTTATTATAATAAAGTTTACGAACGTGTATTAATCCTCGTTTATTATCGAACAATAAATTTTGACAAACTTGCAATGGTAGAAGTCTCACAAATCAAGAAGAAGGTAATTTTCAACATTTTCTATTGTAAAAATCAGTTTTCATTTATAGAAATACTATTTTTAAGAGTATGGGTGTGGGTGTGGGTGTGGGTGGGTGTCTTGCTTATATACCCCGACACCCACACCCACACTCTCAGGAAAAAGCTAGTGATTTACAGTGGTTAATCGTGGTTTTGAGAGTTGACAACTGGACCGGTAAAATCGCCGGTTTTTACCCTGTTTTCATCACATGGATGTCATAATCGAATCAATAGTATATGTTTTTCTTATTTTCAACAGAGTGTGTTCCAGAGCTCCAAGCAGGCCACGTCTTCGAGTCCTGTAGGCCTGTCAGCATTTTATAGTTGAGACAAAAATGATGAGAGACTAAAAACTAGAGGTACATACAGAGCACCGAGTGTGCTTTTATACCTGGAGATAACCCGCTTATCATAGGCATGAACCACGATTTTCTGAGAAGTGAATCTGGCAAGTTCAGACAGGCCAACAGGCCAAAAATCGCTTGAACCTCTGATAAGTAGTGGTCCGAAATTCGCGGCCTGTGCCTATGACAGGTCGGTTACCTCCAGGTATAAAAGCACACTCGGTGCTCTGTATGTACCTCTAGTTTCTAATCTCTCATCATTTTTGTTTTAGCTATAAAATGCTGACAGGTCCACAGGTCTCGAAGACGTGGCCAGCTTGGGGCTCTGGTGTGCTCCATATTCTTACAGAAAGTCGTGCAAAAATACTAAATAATATGAAGTGAATGTTTTTCATTATTCAAAATTAAAATGATACACAATTCTCTTAGTGAGAATCTCAAAATGAGTCATTCTATTTTTATATTCGACATGAAGTCTATTCTTTTATTGATCATCGGCATTTATGAAACTTCGAGATTACAGATCACAGTTGAATAGCACCTAATTTTACTCGAGATAACGCATAAATATCATTAATAAAAAAGAAGTATCATCGAAGCAACCATTTATTAGACTGAGTTTATTTATAGAAAACTAGTCATGTACGCTTCTGTTTTCATGACATGCAGAAATGAATGAAGCTAATGACACATTCATTTCAGTTTTTGAAAATCATTATTGATAATTTTTCAATATCTGAAATTTTGTCTTTAATCGCTTTTTTTCATCGGCCAACACTGTCTAAATATTTACGTCACAGTCGTATAATATTTTCGTGAATTGCATGACGTGTTTTGTCACCTTATGATATTAATTATCGTAGAATATATATTTATATATATGGATGATTGACTTCACATTTCGTTAAATAGTCTGCCGATAATAGATATTATCGTTTCAGATTTTATTTGTAAACATGAGAAAAGTCATGTGTCTAGTCAGTACAAGCAAAAATTTGTACGTGTTTCGATTCAAAGCAAAAGCCTATAAGACAACCTTCATTAGGATAGGATACGATTCGACTAGCCCTGTCAACGAAAAAGAATATTGTTGTGTTTCGTTATAGATTCTCTTTTAGTTACGTTCAAATCGTTTTTTGCTCTCTACAAGTTATTTATTTTATTCTCTATTCTCTATTCTACTCTGCTATCTTTAATTTCATTTTGAACTTCCAGAAAAAAAGTATTCATCAAAATTCGATGTTAATAAAATATGTTTGATATCGTAGCGTAGAGTAGATGTCTTGAAATAAAATGTGAAAAGAATTATTATAACAGAAAATTAACTAGAAAGCTTTCTAATAAAAATAAAGTCTTGTTGAAGAAAAGTTAAATAGATACAAAACAATTTATAGGTAGAAATCACTTGGTAACCTTGGATAATTGTAAACATATAGAGTCTTTTCGTAAGTAAGAAACAATCGAAAACATGGTGTATGTATGAAAATAGGCAAAACCATAGAATATGACTGTTGCCTTTCATGGCACATTCGAGACTAAGCTTTTCATTGTCAACTAATAAACGAAATGGATTATAATTTCTTAATTACTATTCTAATCTGGTGACTTTGTCTGACCATATATATATAGCTAGGCGTCATGAAATATTATTTAGTCAATAGTATGGTTTGCAAATTATATAAATATAACCTTCAGTTCAATTGTCTCATTTAATCTGTTTGGATTTTTTCCACAATTATTTTAATCGAAATTTTTCATTCGACATGTTTTATCCCGATCGGGTATTGTTTAACCAGTACACAAATGGAATAGCAAGATATTTTGTTATTCGGCATAACACAGAATGATGATAAGTTCTGTTTAAATTACAGATATCTTCCGAAATTATCAAATACTGACTGAATAGATTGCAATTATTTCTAATTCAACCCGTAACTAACCTTTTTTTGCCGATGCTCTTGTAATTCAACGAATCAGCGAAATGATTGTATTATCACCAAGAGGGAAAAAGCGCGACTTCTGTACTTCGAAGTACGATGGGAGTAAATGGAAGTACGGAAGTCGCGCTTTTCCCCCTTGATTGCCATTGAGTCTTATTCGATCGAGTGTGCAGAAAGTGAACTCTAATTAAATAAGATTCGAATCAATCGAATCAAATAAAATACTTGTTTATTTAAAATTTATTCAAGTGTCTGTCTTGCATCACACAAAATTTCAATTTTCGTATTATAAAAAAACATATTGTCCGCTAAAATAAATAGAAAAAAGACTGGCTTTTGGGATGCAGTGATTAATATAAAAACAAAAATCGGCCAGCTTAGCATATAGAAAAGTTCATTAAAAATTTCATTTCTTCGCAAATCGATAGGTATGTCTTTTGTGTGTTCGAAGCATTAGACCAGATTTGTAGTAATAACGAATACTACGTGAAAATGTTTCATAATCCATCAATCCACTAGTTTGACGTATTTTAACTCTTCGCCAAAGACTAGCAAGTTTTTCTGGCTCATGAATTTTGAATACGGCACTATCATCGTCGATCCAAGATGCATACGAATGATAAATTGGATTATTGAGAATCAATAGAAGAAATTCGCACAATTTTGGAGGTCGAATTTTAGATGCTTCGGTATCATTAATCAGGAAATAGCTACGATCAAAAGACGCTGCAGGCTCATTTTCATTCATATTTGCAACACTGCTGCACATTGGAGGTGATTGTTGATGGCACACTGGAGGCGATTCTCGGTGGCGCATTGGAGGCGATTGTTGATTGTCCACGAGTTCTTGAAAAGTTGTTGCTGGATCATAAATCGCTGGTGACTGCTCTGAAGGATGCATATCTATTGATAATAAATATCTATACATTTCGTTAATTTCTTCTTCGTTGTTTCCATCGAAATTCAGTTCATTTAAATCAATTGAATCAATATATTCAAATAGTGTTTCCAATGAATCAACTGTGAAAGGTGACTGGATTGGTGATTCTTGTTCGCCACACATTTTTATGTTGATACAAAAATACAGAATTCAATGAGTATCAATATAGCATTGAAGGCCACTGGTGAGGCTTTGATATTCTTGAGTGTTTTTATACTAACGAAGCTAAATTTATGACGAACTGATATCATACTGATATAACGACAATTATGATTTTTAGCCAAATAAAGTATTCAAATGTACCAAGTGACAAAAAAATCAGTACGTTGTACATACTTTAAAATAGAATGTATTTTCGATAAGCAGACTAGATTAATGTTTTGTACGTTAATGTCATGATGAGAGAAAAATAGATAGAGAGCAGAAATATACTGCTTGAGTCATGAAAAGAAAAAGAAAAAGAAAGATTCGCTCGACAACAAACATGACTTATTGGTTTGAATTTGCAGATAATCAATGATTGAAAGTAACATAGTGTAGAATACGAGAAAAACAGTTATTTATCTTTTCAAAAGCATTTATCGGCCAAAGAAATTCTACATTTTATAATCACATCTTCGTTTTGAATACCTACGAATGAGAAAAATTCAGTAAAAATTGATTATAAGTTTGATAGAGTAGAAATCCTCGCTCGCTTTTATACCCAATCGCTACGCTCATTGTCGAAAAATGAATAAATATGAGCAGTGTTTCACATTTTCATGACTGATCATAAGACCTTATGAAGCTTATATAGGCGTTTCAACGATCTGCTATTTTCAAATTTCATCTTAGAAATGCATGTTATTCGTTAATTCATCATCTATCGCTGGTTTTGATAGGTGGTTCTGTGCGAGCAATATCTAAAATATTTATACGTACTGTCTACATATTCGAAATGACGGATCAGTTTCTCCATCACCCTTGTTTTTTTAATAGAAATACCCCAAAACATCGAAAGTCATAGCTAATCAGAAAATCTGGTTTCATCTTTAATGGGACAGACAATATTAAATAAATATGATTTATTTATTATCACGGCGTCGTCTGTCACTTGCATTTCAACGTACCTACGGTGAATACACATTAAGATTTTCTTTTCGCACAGGCTAGCCGATTTGTTTTGCTGATTAAGTTTATTTAGAAATACTTGAAGGTGATGTTTTGATACAGAAAACAAAATTTACATTAAAAATTAGATTCGAAGGCATCGAATTAAGCTGTAAAGGCTCAATATTAATGATATATTTTATATTTAAGAATTTCGTACAGTGATTGCATTCATCATAGTACAACAAATAAAAACTGTTCAATACAAAATAGAACTGAGAAAAAACCATCAAGGGCCATGACAACTTTTTTCGGTGAAGCTTCAAAACAAGTAGCACATAGAAATCATTCAATAATATCCAGCTTGTTATATGGAATTGCTGTTCAAAACTCGAAAGAAAGTTTTTTGAAAGCAGAAATTTCGAAAAACAAATCTTGAAAGACAAAATCCCGAAAATAGATAATCTCGAAAAAACTATTTCGAAAGAGGAAATCCCGAAAAAGTAACACCACAAAAAACAGAATCCAGAAAAAAATGAAATTTCGAACATAAAAATTCAAACTTTTCTACATCGCATTTTAGAAAAGGGCATCATGAAACATGCCCCCTTACTCTACGATCACTTGGTCAATTAAAATAGATGTCAGTATGACGTGTGCTTTTTTTTATTTAGTCTGGTCTGACGGTCTATGTTCACAAGCGATTCTTCTTGTTCCTCTTCTTTTGTGTACATCGTCTGTATCGCAAAATCTATCTTCATTCATCGTGTCTCGTTCTCGTCCGCCGTTTCAAAAACACTATTTTCTTGAGATTATAGATGCGATGTGAATATGAGGAGACGATCAACATCCTCACTGGCACTCACATCCAGGGACGTGAATAAGATGGAAAAGAGATGACGTCTTCTGCTTTTCAAAATTTTGCTATATTTGGTCAAATAAGATCGACAAACTGTTGTCAGCAGAATTTTAGAGATGTATCTATGCGAATGAAGACGTTACGTTTTCCCTGCTTCGATATTTTAAAGTATCGGATGGGAGCGCTACGTCCCCAGCCTTGGTGATCAAGTTAAGCCTCTGCCAACTCCCACATCCTTATCTACATGCTATCTTATATTTATAATCATGACTATCATGAACAACCACCTATTCAACATATCTTTCCTCGATGTTTTAATTTTTCGAAACTTTTGTTTTCGATAACTCCTTGTGTCGAGATTTTTGATTTCTTAACAACGAGTTTTCGAGATAAGAACTTTTCGAAATTATTTTATTCCAGGTTTTTTCTTCGAGATTTCGACACAATACCGCTATATGTATACAGAATTTTATTAGTAATCACCTTTCTAAAAATGCATTGAACCGATCAAAGAAAATTAACACTTGAGTACATATTTATTGCCGTTCAATACACATTGAGTAAGAAACAATGTTATTCCTAACTATTATAGGTGTTTCATTATCATGAAACAAATTTCTATTCTTTTCATTTATAACTGTGCAAATTATTGGAAGCAAATTCACGTTTCACAAAATCTTTAATAGTCAATTTCATTAATATAAAATACATTATTAAAATATCTTGTTCAAATTTTTGTTAGTTTTTCGTTTTCGAAATCTCGGATACTCTTTAAAATAGAAAATTCATTCGATCTTCTTTTTTCAGAAGATTACATATGGTCGGAATTATTTTCTTAGTATTAATTAAAGTGAGAGAGAATAGATTTTAATTTATCCGGTCTTCAATTGATTTTGATGAATTTTCGATGAAGACTGGCAACGTGATGAACACATCTCAATTCAATAGGTTTCTATTTTATTCTCTCATATCTATTTATACAACTAAACATACACTCTACTGTTGACAAGAACATTGTTTTTGCTTTCTCATAACAAACCAGGTATGTTATCTTAACCTGCCATCAACAGCGTAGTTTATTTGTTAGTTTCTTCGCACATAGAAAAATTGCTTCGCTGTTTCAAATTACCCAATTTTATAATAAAAAATATCGTTGGAAAATTGTTTTCACATTAATTTCGACTAATTATAACCTATTCACTGTAAGGCAATTTAAACTAAAGGAACTGTTTTTCTCCAACTGGCAATTAATTGCATTCGCAAAGCTACTTTTTCCAAAAAACAACTATTTTATAGAATAAACAAAACAAAACTATTTATTAGTTTTCGATGATAATTATCAACATAATAAAGCCTGCTTAACAGGCACTATGTAGAGGTAGTCTAAAACGGAATGTATGTTTTTTATGTGTTTTTATCATTGATCCTGATTTATAATAAAATCTTAATGCACGTGCGAATTTATCGTAAGTCATAACTCCATTTGTTCTTCGATTTTTAACTCGTGACCAAAGTGTCGCTACACGTTCAGGATCATGAATTTTAAATAAACCTTCATTTCTATTTAACCACGTTAGACAAGATGCATAACATGGATGTTCTAAAAGACGGTAGAGAAATTCGTTTTGCCGTGGAGCTCGTAGTCTTCTTGAAAGTGAATCTGCAATTAACCAATCTCTAGGATTAAATGAACGTTCATGAGAATCTTCATAAGATTGAATGATATTATTGAATAATGAATAGTCTTGGTTGTTAATTACGGATAACGTGTACATAGCAGGCAGTGATTCGTTATAAATCGTTGTTTTATTTTTAATATTTTGATTTATCCAGAAACATTCGGGGAAAGACCTTTCATTATTCGATTGATTTTCATTGATGCCAACTACTGATTCTAATTCTTCAAGTTGCAATGAGCTTAAATCTCTATTATCATTATAATTGTTCATATTTGAAGTAATATAATCTATTGTTTAATTCAGTTAATAGTTTACAGGTTCGTGAAAAAAGAATGTTGAAATAACCGGTTGTTTTCCAATAAAGCTCTTCACCTTATGTAGTATGCATTTTGTTCCTACTGTTTATTATATATTAAGGAAGCGTTGCCATGCATCACATCAAATGCGTGGGTGGATTTTTAGTGATTATGAAGAACTGAAGAGAAAAATATGAATTGTATTGCGTTAACTGTATCTCGTTACAATACACAATTTGTATCGAACAACAACCTTCTCGCTTACTCCATCGATTCAACGGCGATGACAAATTATTTATTTGAAATAGTTACGGCCGATGTTGCCATTTCGAACAGTTTTTTTCTTGACTCGGCAGTAGTCATTGAAATACGAAAAAAACATTTTTCTATGCAATGATAAATGAAGCAAACTACATCGACATTGATTTTAATCTTTCTTCAAGATAGTTATCAATATTGAATATTTTATTTTTCAGCAAAATTGCTGCTGTGTCTTGTTCGATCACGTATATATTTTTTCGAACTTATTCTATGGAATTGTTATTCATTCAACTGAAGCACTCAATAAAAAAATCCATCATTGACATAATTGCAACAGTTTTCGCTTGTTGATCTTCGCAAATACCGAATCTTTTATAAATATGTATATGAAAACCAAACATATATATATATATATATATTCCTTTTTGTCATCGCTATAATATAATTTTTTTACATCGATCTTATCATCTATCAATAATTATTTTATTTTCCTTATTATTCTTTGAATAATTGATTTACATAAAGGACATATTATTAAAATTAGTTCCTTTTTTTGCCAATGTATATATATATATATATAGATTTAACCAACGAATTTAATTGGTTAGACAAAAAAGAACTGACGTTAATGTAGTTGCCCTGTTATTTTCGATCGATTCGGCAGTATGACTACCGCTATAAACAACCACGAATAAAAGTATTCATGCGGAAAATATATTCGTGTCTTTTTACATTTGATCAATACTTCGATCAATTTGATTCGTACTATTGTCATACATGTTTGCGCCAATGCTATCATGTCATGTACAAGAATACATAGTGGCGATGAACAAAAAATAATAATATAGAAACTTTGACTAATCATTAATGGATTATTACATAGCCAAAACAAATTCTGATCAAAGAGTCACTAGCCATAGAATTGCCAACAGATATTGAAATTTTCTCTAATATACTATTCTCATCAATTTTCTCCATAATTTTGAAATAAGAATTTATCTATATATAATTGGTAGGAAATTGTCTTCTTTTTCGAACCATCTACTGCACCTAAATTTTTTTAACTACGCTGCGACGCAAGTAGCCAGGTATAACACACTGCATTGGAGAAATATTAACCCAATGGATGGAATCAGTAAAAAAATATTTTCTTGATTACCTGTAACGAACTGCGAATAGAGTCAAGGAATATTTTGACTGATTGAACAATCAATACTCATTGAAGTTAGACACATTAAAAAATTCATTAAATCGAAAACGATTCCTAGTCAACGCGGCCACGCTTGAACAATACAAAAGAGAAATCGAGTTGACTTTCTCCCTTACCACAATCAGCCAATTATTTAAGAACAGAAAGTTATTAATTTGAATCACTTGTTACTTTCTCACACGAATATCTTTCATAGGACTACAATAGATATCTGCTCCTGAACTCTATGTACGGCATTGCTTCTCAAGTCAACGTTTACTTTCAATTTGATCGAATCTCGCATTCATTCATTGAACACACTTGGTGAGTTTTCTACGTAAAACAAAGAAGTTGTGAACATTTAGGATGATTTTATAGTATATTAATGATCACTGATTACTTCTCGTCCAACATGAATCATCATAGATTGAACTCGAACATTAAAATATTGTTCGTAGGAATGCTACTTCTAAATTTTCAATGTCTTACTTCCAAATACGAGAGCCCTGTGTTCATACTTGGCTTATATGTTACTAATGCTTGATAAAAACAGTGCTCAAGGCCTTATTATTTTTATTCTTACGTTAGAAAAAAATAAATGTCAGAGTAAACAGAGGCCATTTTTATGCAACGAAATATTTTGACACATTTCTACTCATATTCGTATAGATTGATGATATTTCCAATCGTACAACCATTACCGAAAAGAAATGCCACGCATCACAGAGTTCTCGTTTTTTTTCTGTGCAATATTATTATATTATTTAAAATTGTAAAGATGAATTCAAAAGAATTCGATTCTTTTATGATAAATCGTAATCAACAGCAACAACGACTTCCCATCTAATGAAAAATTGACCAAATATCAAATCGTTGATACTACTCATTTGATATTTTCAACGGAACTGATAGCAGAACATAAGTATTTATTTAAAAGAGAGCCATTTAAACAATCTGATCAATGATACTTTGGATATACAGGTATTCAAAAACAATGAGAATAACATTTAGCATACATTCTTATAAATCTTCTATCAAGTAATTAGAATTACTAGGCTATTTTAAATAATAAAACATACTCTACGTCCGATTAATTTATGTTATCATTCTAGTAAGATTGTTATGCTTGCTTTTCTACTTCAATTTTAATAGTGCACAATACTTCTGATGAACACTATAATAAATATAATCAAACGAACATTTTGAAAAAGCTTCTCGAGCAATTGAAAATACACAAGGAAAAGTTCCATATAGTAGTAAATATCCTTTTTACTTTAGTTTGCATGTTACATCATTTTAATGCGTTTATTACTATGAAAAATTCAACTTCAATTGACATTTTGATTTTTTTTATCTCTACCACATAATCAATTCTTTCTTCCATATTTCATCTCCATAGCTAATATGTTACGAGCATTCGTTTGAATTTTCAAGAAAAAACACAACTAACTGAAATCACTATAGATAAAATCTTTATTGTTAAAGTGGCATTGAACCTAACTTAACTATAATAGTAATGCATACTTTGCTAGGAAAAACGTTTTCAAGTAGAACCTTCTCACTAATATAGACCAATTATTTTGAAAGAAGCAATTGTTTCAATATGTACTCATTGTTCTTAATAAAAATGTCTTTTTCGCTCACAATAAAACAATAAAATCATGTATACACCAAGAATATCGACGTTACTCAAAAGAATTCTATAAAAAATAAATAAAGTGCGAGAGATAATGTAAAAATAAACATGCAATTTGTCACAGATAAAATATGTTTGTTTTTAATTTTTAAGAAATCGAACACCAAGAAATGCAACAATACGACAAAAAATAATATAGCCTAGTAGTACACCAATGCAACCCCCTATACTAATATACCCATAGCCACGTTCATTAATATAATATTCGCCAGTTGTAATACACGCAAATTGTGCTACCTGTTCAGCTGTGCATGTTAATTTTAGACCACTTAATTCATTTAAAGCCGTGCCTACAAATGTATATTTAATGTAGGATATTGCATCAAGCCAAACAAAATATGTTGGTAAACGTGATGGTGCTAAAAAGAATCCTCCAAACAAACGTGTGATTTCAAGTGCTAATGGCAATACAGTAACACTCATATCTGTTGTTTTACAAATAGCTGAAACCATTAATGCTAATGATGTTGCTGCAAGTGAACATAGTAGCATAAAAAGTGCAAAGATAAAAAATTTTCCAACTGTTGCTTGATAACCAATTAGGAAATATACAATAGATGACTATAAAATAGAAGATAACAAAATAAAAAGGAAAGAAATGTTGAAGAGTTCAAATTAAAATAAAATACTTACAAATATAATTGGTACAGGTATTTGAATAAGCGTTTCGGCAACAATTTTTGCTATAAAATAAGCACTAGCAAAATAAGTGCCAGATGCTCGTTCACGCAATGTTAATGCACGTTCAACAGGAAATGAATTAATAACCATTAGAGCACCAAAAACACCTTGATTGACAGCACAAAAAAATAACGAAGGTTCACGAAAGGTAGTACTCTTTTGTGAATTACCAATTTTTAAGTAAACAGTACCAATTAAAATAGCAATCACTACAGTCTGAACAAGGGATGTTATAATAATTCTTGATTGACGAAGTTGTTCTTTGAATGTACGATGAAGAAGAATTCGTACTTGCTTGTGCCATGGCGGGCTGGGCGGTATGTTAGCCATTTGGGCCAAACGTTTATTTACTCCCATATTGAGATCAACATCGAATGATGGTTGTGCCTTTAGAATAGCTTCATCAATAGCTGCTTGTTGTTCGAGAGATATTGCAGGTGTGTCAATAACTGGATTACGTCGTGGTGGTGTTATAACATCTAAAAGATGATCAGCTGGGTTTGTAGTTACAGGACATGGGAATCCTGCTATGCGGTAAGCTTCCTGAAGAAAAACAAAAAGACAAAAATTTTTACAATAAAGTATCTATCTATCTAATAATAATATAGATTTACCATTGCTTGTTTTCTTGGACCTTGATAAATAATACCTCCGCCTTTAAGTAAAATTAATGAATCAAATAAATTAAATATTTTTGCTTGCGGTTGATGGATCGAACAAACAATTGTTACAGCTTTTTCTTGTGATTTGCCATGTGCAAGTGCATGAAAAGTTCGAAGTAAGTCAAGCGCTGTCACTGAATCTAAACCAGATGTTGGTTCATCAAGAAACAGTAATTGTGGGCGATTAAGCAATTGCATGCCAACACAAACTCGTTTACGTTCACCACCTGATATACCTTTTTTCAATGGTGTGCCTACAATAACATTATGCACATGTGATAAACCTAAATCAGCCATAGCATCTGCAACACGTTCTTTCCGTTGTTCTTCTGTAAATGCTCGCGGTAAGCGAAGTTGTGCTGCATACATCAATGTTTCTTGAACAGTTAAACATCCATTTAATAAATCATCTTGCATAACATAACCAGCAATACGTTTCAATTCAGCATTATCATAGGGTGCACCATTTAAACGCATTTCACCTTCGACAATTGTATTGACATCCAAACGACAAGCTAATGTATTTAATAGAGTTGACTTTCCAGAACCCGATGGGCCTATACATTGTAATCGAATTTCAAAATATTATTAGTAGATCAATGAACGAAAGCGAAAAAAAATAGAACTCACCCATTACAGCCCATAGTCCACCTGTAATTGCTCCACTAGTGTTACTAAGTAAGCATTTTCTTTTTGGTATATATTTTTTATATGACTTCATACGTTGAAAAAATTCTTCTCGTTTACTTGGTCGAGCGTGAACAGTTAAATTTTTCCAAACAAGAATGGTACTAACGCGATCTGATAGTGGATCAAGTATTGATAATTGCCGCTCATTTTGTTTTAAAGCGCTTGATCGATGGTTGCTTTGATCAGTAAAACTAGCAGAAGATGTTGTTGTTGGTAGACTATGTGAGCTTCCAGCTGTTGTCACATTTGCTTTATATATAGACGATACAGGTTTTTCTTCTACTATAAATGCATCGTCTGTATATTCTTCTTCGTTCAATATTGGTAAATGCGAATCACCCATAATTCCTGTTCGACCACGATGACTTATGTCTTCATAATTAGTGGCATACGATGATGGGAATAAATCAGGATCTCTTGAATCCATTATAGTTCGTATTTCAAATCAAAGATAAATAATAATACAAATTTCAGTGATGAATAAATATCAATGCTGAAATCTATAATACTAAAGCGTTCTCTATAGTTTATTTTATTTTTCAAGATTTTTCGGTACAATTTATTTCCAATTATATGTATTAATCAATGAAAAGAATAAAGGCAAATAATAGAATATAACTGCGATTGAAATCAGGCAACTTGAGAGTTATCTTTCCGTGTTAAACTCACCTTTATCGAATATGAACTGGCGTATGTGTGTACTGTTTACAATTATCAATCTAGCAACAAGAGTTTTTCATACGTCTTTTATAGCAGTGTGCTAAAATAACTTGATCACTCATGACTCGGTTTAATGAAGCATGAAGCGTTCGCTGTTTACAAAAAAAAAGTATATCCAATGATTAACCTTCACTAAAATGTTTTTCATCGCTCCATGGTACAGCATTGTTATCAGGTATTTTTCTTGATCAACACATGAATGTATGTTGTATTATGCACGTGAAATTTTGCTTTTCGTTCTTTCGTTCTACCAGTAATCGTAGGAAACTAGTCGACCAAATCACTTTTTTCCTTAAATATTTTATGTACACGTAATAATTCTGGTTATGTATCTAGTTTGTGCGCATGTTTAGTAACATGTTATGATAGATGCGCCCATGGGTTCTATAAAGTCGCATGTTTCAGCTCAAAAACTTGTTTATTAATAGTATCTATTCATGTATGAGTATTTGACGATAATTTTCTTTTAATATAATAACAGACAACAATTATCATCCAGAGTGTATCGAAACTCCATTCATAAAATACATCCTCACTTTAAAGCAGCAAATTTCAAAAGTTTATCATCTCAAGCTAAGATGTAAAAATTATTTTAACCTTTTTCTAGAATTGAAAACAAACACTATGTAATTATTATTATTATTATTTTCGGTATTATATGCATATGCACTCTTTCTGCATCGGTAAATACAGGGGTTCATTGCATCCAGATACAAAGATATTCATGTATCATTTCAAGATTGAAATGAACTCAAGAAAACTTACTGTATAATTCTGAGTAAGACGAGTCCTGTATCATTCAGCCTTGTATCATTTAATAATTGATTACCGTAACGCAACGTTTCATTAACAAAATAATTTCGATGTATACTGAACATTCTTTTAACCTGGGCTCTAACTATTCTGAGAAGGTTCACTTCTGTTTGGCCGATAAGTTGAATAATCACCCTAGGCGAACCTTTTATTCATGCACTTGCCCAGACTTGAGCTCAAGATGTGTCCATAGTGCATGACTTTCTTGCGCCAGAAAGTCAAGAGTTGCATGCGCTTGCAAAAAAAATTTCGACTAGGACAGTAGTTTAGCAGAAATACACAAATTTCATGAACGCTACCATTATCTTTTTTGAAACATAGTAATTAATATTAGAATACTTCAAAGAATTGTTGTACAATATTTTAATATTTCTATGAACAATGATAGCTTTCGAAGATACTCTTGAAATTCACTCGTAAAACTAAACAATCAATACAAGGATCAATCAGTAAAAAATAGTTAGTTTATAAACTTCAATCAAATAGTAAACATATGTGGATAAATTTCACCGGCTATTTATTGTCGATTTGGCCTGCGTATACCTTTGGAGGTAAATTGATAAATGTGATATGAATCTACCGAAAAAAAATAAATTGCAAATACATATCTAATAATCATGATAATAAACTTTTTTTTCTATGTAACTAAATTAGGCTAAATAGATATTTCGTGAGTTCTGAACAAACAGTATCGATTGCCTTGATTCATTCTTGTACCGAGTCGATAGCAACGAGCAAAATTTGATTATTAGTGGAGGTCAACAAGCATATATTTTAATAGAATGTCCACATGAAATAAACGTGCTGATCATATGACTACTGACGGCATCATAGTTGATAACCCAGTATGGGGGAGGGGTAGAACATTGGTATGTCTTTAATGTAACGCAGTTCGTTCATTCGGGGCTCGGTGCCCGTTTTTTTCTTCTCCTTTTCTCGTTCTCTCAATAAGCGGTCAACTGTCTCTTTATTCTTTCTTTTTCTTACAATCGAGACTCGCCTTAACCATACGATCGTCGTTCTTTCATTCGGTCATTTCTTTTTTTCTTCTTCTGTGTGCGCGTCTACCCACGTTTAGTAATATTCCGACTGTCGCTGGTCGGCCGACTGACAAAAAATTGTTCAAAAACTGAGTAGCACAAACGCAGATATAATATCAGCCCGTATTTTAAAGTAAGTTATCTTTTTCTTGTTGAACAACATTTTCTATCGTTGTTCGCTTAGCTTCGTTTAACAATTTTAGGTTATAATATGTGAAAAATCTTATATTGTAACTAATTGTTTCTTAGTTCGATTGAGAAAAAAACAATATTTTTGATAGAAAAACAAAATTTTCATTCGACAAAATATATATGATAAGAAATTGAATCGAAATGAGAAAATAAACTATGTTCGATGAAAGTATTTCTTTAGTTTTATATGTATATGTTGAGGTCATATGATGGTAATATGTGCGTACGTCTACGTATAGATATATAGTACATGGACATACTCTTTTCATCAGCCAGGGTTATTTGTGTTCGAGTAGGAAGAAATAAAAAAACCTCGGTTGTCTATTGTTCTGTTTCACTATTCATGTTTAGTATCGACATAGTTCTCTCTTTCTCTTATATTCGATTGTCTTGAATGCCTTGAGTTAACGATGACTACTTTCACGTTTGCTATTTAAGATGGTGTCTACAACCGCACCTAAATTTGGCGTTCGATTTCCAACACGTAAAGAAAGAACAGTAAAACGAGTTACAAAATGTGAAACACGTGAAATTCAAAAACGTAAGTAAAAAAAACGAGATTAATGGTCATGAACAAATATTTTTTTTCTTATTACTCAAGGTCTTGAACCACCAAAACCAGTCCGTGTTCGTCCACCTCCCAAACCTAAAGCACCCAAAAAGCCACCACCACCACCAGCTACACTTTGTAAGCCGCCTAAACCTCCGAGAACATCAGCAACGCATGCTAACGAACGTCAGCCATCATCAACATCACAAACGCAATCGACATCGTCATCTTCATCATCGAAACCAACAACATCTTCTTTATCTGGAGCACGTACTTTACAAGCACCGGATTTAGAAAAACTAGCCCGTCTCAATTGCTCACGTGAATTTAGTCTTTTTCACAAATTTATTAAACCAGAACTATCAAGATCCTATGAAAACCAGCTGGGCTTTTTACAAACTAAATTACAACATTTAAAAAATGAATTTGTTAATAAACAAGCTGAACATCTAAATTTTGAACAAATCCGAGATTATTATAATGAAGCTGTAAAAGAAAATGTACGACGTCATATTAAGCCAGATGAATATTTAACATTAGCTGATAAATTTAAACAAGATGCCAAACAAGTAAAATTATTTTTTCTTTACAAATGAAAAGAAAGAAATTTTGTTTTTAAGGCTATTGACAAATGGCTACGAAAAAAAGATATTAAACCACAACGACAAATAACTGAGTTTTTACAAAGACGTCAAGCACGTATTCGTGATCGAATTAAAGAAACGCTTGAAGAAGCGAAAAAGCAACAACAACTAACTAAGGAAGGAGAAGCAGAAGCAGGCGCAGGAGCAGAAACAGAAGTAGACACAGAAGTTGAAGTCACAGAAAGTACCATTATAGTAGAATCGCCTGCATTATCACCGATAACAACAACAGAAATAAAACCAACAACGATGACAATAATAGAAGATGATGAAATTATGATTATCGATTAGATTTAACTTCCATAAGTCTACTCGTAGGAATCTTTTTTTCACATAGATTTACTTTAACACTATGAATATGTTTTTCAATTTTTTTCCATTATAAAAGCTTTGTCTTTTTCTGTTTTGCTGTACGTATTTACAAAAAAATACAGTTAAAAAAAATTTTAAAAACTTAATTTGTTTGACGGAGAAGAACATGTGACGAGCGCAAAAAGAAAATGGGTATTTTTAAATTGAGATGAATCTTCAAAAAGAAATGTTGTGTAGGGGGTTGTAAAGTATGCTTAAATGTCATACGTTATTGTTAAACATATACATTGCAAAAAGAAAATACTTCTGCGTAATGGAAAACAATTCAATATTTTTATCATCTAGCAATATGACAAATTTCTATCAAATGCCAAGAAAATTTCTTCTACGCGGCTTGCACATTTGTAGAATGTTGAAGCGACTAATGATGTTGATGATTGAAATGCAAGTGAGAATGATATACTTTCCTAATAATCTTGCTTATTTCCAATGTAAGAAAATAGATTTGAAATGGTGATAGTTCGTAAATACACTGTATTGTCAGTAGTCTAAGTATATACGAGGCCGACAAATGTTGAAGGCACTCTTTGTATAATACAACTGTAATGATCTTGTATTGAATTCAATGCTTTTTATGTAGGAGGATTTTTAGCAAAAAAAATGAATTTTCTAAAAAAAAGACTCCCCGCTTTTGAGATTAAGAAATTCGAACCTGCACGAATGTTGCCGGAAGTTTGTCGCATCCTAGAAAGACCTAACTCTCGTGATATTGTCATCTTTTATTAAAATTCAGCCGAAATCTCGAACTTGCTCTGAGATTACGATTATTTTAGAAGAATTTAATCTTTACACTGCACTTGCATGTTGTAAAGACCAATAGAGATCTGTATTGAAGACCGATACATGATAGATTGAATATTACCGGTATCATTTTATCTATAGAAGAAATCATATCAACATTTAAACAGATAATAGCGTAGTTCTGATTAGATAAATTTATTATTTAGTAGAAATGAAATACATAAAATGTATATATGTCAATAGTATTAGACGAAATTCTTTCATATCCAAGTCTAATGTTTAAGAAATCGTACACCGATAAAAGCCCAAAAACGACAAAAAATAATGAAAGATAATAAAACGCCAATACAACCACCGATGCTAATATAATTGTATCCACGTGTTTGAATGATTTTTTCGCCACTCGTTATACATTGAGCTGTTATATTATATGTTGCATTTACGATCGTAACTGCGATTCCGTCACAATTTAAGCGCAAACCTTCTAATTCATTAAGAGCAGCACCAACAAAAGCATACTTTATATAAGATAAAGCATCTATCCAAGATAAATAGCCCGGTACATTTGCTGGTGGAACAAAAAAACCACCAAATAAACGTGTTAACTCAAGTAACATAGGTAAAACTGTTACACTCAATGCTGTCGTTCGACATAGAGCTGAAATCATTAATGCCATTGATGTTGATGTTACCGAACACAGAATGATAAAAATCATAAAAATAAAAAATTTCGCAGCATACGGCTGTAAACCAATAAGAAAATAAACAACACACGACTAAAAATCAGAAGAAGGAAAAAACAGAGAAAATAATTTATCTCATTATTATTCAATTTTAATTGTTTTCATATTATACGTACAAATACAATTGGTATTGGTAATTGAACAAGTGTATCGGATAGAATTTTTGCTACAAAATAAGCACTAGCAAAGTAGGTTCCAGATGCTCGTTCACGTAATGTTAATGTTCGTTCAACTGGAAATGAATTAATAACTGTTAATGCACCAAAAACACCTTGATTGATAATACAAAAGAAAATAACAGGTTGTCGACGTAGTATACTAGTTTGTGAAGTGCCAATATCTAGAAAAACGGTACCAATTAAAACAGCCATGATAACTGTTTGTAAAACAGAAGTAATGATAAGAATTTTTTTTCGGTATTGTTCTTGTAAATTACGACGAAAAAGTATTCGTATTTGTTTATGCCATGGTGGATTACGCGGCAAATTTGCCATTTGACCAACACGTTTATGTACACCCATGTTTAGATCAATTTCAATTGGCGGCTGTGCTTTTATAAGTGCTTGATCTACTGATTTTTGTTGTTCAATTGTTAATGGAACTTCATCGGAATTTTCTTGATTAGGTTTTGGTGGTGTTATAACATCTAAAAGATGATCGGCTGGATTAGTGAACAGTGGACAAGGAAAGCCAGCTGCACGAAACACTTCCTGAAATGTATCGAAAATTCTATCTATTAATCTTGAATAAACTTCTTTCTTTTTCTTCTTCTTCTTACTGTTGATTGTTTTCTTGGACCTTGATACATGATATGACCTGCTTTAAGTAAAACAATCGAATCAAATAAATTAAATATTTTTGCTTGCGGTTGATGGATCGAACAAACAATCGTTACAGCTTTTTCTTGTGATTTGCCATGTGCAAGTGCATGAAGTATATAAAGTAAATCAAGTGCTGTCACTGAATCTAAGCCAGTTGTTGGTTCATCAAGAAACAGTAATTGTGGGCGATTAAGCAATTGCATGCCAACACAAACTCGTTTACGTTCACTACCGGATATACCTCGTTTTGATTGAACACCAATAACATCATGCCGTGTATGTGTTAAACCTAACTCATCGAGAATTTCATCGACACGTTGCTTTCGTTGTTCATTTGTGAATGTTCGTGGTAAGCGAAGTTCAGCTGTATACATTAATGTTTCTTCAACAGTCAAATATCCATTTAATAAATCATCTTGCATAACATAACCAGCAATACGTTTCAATTCAGCATTATCATACGGTGCACCATTTAAACGCATTTCACCAGTAAAAGTTGTATTGACATCCAAACGGCAAGCTAATGTATTTAATAGTGTTGATTTTCCAGAACCCGATGGACCTATATGAGAAATATTTTGCTTTTATATGCTTCCATGTGCGATAAGGATGATCATTAAATATAAGAACGTACGAAAAGTATTCGTATGATTTTATACCACATTAGTTAGGGTCAATGAATCGAAAGCGTATACTCTCAAATATTGATTAGTTAATAATAAATTTGATTAAGTTGACTATTAGATAACTACTCAATTTGTACTCGTAGTCTGCATCAAAATTAAATAAAAACTCACCCATTACAGCCCATAATCCACCGGTAATAGCGCCGCTTACATTATGTAGCAGATGTTTTGATTTTGGTTCAGCATTTTTTGATAGACAACGTTTAAAAAATAACTTCTTTTTATCTTCTCGCGTAAATACAACCAAATTTTTCCAAACAAGAATTGTACTAACACGATCTGACATAGGATCGAGTATAGAGGATTGCCGTTCAAATGTACCTGTCTCATTTGATCGATGGTGTTGTTGATGATGATGAGTAAAAGCCGATGATGGAGCAGGTGGAGGTGGCGCAAAAGTAATTCCATGTGAATCTTCACCAGATGCTGCTTCATAATGAACTTGAAAGGATGAAGCAGATGCTGCTGTTCCTCGTAGTAAACCACTGGCTTGTGGGTATTCTTCTTCACTTATAGTTTGCAACTGATAATCAGTAGGATTTCCTACAAAGCTTGCATTTACTTGTCCATCCATATTTGTGATATCTATTTTTGCTGGATGATTATCGAATTCTTTCATTTCAAAAGCCTGTAAAAGTAAATGAAACAACAGGTAACCGTTCTTGTTTCCTGTGTTCTATGATCAAGAAATATATTATTCGAATCAATAGAATTATTATCAGTCTTTGTTTTTACATCTCATGTCTTTCTTGTTGACTTTCCGTTATTAAAATATTGTGAGTCTTTAAAATTAGTAAGAAAAAAAGGAGCAAAGCGTTGAAATACATAATTACTAACTTTCATCGTATTCTATTGCATGTAAATGCTATTGAAGAATGGTCTTTATTTATCTATTCGAGCTATCAATCAAATGCTGACTGTATGTGCACGTATCACGTGTAAGTTATCGAATGTTTCTCAATTTACCAATATATATCAGCGTCTATTTTTTATCTACCTTTCTATACACTCATTAAACATTCACAAGTATCTTCAAAGGTATACGTCACGGTTTCTTTCATTGCTTAACATATTTTTTTGTTATGATCATTGAGACAACACAGAACGATCGAAGTGAGAAAAGAAACATACTGTCCAACCAGTCGTATACAAGCAATGACTCCGGATTCATATTCAGTTTGTCAATGAATATCTTATACCATACAAATAAATAATAAGTTATGCACGTTTATTGCTCCTAAATATGAAGCTGTTCAGTGCATCCAGATTTTGAGGAAAAAACAACAAGTCAGACATAATTTATTATGAAAAGAAAAACATCATCTACTATCTATCGAAATAAGAAAACACTTTAATTTACAAATCTTTTTCAGTATTTTTCCTCCATTGTTCATATGCTTTTGTGAATACATCAAATTCACGTTTTTCAAACATAGTAAAAATAACAGTTTTTAGATTTTCTGCTTGTGATAATTCTCGAGCGACGGTTGATATTGCAACTGGTGCTGCATCATTCAATGGATAACCATATATACCCGTACTAATAGATGCTAAGCCAAGTGCTGTTATTGTTTTTAATTTATCAGCTTCTCGTATTACATTTTTATATGTTTCTTCAAGAAGTCGTCGAGATTCATCGCGATTTTTCTCAGAATAAACTGGACCAGCAACATGTAGAATATGATCAAAACCTGTTTTATATCCTTTTGAAACAATAACCTGTGCTGTTTGAGTTTTATCTGGTACAAGTTGCTTTAATTCAGCTAATAATTGAGAACCAGCTGCTGCGTGGATTGCTCCATCAAGACCGCCACCTAGTTTCGTTGAAGAAAAATATGTGTACATATTTTCTTGACTCATTTGTTTGCTTACCGCCGCGCATATAAACATTAGCAGCATTAACAATGGCTGTTACATTTGGATGAAGCTTTTTAGCATCGAGCAGACTACAATTTATGATTTTTATTTGCCAATTTTGAACTGTGCATGAAAACCGAGTCATTAATAAGATAGAGAAGTATACAACTACGTTCATATCATAAATATATTAAAAGAAGAAAAAGAAAGATAGAAATGAAATTCAATAAGAAAAAAAAAGCTTTAAAAATAAATTCAAAATTCAAATTATTCTTTCTCGCGTTTAATTAATTCGAATTAATATAAAATATCACAGAAAAAAAGCTGTCAATTCTGTTGGGGCTTAGCAATATAAAGTGTAAGTACTGTATTTTCTTTCACAGGTGGTGTTGTAACGCCAAATGTATATGTATCGGTAAGATGTTCTCGATTAATGAACCAGTACTGCTGTTGAACAGATATTTCTGTATCACGATAGACCTTACGAGAAGAAAAACAAGAAGAATGGGTTGTTTAAAAAATTTCGAAACAACGCAGTGTATTCGTTTTTACTATTTGTTTAAGATCTTTTATAGTTGTTCCTGGAAGAATAGTCACATCGTATTTTTCATCCGTACATTGGTCAATCAAAAAGCTTTCGATTGTTAGCTTCAATCTAAAGATATATGCAACATAATTAAATTGAAATACTATTTTTTGTTTCGTAGGGGAGAAACGCTATCGGTAGATTGTCTGTCGCATATCGAGTAACGAGCTGAAAGAAAACTCATAGAAATAATTATTTTTGTCAAGAAGTAGTTGCTGAAAAGAATTCTTGATATTTACTCTATGTTGGATAAAAATGGCTTTTGGGATTGTCTACTCTGAGTTTACAATTTTGTTTTTCTCTCATAAGATTCCATCTCCAAGACTAAACTCACTAAGCGCTGTTGGCTTCTGAACATTTGTAAAATCCACTACTAACTATATTATAAAATGCATTAACCGTTATCATGATACTGTACGCGAAACTGAATTGATTGAGCGAATCGACAAGTTTTAAATATTGCCTCGTCAAGAATCTGCAGAAAACAATATTACATGATATTCATAGTCTATGTTTTAATTTTAATATATTTAAGTAAAGATTTTATTTTTTGATCGAGTATGCTTCAAAAAAAGCATAAATTATGATTTCATTATATGAATCAATCTTCTGTTGCGACATCTATCGATTGACACTTTCGAAGAAAACAAGAGCACTGTAATATTATAATATTTACTTTAATGGTTGTATAATAGGCTTTGGTGGTTGTCGTGGTGCTGCATTTCCGTATTCATTAATCATATCAAGAGAGAATTGAACTGCTGTGTGATTCGAAGCAAGTTTACGTGCAAAACGACTGGCTTCATTGGTATTGTTATCATTCAATGCTCTAATTAATTGATCCACGTCGTCATTAGGAATAGGTGCGGGTATAGCTGCAGGTGAAGCTACACGAGCAGGTCCTGGTGCAGGTCTACGAGCAAATTCTGGTGTAGATCCACGAGCAGTTTCAGGACCAGCTTAAAAAAGTGAAGCAGGACTGAATTATTTGTTTTACTCCAATAAAATCTTACTAACCCGTCAAATAGTTTCGCAAATGTTCTAACAACGGTGCAGATTCTTCGGTTGGATTCAGTATAAGCAGTATTTCTTCTGTAGAATTATTACGAATACATTCTACGGTACCGCGAGCTGATGATTTCTCTACGTAAGAGCAATCCCTTAAATTAAATCGTCCAACAACCTGTGCGAAAATTATAGAAATTAAATCTCATCGTCAATATTAAAATACCTCATTGTCGATTGGAAGTTTAAGACTAAGTTTTGGATTGGATTTACTAGTTGTCAGCTGTAACTTCACATTGGAATAGTTACGAATATCACCAGGATTTTTTTCATCTTTAATTCTAATAGTAGCACGTCCTGTTCTAAATTTATATTAGTATAAAATAGACAAGAAATGTACGGTTAGCATATACTAAAACATATTCAATGCTTACAGCGACATGAATAGTATCTAGAAAGAAAAACAAATTTAAATCTTTATACACGTGACTCTTTTAGTAATCTGATTTTGTATGAATCATTGAAAATTTTATTAATTACAGTTTGATGGTTACTTAACGTTTTGAGTAACTCCTTCAAATACAATCGTTCATCAACATGTACGCAGAAATATTCTTTCATATGTTTTGTCTTAAAACATTTGAGAGGCATCAACACACCATATCTAGAATAGTGATAATTTTCGCATATAGAACTTTAAAACAAAACAAAAGTTGTTTATTTGTTTTTCGGTATGCATCAATAAAATAGAAAATTTGTACGAAATAGATTAATGAATAAGAAAAAATTATTCTTTGGTTTTAATTTTAGCGTGAAAGAGGTGTTTGAGAAATATACAAAATTAGTGTATCGCCAGATCGAATATAATTGATTGACGGCTGCTGTTGTTGAATTGCAACTACTGGCAGTGAAGATCCGAAAATATAGTCATTCGGAATCGGATATCGTTTAAATGCAAACCAATATTGATTACTAGATTTAATACCCGATTGATTTTCTATCTAAATTATGAATTAAACTTTTTAGTTAAAATATTCACTATAAGAATCAAGTTTTCTTTCTTCATAAAAACTAACTTGTTCTTTTAAGGATTGTAGTGTTGTGCCAGAACTAACAGTGATAGACGCTATTAAAGGATCATGTTCCATTAAAGATTCAATACTAAGCGTTAACCTAACGAAGTAGATCAAATATAGCAATGTAAACTAATTATTAAAACTAACTCAAGAATATTATCAGAAGATTCCTTTTTAATCTCAGCTGCCTTTGATTCAGTTTTTCTCGTTTCTTCTTTATCGTTTTTATTGAGCAAACTAAATTGAACATTGACTTTAGATGTTGCTACTTTTTGTGCGATACGCTCAGCCTCATCCACAGCACCTGTATTAATTGCATTTATGAGCTCATCGATCATTGATGATTCTGCATGACCTATAAATTAAGACGCTTTTTAGTCGACGCAAAATAATTCGAAAGTTTAGTGAACCAATCACTTGCATAGAATATTTATTTCTTCGTCATAAATTTCTAGATATTCTTGTCTGCAAAATTATTTTGTAATAGAATTAGACACGAGTTCGAATATAGTATAGAAAAATTCATCGAAAACTAAATTTCATTCCTTAATATCTATGGTTTGAATGCGACCTTGCACTCCCTTATGGATAAATTTAGATGGTGAGCTTTCGCGACGTGCTATATAACATGTTGGTCAAATGCTTGAGATGCAAGCCGTTATTTTCGCATATTTTTCATAAAGGTGAGTTCTTCTAAAAATCGAGACTATTTCACCAAGTTTAGAGCAGTAAATTATGCGTCTTTGTTATCTAATATATCCGCACGATTCTTAATAAAAAAAAAACAACAGAGAAAAGAAAATACAGACAACTCCAATCCAATGGAACGAGCCCATGTCCAATACTCTAGCTAGAAAAGTAAGATAACAAGGAATGTTAACCCTAGAAAAATCTCTCGAGTATTATTTTTGACAATTCAAAAAGAGTAAAGAGGTGACACTTTCAATAAAAATGTCGTAGCATGGCCATTTATTTTTAACAAAACTTTAAAATTTCATGAACCTATAACTAATTTGAATTTAAGCACATGCAATCAGTTCAAAGCGTAGTAAATCTAATGAATTCAAACCCAAATTTATTTGTTAAATACGATGGCAAAAGAAAACTTCCTACAATATTGCCGGAAACTATCGTTACAGTGGCATAGGGCTCAGTCGTATTGAACAATTTTGATACAAACATTCTGACTAACATTATTATACATAGCAAATACGAAATCAGATTTCTCAATTCGATTGAAATCAGTATCAAGTCAAAAATATCATTAGCTCACTGTAATCCATTGGTAACGAAACCAAGAATAGCTTTGCTTGTTAATTTTGAAATCTATGATCTCCAAGCAAGGCATTATATTATGTTAGATGTTTTTTTTACATGCATCACTATTCGAAATGTCAAAGTCCCATTAATAATATCAGTTTTTACTGTATACCTTTGTTTGATAGTAATAAATCCGACCCAGACAACGTCAATTTGGGTTCTAAAAGTAACCAAAAAATATCTTTTAGAAGAAGAATATATATATAGCACTACACTCAAGATTAAGCAGTCGGTGATTTTCTATGCCAAACTAGGTCTAAGAAAACGGTACACACAACGTACCATGCACAAGCATTGCTTGCAGACTAGCAAAGAAATCAGCCAGTGTCTGATTGGTTTTATCGTACATAATAATGACAGTAGAACATAATGATCGAATTGTAGCTACTCCATCGATTGATGATATCGTAACCCATTCTAATTCTTGCAGTGTGTGTGTCCAGATATACTATAGAATTCGATCAAAAGAATTTTATGAAATTAATATTCAATCAAGATCAACCTCGCTATCAGCTATAATGAAAATATAACGTGGATTTCTTTCATTATCATATCCATAACTCATTCTAACATTATTTTCATAGGATTTGATGTTGCTATTGTTTAATTCTTGTTTTCGTACCAATTTAACTGCGAACTCGCTGGCAAATGAAAAAAATTAAAGAAGAATAAATTTGATTTCTTTCTTATTTCTTACTTATCCATTAAAGATAATATATCTGAAAATACAAGTAAACATCATATTCTCGAAAGAAAAACATCTTTATCTACAGAAAAATTGACAGAAGAATGATAAATTTGACGCAAATCATGTTATACTACTCCGTTGCCGACTCCGTTTCCTGGTGATCCAGGACCTTGCTGTGCATCCATTTCATCATCTTGCTCACCGCCTTCACTTTCTTCTTCAGCTTCATCTCCGTCTTCATCATCCTAAAATAAAAACGAAACAAATCTTATCAGTTGATTTTTTCATAATCATACATCGCCATTATCCATTTCTGTTCGTCCATGAAATGGTAAATTTAAACCTTGAATGAAATGAATTTAAATACAAGCGATATATTCATGAGGGAAAAAACCTTTTTCAAGATGACGTCGCCGTTCTTGTTCAAGTGTTTCTTCAAATTTAGCTAGACTAACATCTTCGCGAACTAAAAGAAGTCATTTCAAGATACTCATATGATTATTTAGCTAGAATAATTTATTTTTCTACCTGTTTGCAATGGCCGAAACCATAATGAGCTAACTTTTGATGTTTCAATAGTTGGCCAAAGATGCGATGACATTTTAATTGTCGAGGAAGAAAAAAATAGGTGTCTAATCAAATTTTGCAAACATAGTTTTCAACACATGCTTTCGACCAATAGAAATATACTTGAAAGCCTCTACAATTAATTGGATAACACCTGTTGTGAACATCACTACCTAGTAAAGACAAAATTCATGTCTCTATAATTCAAAGCATTTTTCTTATTAAATTTTGTCTATTTCTTTTTAATATTCCATCGTCGAAAACAAAAACAGCTGACTGATTCATCTGTTCGTTGGAAATTTTATCGGAGCATCCATCCTTGTTTTCTTCTGGTTCTGTTTTCGAAAGCTTTTAATACGATGAGTGTGGCAGGTTACTGTAAATGTCGTATTCAATTCGTTCCAACGGATGAACAACGTCCAGAAGTTAATTATTCAGATAGATCATTCATTGAATTGAGACAATTGGATTTCGCTAAGTATTCATTGCGTGGTATTGATGTGGACAATAATAAAACAGTATGATAATCGCTGAATCGAACAATTAATTACAGAAAACGCAATTTTTTTTGCAGGAGATCTTCAACATTCCATTCGAAAAAGGAGACCAATATAAACGTGGAAGAACAGCTGATCAACCAGATGCAATTCGTAGTAGCGTTGGAGTCTTCTTTTTAAATCTAAATGCTGCTGGGCGAGATTCGTTTTACGGAGTATTAGAGACATGTGTTGCCGAATTAGAACTATGTGCTGAACATACGCCTGAGCCTCCGCCTAATGATACAATAAACCCAAGCCCACTGAAGGATGCTATCCAAGTAAAGTCAGTGGTACCTAACGATGAAAATGGTACGATTCTGTTATTATTTAGAAAGTTAGTGTTTTGGATTTATTTTTGAAACAAATAAAAAAGTTTAAACTAGATTTGACTAAGGATTTGTTACGTATAGATATATATATATATATTTTTTTTTTCAATTCATTAAACATTTGCGTATTTTTTTTATGATCGAATAGAATTTTCTTAGCAAAAAAAAGAGAAGCAATCATATATTAATAATTTCTATTGATTTAGATATTTTGGTTGATGTTTATAAATTGGGTCAATGCATTAGACAAGGTGATACTGATGGAGCTGCTGTTCTCAGTAAAAAGCTAGCTCATATACGCGCTCCACTTGCAGTTAATTCATTTAAACAATCGAAAGAACAACCGACGATCAAGTATGTTTCAGAAATATAGTTTTCATCTTTTTAAATTCATTTATTATTTCATACAATAGAATTATAATCAAAATCGATAGTACCGATGAAAGAATCAATAATCAATATAAGGATTTCTCCATGAATGTTTATCCGTCAACAACAGTTCATGAATTACGTACTGCGGTATGTAAAATAAAATCATAAGAACTACTATTATTATTAAATCAACAATTTTCTTTCATAGTTAGAATATTCTAAACATAACCTACCAACGAATCAAAGTCTTTTTGTTAATGGACATTTAGCTCATGATAAAATGACTATGCACGAGTTAAACATTCAAACAAATTCACTTTTTGTTCTTTTTATAATTCCGTCATGGTGAAGTTTTAAATCGAACTTCTTTATCTATCCATATTTTCGAATCATCATTTTTGCATCATGTAGTTAAAAATAATTCATTTTTTTGCTTTTATTGTGATAACAATATTGTGTTCGCTTTCTATAAAAAGTTTTTCTTTTATTGCTATTCTAATTTAGATAAAATGGACCTTGCAGCTTATAGTAAATGTCGTATTCAATACCGTCCAGACAATCCGAAACGTCCTGACATCAACTATTCTGATAGGTCAATCATTGAATTGAGACAATATAATTTTGCTGATTATTCAATACGAGCTGTCGATGTCGATAACAATAAACTAGTAGCTATGAAAATAGTTGAACTAAATAATCAATTAAAGAAACAAATATTTTATTTTAGGAGATCTTTAACGTTCCATTGCGAAAACCCGAACAATATAAACGCGGTGACGGAATCAATCAACCTGATGAAATTCGTGGCTCTTCCGGAATTTATTTCTTATGGTTGTTTGCACAAACAATTGAAAAATTTCATGACGCATTAGATGTTTGCATCGAACAGCTAAATACAATATCCAGAGATGATTCAAATTCACAATCATCCAATGAAGATATGGAAGAAGAAGATAATATTAGTGAAGACAAGGAAATTCCCTACGAGATGATTCAGGGCAAAATTGATATACCCCCTATAAATGTTGTTCCTGCTAAAGGTAAGATTTGAATGTAGATTAGTTATCGTATAAACTTTGTTTTTGACCAATATAATATTTCATTTAATGTGAACATGATCAAAAATTCAATCTATTTTTAGAACTTCTACTTGATATTCAGCGTCTCAATAAATATATTCAAGAAGGTGATGAAATTGCGGCTGTTCAATTAGCTTCACAATTCGCCTCACAACATATTCGACTGCAAGCAAAAGCATTAAAAAAACAAAACGATGAAGCATCATTCACGTATGTTAACGAAATTATTTCTTGCTAATATTAATATTTTCTTATAGAATTCAAGTTCAACTAGATGGTGATGAATATGGTATTGATCAAAACGGTGGTAAAATTCCTATTGATGTCTTTCGTTTTACAAAAGTGCGAGAATTACGTGCGGCTGTATGTAAAAAAATCTGTTCAGCTTTATGGAAATGATCAGATTTTGTTTTAGTTCGAATTTGCATATCAATATCCGCCAAATAATCAATATTTTTTTGTTAACGGCTGCTTAGCCCATGATGATTCGACAATGAAAGATTTAAATGTTGGACCAAACTCTTTATTCATTTTATTCTTCTTATCATATCCAAGAACATTTAATAGAACTGCAAGTATATCTGCTAGCGTAATTTCATTAGAAATAAGACTTGTTTCTTTTCGTGTACGGCAGGGTCCTTGGACATGTTTCGCTTGCAATACACGGAATGATCAACATCAACAGCGATGTCTCACATGTACAGCGAAACCGACAGACTAATCATGATTATTTTATTTTACCATTGAATTTTATCATTCATAAAATGTGATAATTCTGTGTATTTAGTTTCAAATTGATTTCTGGTTCTAGATAATTCAGTTTTATATTTCAATAAATGAACTATGGCCACATCTTCATCTGGAGACGTAAGAATAAGCAACGATGTTTTTTCCTGCACATTTTAAGGAAATCTCATAGCCTTGTTCAACACTCTATCGATCTACGTGTCTTAGAGAAAATATGATGTAATATATTTCATGATGAATACTATTTCTTTTTAATATTAAACGATTAGGAATGAATTCAGTATTTCATTTGATGGACGTTTTCGATACGATCACGAGCCGAAAACAAGAAATCGTGACAAGATAAAAACTAATCGTTGCTTTTATTTTAGACAACCGCTGATTCACCTTCAACTGTACGGCCAGTGGTAAGCAATGATTTCGAAATAACTTCCCAGAATATGTTTATTTTTTGTGGAACTCACATATATTTTCGAAGAAAATGGTGAGTGTAAGTTTAAAAGCGAGATTTTTGCGACTCCCCACCCCCCTGCCCATGACAGACATTAATGAGTTTAAAATTGTGCTAATTAGGAGCTTGACTAATTAGGCTGCTATTTCTTCCTTTTTCAATTACAGACTACACGAAAAAAGCAATGTTTGCTCATTACAGACCATAGAAACCTGTCTCTGCTCTTGTTAAATATACGAGCTAACAATTAATACTCAATTACAGACATAAGTGCAAATAGGCAATGATCTAATTATAGGTTTTGGAAATCAGGGTAGATTTTTCAGATGAATTATTTTGAACTATTTTAGTAAGTCGAAGGGATATATGTGAGTTCCACATTTTAGCCCCAAAGAGGCTACGCTAACAAGCTTTTTTTGTTCTAGTCTTCATATTGGGAATGTGTTGAATGTCATAGTTATAATCCATCAGCACGTCGAGCATGTAAAGCATGTCGTCGCCTTCGTCAAGATTTACTTGATCAATGTCTTAAAGACTCTAAAGTACAAAATGTAACAATGAATATTTTTAAGATGATCTTCATTTCATTCTTCATAATAGCCGGAATCAACCAGTGTCGAACCAAAACCAACTCGAATAGCAACAAATCATATTGAATCAAATTCTTCTGCACCTACAACAACGAAGCCAGTAAGAAACTAGAATTTGAAATCTTCAGAATTGCATTAAATATTCATTTTTACCTGTGATTGATAGCCACCAAATTGGTATTGTGTTATTTGTTCACATCATAACTGTAAGAATGATTCAGCACCGACATGTGCTGGTTGTGGAAGTATCTTTATGACAAATGTTGAATATCTTAATTTTGTACATGAACAAGAAAAACAATTGTTACGTTATCAAGAAGATTCAAAAGCATTCCAAGAAGATTTACGTCAACAGGCAACTGCTGCTTATTACAAAAATAGTGATGAATTCGAATGTATTATTTGTTATGAATTGACTGGAAAAAATAAAGGTGTCTTATTTCATCATTGTTTGCATCCTATGTGTAAACGTTGCGTTTTACAAATGATTGAAACAAGTACGGAACCATTGCTGCGATGTCCACATGATGATTGCATTACTATAATCGGTGAAAGAGAATTGCGTGGTGTAAGAAAAAGAATAATGAGTTTAATTAACAATGATAGCAAGAAATAGTTTTTGTTTTTGTTTCACTAGATTGTGAAAGATATGAAACGTGATCAAAAAATAGTTGATAGATTAAATGAAATCGGTGTACGTTGGGCTGAAAGTCGGCATAAAACTTTTCATTGTATTACGCCCGATTGTAATCAATGGTGGTTCATTGAGCAACTGCAAGGAAATAATATTGTCTACTGTGATGTATGTTTACTCGTCGTTTTTTTGCGTAGCAAATATTTTCATCGATGAAGATTATCTTTGTAGGGATGTAAACATTGGATTTGTATGACCTGTGTAGCTGTCCATGAGGGTCAAAATTGTAAGTTTTTATTATTATTATTGATCTTACTATTATCACTATCCATTTCAAATACATATATTTAGGTCTTGAATATCAAGAAGCTCTTAAAATTAGAGCTATGAATGATATAACAGCTCGTAAAGATCAAGAACATTTAGAAGTGAGATTAAAATTAAATTACAGATTATAAATATTATCAAATTATTCTCTCTAGGAAATGATCAAACGAAGAGAAGCGATGCACTGGTAAGTGTTTTGTATATTGTCATTATTATCTATATCATACAAACTATATTTAGTCCTGGTTGTCAAGTAATTATACAAAAATTATCCGGCTGTGATTGGTTACAATGTACACAGTGTAAAATGGAAATTTGTGTAAGTAGACGAGTTGTAACTTTTTGTTCTTTTTTTTTTAATTAGGATGAAACTTTATTTATCTTAGTGGCCAACTCGTGGTCCTCGATGGGGTCCTGGTGGTCGTGGCGATACATCAGGTGGATGTCGATGTCGATTAAATAAAGGCAAATTGTGTTCAAAAGACTGTCAAAATTGCCACTAGATAACCTTTGAATAGAATCCTATGATTGATGGCAGTATATTTATTTCTATCGAATAATTAACTTTCTTTTCTTTTTCACGGTGATTTTCGACAATTTTTATTTGTCTTTGTTGAAAATAAATAAATATTTTGTTTTTATTCAGACTAGTTTTGTTTCAAACGATGCTCAAAGAAAATGCATATCTATGAAAAGATTATCATACTATTTTAATATCGATATACTTGATTTTTGTTTTATTTCAGAAAGAAAAAAATATTTCATATGCCGTGGCGTTCATTAATACGTTATTTATCAAATAATGAAGAATTAATTCGTCGCCTATCTGAATCCTATCCTATCCGACGAGCCGCACAATTAGCAGCATATTATTTTCATGCAAGCAAAGATAAATTTATTGAACAAAAAGGTAAATATGAGCGAGCAGGAGGGTGGGATAAAACAAAACGAGATGTGAAATATGATTTTAAAGCAGTACAAGATATAGGAAAAGAATACATATCAGCTTTATTTCGACCTTATACAGACACATGGTCAAATTACAAAGAACTTCGGCGACAACAAGAAAAAACTCGCACATCATCAACATCATCAACAAGTACAACAACAAAAGCCACAACAAAAAATAAAAAACCATTTACATAGAGAATCGATGTAATCCAACGTCCTTTCAATTTAGTTAGTGCATTCAAGATGTACGAAAATGTATGTTTTTTTAAATTTCTCTTTCTGTGTTTACACTGTACTTGACTTTAAAATATAACGAAAAATAGATCTTGATGATAATCATTTCGTATTTAATCTTAGCTTCATTCCTGTATGATCTTTAAGTATAATTCCATATACAATTGGATTTGTTACCATTGAAAGTTTAGCTAAAACTGCACACGCTGTCATAAGCCATGGATTATATAAAGAAAATTGATCGCCAAATATTTTTACAACTGCTACAATACTATAAGGGGTCCTCGCAATTATATAAACAAAAACACTTATTCCGGTAGCGAGAACAAAGCGTTGATCTTCATGTAAACGTCGAGCTTCTTTTTCAAATAGTGTACCTGAAACATGTCTGCGAATGCTTTTTTCACTTGAAATTTGTTGCAGTTCAAGTACAATGGGCGGTCTCAAATGTGTTAAATGATAAGCAGTATGTTGAATATATACATTAACATGGATAACAATTATGATCGGCATAAACAAGACGAAGAAAAATAGAAGAAAAAAATTAATTCGCCCAGGTAATGGGCGATCAAACCAATCGAGACCACAATGAAAGCCAAATCCTTCGGGAGCATAAGTACTCATACGACCGAATATGGATGGTACAGCCCAAACACCACCCATTACAAAGCAAATTATAGCAAGGTGCCAACCGTGCTGTTCCATTCGTTGCTGAATTTGTAATGAAATTGATGAGTTTGCTGTTGTTGCATATCGTACCACTGATAATGCAACAAGCATATACGTTGTAACACAACCATTGAAAAATGAATTAAAACCTTCTATTCGACAAATAAATGGTATACATAAACGGCGACAAAGAAAAAATTGTACAACAACAGATAGTACACTAATAGTAATGACACATAAAGACCAATGTCTCGAAGTGGTAAAAAATAAATTTTATTGTTTCTTGGCAATGTACGTAAATTGACTATGAATGATATCATAGATGTAGCAAGACGTAACGAACCAGCAAATCTTGAAAATCTACATTCATTTGTTGTAGCATTTCGAATTAATGATGGATTGGTAAAACTAGCTATTGAATGTAAACAATCAACGGCGATTGACACTTTAAATATGAAAAAATATTTCGGTGTGTTTTTTTCTATAAAATTTCAATGTCTTACTTACTATGATTCACTGTGGTCGATATTTGTTTTTGTGTTCTTGCGTAATAGTAAGATATAAAATACAGTTTTAATTAATAGAAATGACAAAAGCTGCTTTATGTATCTGTCGTAGGATAGATTAAAATCCAGTACAGTTTTAAATCGAACTAGGACTGATTAAAATTTTAATTTTTCCTAGTTCAGATTAAAATTTTAAAGTGAACTAGTTGACTTCGAAATGCATTTTAATCTCAACTAGTTGACTTTAAAATTTTGATCTGAACTAGGAAAAATCAAAATATTTTAAACTGAACTAGAACNCTGGTTCAGATCAAAATATTTGAAACTGTTCTAGTTCAGTTTAAAATATTTTGATTTTTCCTAGTTCAGATCAAAATTTTAAAGTCAACTAGTTGAGATTAAAATGCATTTCGAAGTCAACTAGTTCACTTTAAAATTTTAATCTGAACTAGGAAAAATTAAAATTTTAATCAGTCCTAGTTCGATTTAAAACTGTACTGGATTTTAATCTATCCTACGACATATCTATATACATAATGGATAGATCATAAAAACAAGATTCTAGCACAATATGACTTATTCAAGTTGCAGAAATCGTTTGATTTTTCAAAAAAATGTTTACTGAGAGGAATGGATTTCCGCAGAAATCAAAAACAAAGAATTTTTTACTTCACATTTCGCGCATGGGGATATGTAGTAGACATAAGCCAGTTCAGAGAATTTTAACGAATAAGAAAAGATGCTGTTCCTTTTCGATATATTTCATATCTGAAGAAGAGAAAAAAGTATTTGCGCTTAATTTAAAATCGAATAGTTTAAAATTAATTCAGTTTTTCTCATATACCTTTTTTGAGAACTATATAATGGCTGCTACATGTCTGTCTATGGAATGTAGTTCAAACGAAAATAATTTCTCTTAAGTTTGCCGGAAATGTACTGCTTTCAATAATTATTCCATTAAAGCACACATAATTCTACGCTAGTAGATAATGCGTCTAACTACTTCGAAACTTTTCTTTTTGTCATAGGATCCTGGTTATAGATATGAAGAGAATTTCCGGGCAAAGGTCTTGTCTACTACGCTAGAAAAGTTAATGCTGAATTAAGAAACGTGGTTGGTTGAAAATTTAATCAGATTTAATGCACCAATCGATAAAGAACTTGATGGACTAATTAGAATCTTGGACAGGCCTCAATGGAGTCGCTGTAGAATATCGACAAATAGATATTTTTATAGAGAACCGCAGGTGAACTATAAAAATTAAGAACCATAGAATATTGAACGGAACTAGAGTTGAAAGAAATAAGTTAGAATAATAGATATTTTGGTTGCCAAATTTCGCCATTTGTCGTTAATCATCAAAAAGAGACAGATGCGACTTTTTCTTTACTCAACACATGCTAAGTTTGTACATTCAGACTACATTATAGCAGTTAGTTCTCAATTCTGATTGATGCATTAAACTTATAAGTGTAGACGCACGTAGATTTAATTTGAATCAATGCCGCATTATCTTTCTAGTGTAGACAAGGCCTAGTTATTTAAATATTTGAGTTTGAAAACAGTACAAGATATATTTGAAAGTCTCATAATGAGACATCGCCAGTTTTAACTTCAATTAAAACAAGCAATGTGGAACGCATTAGCCTGCGTTGATGTAACTATATTAAATTTGAATTCAAATTTTACTATGAAAAATATCATAAGCAATTATTTTGATGAAGAATTAATGGTAGATCGCGATTCGTTGATTAATAATATGTTTCAGAGCGTTCATTATTTATAAATATCAAATTAATTATAATCCTGACTTATCCGATATTCTAAACAAGTTAATTTTTTTAATAATGAATGACTTTCAAAAACAGAGTCGAATTTTTCCATTGATTCGGTTATCCAAACTAAATACATTTTGCACAGATCTATTATTTTATTGATTAATAGAACAATAAATGAATTATACAAATTATGTTTTACACACAACACAACAAATACAGATTCTCATTCCTCTACGAACACAAATACAACATGGAAAAATACGACAATTGGCCACTGTTAGAATAATTTTGTTTTGTATTATGATTCTCTTACGTAATATCTTCATCATTTTATTCTCCATCAAATTGCATTCCATATTGTCGATTGAAGCCATTCTCTTCGGTTGTAACACCTGCGAAAGCTGATGCCATCGGATTGGCAGTAGTGGATCCTGATAATAGTCTTTGATTTGTCATAAATTGTGAGCCAGCAAAAACTAATAAACCAGTGTAGAGAAATGCTGCAATCCAACAATTGTATGCACGTTGACTGTATGCATTTCTAAGATCGATTTCAAAAGAGTCTTGTTTAACTTCCTCGTCTTTAAATTCGAAACTATCTAATAATGGTGCCGCTTGCGTAAAGAAAAATATTCCCATGAACACAAATTGTATAATACCCCATACTGATATAATCGAACAGCATAATGATAACTTTGGTCCGCAGATAGGCCACCTAACCATCGCACGTTCAAATTTGAAAAAATAGATAATCTGAAAAACACAATTTTTTATTACTCATTCGATAAGCTGAGATTCGAAAAGTATTGTCTGACACACAAACCACACAGGTGACTGTTCAACCGAAATAATACAAAAGCAAAATGAATCGACAGAAAAAAACCTTTTTTTGGACGGAAGAAATAAGAAATTAAACGACACATATAATAATATAATCAACATTGAATAGCACGTAAACGTGATTTAGCTGGTTCAAAGTCTGGTTTTAATTTTAATGTTGATTGATACCATTGTTCAGCAAAATCGAAATGGCCTTTTCTTGCCATAGAATTTCCTAATGTGAAATGAGTTAGAAGAAGAGCATTGGGATCTATGGATAATGATTCATATAGTAAATAAATGGCTTCATTGATATGTAATTGACTGTTATAGAGCATTAATGCCATTGACAGGTACGCTAAATCTTGTACATTTACTGGTGATAATATATAAGATTGAAAAAGACAATTCAACGTTTGTGATGCGTTACCCATGAGTCGCCAATAGAGTGAAATTGTATGAAAATAAAGCCAAGACGAATTGTAAACAGGTAAGTTGAGACCAGCAGCAAGAAAAGATCCAATTAACGCTTTATCATCGCCTAAGAAATACAAATCGGATTTTTATTTTCACGGAAAAATACGTTATTTATATGAAGCGCAAAACCTAGTACTCTATTGTTATGTTTACCAGTATTATTAAATAGTGTCAAGTCTAATCTCATAATACGAAACTTTTTATAGCATAAAACGATTGATCTTCTACTAATACATATAGTATAATTTCATTATTAAATTATTATGTTCGATCGAGTTCCTATGTAAGTTACTCCAAAAAAAAACGATTCAACGCCGCTTGTATATTGGCAATCAATGGGTCATATTCTCATGCTTAAACATGTGTCTATCGTCTGACTGTGATTTAATCAACTACATCAATCATTCCTCAGAGAGCTGTAGTTCTAACGCAGTGGGTAGTGTCTTCAAGCTCAAACGATAGGCACTACTCGCGATGTTACAGCATAGTAGTAGTGCTACGAATCATTAACACAACATCTCTATGCGACTTGAAATTGAAAGTTTTAGTTAAGTCATATAATTCATTTTTTAATTTTACCTCCTTTATTCATTATCGTTGGATTTTTCTCGAAAAGTAAATTTAATAAAATAGGTTTTAATATTCCTTCTGGTCGATATAATGTTAAATTCTCATTTGCTTTTTTAATAATATAATCAATAATTTGAATAGTTTTTGTTGTATTTATTGATTCAATGATGGGATATGAACAAATCGGTTGATTAAATTCAACAGTTTCTTTATTTATCTGTTTAAAAAATGTATAATTAAAATAAACATTTTTTGTTTGTGGTGAGATCCACGTGGATAAATACGGTGTATATGTTACTGTTGATTTATTTAAACAGTCGATTTCCTTGAAATGAATATCATTTTTTAATAAATATTTTTCTTGAATATCTTTTGTTAAAATATAATTATCCGATACGTATTTTTCATAGAAATTATCATTATTATGATCGAACTGTGTTTTATTATTCAATTCATTTTCATAATTAATTATTTCTATCAGTTCTTTTAAATGTTCATATAATGTTGAAGGATCGCGCCACCACGTCATATTATGTTTTGGATTTAATTCGTTTGGATCAATTAAATTAAAATCATGACATCTAGATGATTTTCTACCTGTACCATAAATCATACATTTTAATTTACTTTCTGTTGAAAATATTGTTCTATAATCATTTGTAAATATTAATGTATAATCAAATGTATGCTTAATATGATCATAGATAATAATAATATGTCCAATATCATTTCCATTATTGGTCACAGCATAACCTTGCGAACATTCGTCATTCATATGATTGTTATTTATTTCTGCTGCTACTGATGATGATGAACATAAACCATACGAACGATAAGCACTTCGAGCAGCAGCTAACAGTTCAACGCGTTTAATAGATGATATTGAACATGAACGATTTAACCAACGATCAATTGATGAACGATTGTCAACAAGAGATTGATGACCTAAAATTTAGTTTGAAGAAAAAAACTAGTTTAATAATCAGATATTCGTTTTCAAAAAAAGGAAACTAAATAAATAAGCAGACACTAAGCGTGGCAGAGAAACAAATATATATGTATAGCATACATTGAGTATTTTGATGAGAAAACGACATATAAGTAGCGCTGTTAGATATAGACATATCATTTTCATATGGATTATAATTTTGATTAGGCAACATCAAATTATGATTCATACTTTCAATTGGCGGTATCGACTTTTTATTAGAATTCTTTTTATCATTTGAAGAACTCAACATTTCCCATGCAGTATGCATTGTATAACAATAGCTCAGACGCAATTGTCGACGAGCATATATATTTGTTGGATCAACTGTTAATGTTCGTCGATAATATTCTTGTGCTGCTGTGTGATTATGTTTTGTTAATGCTAATAAATTTCCTAATAGATAATTTGTAATTGGTTCATGTGAATTTATTGCGTGCGCTTGTTCAGTTAAATCGAGTGCATCTTCATATTTACCCCTAAACAACAAATCGAGATGTTAAAAAGCATTTTTGTTTTTTTATCAACAAAAGTAAATCCTAGATGTGGGCATTGAAATTAAATTTTATACCAGAACATTTTATCTGAATATCGTACAGGCCAATAAATAAATCGGACTTTAACTCTCATAACCATCTTGTTTACGAAATCTAGTCGAATGCATTGCATATCAAATCATAGAAAATAGCTTTTCCCTTGAGGAAAAACATAATCAATGAGTTTGAAATGCTGAAAAATTTAATAACTGAGATTTTCTAACAATCAATATGATTCACGACAGAAATATATGCTATGTGATAACAATATTTGCCAGTGTAAAAATCTGGGCTATAAATCAAGCATGAAATAAGAACTATTCAAGATGAATTGCCATCAAGCTATATCAGATTTTGCGGAAAATATTCAATAAACGCTTTTCATTTTTACCAAACTGATCTTTCATTTCAAATAGTCTTACAAATGATATTTACTTACCAAAGATACAAAATATTAGCAAGATTTACAAGTGTTAAATCACTCCATTTTTTATAAACTCTATCTCTAATTATCAATTGATGTGCTTGTAATCCACAATCAATTGCATGTGGTAAATGTCCACTAATCCGCCAATAAAGTGATGATAATAAGTGAACAACCCATTCTGGTAATAACTGCTCATGTTTTTCTCCAACTGATCTTAAACGTTGACCAAATTCTTCAATTGGTCTTTGCTCGTCAATTATCGAATCAATATATAAATATAAATTTAATAACATATTTGTATCATAACGATTTATGGGCGCTTTTGCACGTGATGAACGCTTTAATACAAAGTGATTGTCAATAATTGATAAACGTTCATCGATAGGTTTATGTAATGTACATAGAGGCGGAGACCATGGCAGTGGATAATGCCTATATTGATGATTAAGACCTTCATAAAATGCTTGTTTTATATTTAATAAGCCTTTATTTTCTAGTGGTAGCCATACAGTGGGATAGTCACCGATGGACGGTAAACCATGATAATGAATTTGACAATCTTTATAGGTGGGTAATTGTTGTTCGTTTATTTTAATTGCAATATTTTGTTTCAGCGATGGGTAAAGTTCATTGACTTGTTTAACAATAAAATATTTTTTTGGTTCTATACTGATTTCTGTTGGTAGTCGTGATGTTAATGTTGACGATGATGCTGTAGACGCTAATGTTATTTGATCGGATATTCCCATAGAATCTGAAGGAGGATAATCATCGTCCAATGAATATTTCGACTGAGTTCGTTCGATAGTAGCAATTCGTACTAAAGTAGAAAACGATTAAAAAAAATTCACGACCAACTAAAATAAAATACGCAATGTAGATAGAATAAAATAAACTATAAATACTCCGAAAATAGTTCACGGTGTAGTGTAATGATTGTCGAAATATTATACTAGTTTTTAAATGAATAATGCAATTTCTCTAAGAAAAATATTTTTCTAATATTGATTTGAATTTTTGCATAGAGATCAATCAAAACGATAATACTATTCTACAGTTTGTTCTGTGTGAGAATATATCTTTAACATCACTCATAGAGATAACTGCATAATGAGAAGTAAATAAATAGAATTCATTGCTGAAAATATTAAAAACTCTTCTCGAATGTATATCATGCACATATTTTTGATCCAACTTGTCGATAAACATCTACGTATTTCTTATGCAGCCGGAGGGTCTGTCCTTCTGCTTTTTCTTTATAAAAGCCATTCAAAGAAAGTAAACGATGATAAAACAAAGTACCGAAAACATAACCATGCCATACATGCAGAAATCTGGACAATTTCTGTTTTTCATTCCTGATCTACAAGTGTACCAGATGCAACTCTACTTGTTATATTAAAGTAACTTTATATAATTCTATAAATTATTTGTCTAGTAAAAATTATGTCTGATAAATCTTTTTTGTCTGTTTAATTAAATTTATTTTTTAAATAATGCTTTATAACTTACATGACATAAGCTGTTGCTTTCTGTTCAATGACGACGATTCGTCGTTCATACCGATCTCTTCGCCAATAATAATGAAATTGTCACGTGGCCGACAATCATAATTATCAGTAATAGTATTATTTATTGTTTTTATTATAAATGAATAATTATCATTAGTACGACAATAGTCTTCTTGTTTCATTATTGTCGAATATTTTTTTCTATATGAAAATAAATAATTCGATATGTTATCGCTAATAAATTTACGTTTCCGGGTTTTTTTCCAATCACAGATAATTTGTTTTTCCTCTTCTCTCAACTGACGTAAATAATCAATAAATGATTGACCATTTGACAAATCACGTTTAATAAGATTATTCAATTGTATGAGTTCATCAGTTATTGATCTTAATTGATTTAACTGAGCTAATTTCGTTTGTAATAAATGATGTTTACGTTGTAATGATGATTCTAATGTTAAATGGCAACCTAGTGCATCGAGTTTTTCTTTTGATATCGATAGTAATGATGGCATCGATAATGACGCGAGCGACGTTGATGAAAGGCTTGAAATTAAAATTCATTTGAAAAAAAAAATTTAATCAGGATTCTTCATTCAGACTAGTTTTTCTATTAAAACAATGTTAGTTTTAACTGATGAACTCCTTATATTTCTTGTCGAGAAATGTTCTTCTATAGGATTTTTAGAACATATTTGGCATGATTTAGCTATCGCATTCCGTCTGCTTGATGTATATCAGACAAAAGAAAATTAGCTGAAATCATTCAGTTATGAGATTAGTCTTTTCGCTAATAAATATTTTGATGATAAACAAAGCATGAAGATTTATCAGAGTCTTGAGAAACGAATTGATTGGTTTCTAATTCCTTTTAAAATTGAGCTCATTGAAAGGTTTACTTGGTCGAGTGGAGTCTTAAGAAAAGTCAACTGATTCATTTGACTTGAATACCAAGACATAATTTACTATCTACAAGAACAACCTACAGAGTGTGTCAGTTATTCATCGTGTGATCAAAATTGACGTAGCACAAGAAAACTTTGCGTTAATCTCTACTTACATCTGCAATTGTTGGTCATCGTTAATTTTTGTAATTCTTTCTAATAGAATTTTTGTTCTATTGTAAAATTGTATTGCTAATACAAATCGATTATCAATAGTACAGAGATTTCCCAAATAATAATGCAATATCGAACGAATAAATAATGACCTAACATTTGTTGTTTTTGATTTCAAATGAAAATCTAATGCTCGTTCAATAAATATAATTGCATCACGTATATAGCCATAACGAAAGACAATATTAGCTAATTCAGTTAATACAATATCATCATTATTTGATCCATAAATGAGTGCACAACGTAAACAATCAATAGCATTATCGTATGAAAAATTCGAATGAAAATATCGGCTTAAATAAACATAGGCCAGCCATGATGTTCGATTTTTGTTTAATTCATTTATAGACCATATAGCTTGTTTATCATAATTTACTGTTGTTTGACTATTGATTTCTTCATCGTCAATACGAATCGCTTGTTGTTCATCATAACGAGTCGAAATACTTGGCAAATTATCAAATGTTACTAGACCTTTAAAATTAGAAAAAAAAAATAAAAGTAGTGCAACTTATGTATTTGTTCTTGTTTAGAAAAGAGAGGAAGAGGCCGATCTATGATCGGTCATAATATTTCAGTATTTTTTACTCAGTTCTTAGCAAGGGGGAAAAGCGGATCCCAATGGAAGATGATGAAGGTTTCTAAGCATTTCTGAGACTATATTGACTTCGGATTTTTCTTGCCTGGCTCCCACAGGTGTCCATTAAGATTTGATGCAGTTAAGCAATATTATTTTTCAATGATTTCTGTTATCGATTTGGTCAATCTTTTATCTCCTTTACAAGAAAGACGTTCGGAATTTTTGGTATTTCGTTAAAAGTCGGTAAAGAGTTTATTGTTGTAGAGCAAAAAGCTAAAACATGGTGGAAAATGTGAATCATATACATAAGCAGCAGAACGTATAGCCTCACTCAAAAACAAATGCGAGACTAGGCAAAACGCAAATTTAGCTTTATTCGAAAAGACAAACCCCATAATATTTTGGGGTTGTCACCTCTGCTACGTTTATTTATATGGTGCAATCTGGCTTCGTTGAAGCACTTTGCGGGAATATAGGAATTAAAAGAATCATTTATATAGGATCCTATATTCGTATATAGTACATTTATAGGGCACTGATTCAGGCTAAATTTTAGGACCTTTAACTTGAATAATTAAATCTTATGCTAAGTATGTACAAGTGAACATCAATAAAACTAGTAGGAAAAAAATTGAAACCGCTTATAGCCTAGAGAGTAATAAAACTAATAGAACAAAAACTTGATCGAAAATTAAACAAAAACTGAAAAATCATTATTGGCAATCTATGGCTAAAATTGTTCATCAATGCTTATTTTTTGTTTCATCTGGAATTCAATATCTCATCAAAGTCCGATTTCATTTCGATTCTGTAAAAAAATGGTGAGTGTTTGACTCGAGAATCTTTAATAAAACAAAAATAAACAATCATATCACAGCCTAGCCATATTGGCAACAAAGAGGAACGAGCAGTATATACATATATGTGAGCGCCTAATCCTGGCTCTCACTTTGAAATAGTCTAATGTCAAATTGTCGGAAAAATTTTCGTTAAAACTTCCATTAGTCTTAAGATATATGTTAAATTGGAATCCTTCCTGGTAAAATTTGTTGAGACGATGGTGTTGCAAGTATTGCAATCATCTATGAAAGAACTAAGTATGCGCTGAAATACTAATAGATAATTTTCTATAAAAGTTTCTCTTCTATGGAAAATGTTTTACAACTGCCTGAATCCTACGTCAACTCCTCAATCGACAACAGTATTATCTGGAATACCATTTTGTCTGCATAGTTTTCCAAGAAAAACGAATCCAACCACTATCCAGGGACTACTGAGGGTTTTAACGAAATATTCTCCGTCAGTGTGATATGGAACTTCTTCAAAGTGAGAATCCTAGATTAATTCAGGCAGATCTGGGAGTGGACTGAATCTCAGATTGAACGCTGACATATTTTTGTCACTAATATCTATGCGCTTGGTTATATAAGGTATTCAGAATATTAAAAGTCGTGCACAAGTCGTTATTTAAAACAAAATATGAATTTCTTCAAAAGAATCTTCATTTTTTCTAACAATATAGTAATATAGGATGACTTCGAAGTCCGGTTATAATGAAGAGAACTGAAAAACTGAGGCAATAGTAGAGCCAGTAATCGTGTTTGCATGACTCATAGGAAAACATTTTGTCTTATTTACATGAAATAACATGCAAACTTAATTAATCATAGAATTATGTAATATTTAAGCACAAAAGTTAGTTATATCAGAGGATACATCTTCTGTTTTATTATAGTCATTCTCTTCATTTTATTTAGTGCCATGTAGTCATAATAATTAATTAAGATTTAAAAAAAATGCTGGCTAAACAATCATAGTCTGAATAAAGATTACTTTTATACTTATATCTGAATATCGAGCTGCTCCTTTTGTTCAAATACATGTGTCCCAATGATCCTATCGGTGCAGTAGAAGATTATTGCATAATTCATAATAATCAAGGTATACTTTCACGTTTATATAAATACTAACTATATAAAGAATATTGTCTTTTTCAGCATAGTAACAGTGCTAAATTCTAGATTGTAAAGACTGTTTTATCAAAACGAACTGCTAGATCGATATTTCAATAGCTGACGAGAAAATAAAAAAGCCAAATATTGTTCCCCACAAAAATTCTACAGAATAAATAACTTTATCTATTTTTACTGATCTTTCACTAAATTCTCGAGATAGAAACAAGGAAGTATGTTCTGTCACTTGAATTGAAGATGTGGATATCATCTGCTCGCCAAACGCACACCTACAATAACACCCTACACACTCAAGTGAAGTCTCTTTTTAGAACCAATTTTTAATCCTAAATAAATGCTTTTTGTATTTTTTTCTAGCTTTTCGCTTTTCAATGGAAACTTAGAAATTCTGCCTACAAATAAAAGCACGAGATAGCAGCTTTTTTTGTGACAAAACTCAAGTAAATATTTTGATGCGGCTTATCACCTGAAATTCGTAAATTTATCTCATGCTTCATTGTGAGAAGCTAGTTTATGATAGCAAATCAACTTCAACTGAGCTTCACCCAATCTAATAAAGTGCCACCCCTCCCACTCCTGAAATATCATAAGACAGCGATTTCCTATCATTCTCGTCTTTATTGTACAGAACTCCTAAAATATTTTGAAAAGTTCTCATGTGCATGGATAGTCTAAAAACATCATAAATAAGTGAATGTCTTAATGATTCTTCTCCTACCTGCTGAAAGGTGGTAATATCTTTTCCTAATAACCTAATATTACAAAATATCAAATGCATAAGTTCGAGTTATGAGCCTATCGCGTAGACCAGTCTACGTCTTCTATCGCGTGTTATGATTTGTAAATTTTGATAATATGAATCTTATTGCTGTGTTTTGTTCTTATAATTTCTTAAAAACATAATTTATACCGATGAATATCGCTGGATCTCGTGAGATCCCAATGGATCCTGGAATCCGATTTTCCCCCGTTGGTTCTTAGGGAGTACAGGGAGATTATAGAGACTGCTACCGAAGTACTGTGTCCTGAGGGCAAGAAGAAATTTGTTTTTCGCGCATTATTGACTCTGTACGAGAAACGGCAGGTCAGTAGAAAAAAAAATGTTATGGCGACGTTTTTTTTAACAGAAATTGCTTACTGAATTGCAATACGAATTTTTCATAACATGTGTCATTTAGGTAATTCCATTAGTAAGTGATGATTTTATGTTTTCGAGCAATTTAACACGTGTTATTAAATATTAGGTACATCGAGAAAATAATAAAATAATGAATTTCGATCTAGTACTACTAAATGATGGTGAAAGAAATCGACTAAACTAAATAATCCTATTTAATCAGAAAAAATTCTGTTTTTCGACTTTTCTGTTACGATCCTTTGATTATGCTTCTATTTTGACTCGTACACTTCAATTCTCTTGCCGGTTGTGTCAACGAAACCTACAAAATAAATCTCACTTACTCGTTCTAGCCTGACAAAAATGATTACACGTTAAAATTTTTGTTTTCGACTTTTCATTAACTGAATAATTGTTTGAAATATTTTTTAATTCAAATGGTATATAAAATGTATCATAGAGATTTGTTTTGAGAATTTTAAATATTAATGATTCATCATTACTCATAAAATGATAACATTTATTAATATTTTCATTGTTCTCTTGTGCATCACTGTCAAGTTTATCTGATTGTTGTTGTGGAGTTGACTCATCGGCATCATCAACAGCATCAATATATGTTTGCAAATGATCAATACGAGCCAATCGTTCGGATTGGCCAATAAATGCAACGAGATCATAGGGACGTGCTAATGTTGAAACAGTTTTTAAAGTATTATCGATCAGAATATTTTCCTGATTAACATAGAAATGAGTTCCCAGCAAATATTGTTCAGTTGTATGTTGAACAAGAAATAAAATGAGAATATATATTAAATGATGAAGCATTTTTATGATCATTAAGAATATATGAACACATTCAGACTATATCCATAAATAGATCATTTCCATTGAAAAAAACTGAATAAAAAACAGAAAAAGTATCGAAGTTTTTTTCTTTTGTTGTTCCTTTTTTTTGGCACGTAAGTAAAATGATTCATGTGAAATTGACAAGTTTACCAATCAGAATTGATGGAACGGAAGCAAAAAAGAGCGCCATCTAAAGGCTTCCTAGATGGAAGTGAGTTCAGACAGCTTTTCTTGCCAGGTTGATTCTTATTATTTTTATTTCAAAGAGGTAGATAGAGCTATTTTTGTTATCCTACTTAGTGCATTTTTACATTTGTATGAGATGAATAGTACAAAACTACTATCCTTCGACAAAAAAAAGAAACAAATACAGAAAATAATAAAAATATGCGTACAATCACATTATTAATCAATCATATTGTATGTTCTTTATGCTTTAGTGGTTTCGTGAGTCAATATTCTTTTCAAATCTTAATCTTCATATACGTTTCTATGTAAGATTTTCGTCGAATGGGAGATCTATGACGACTTCAATTTTCAGTTTTACTCATTGCTTCTTCAGTCTAAAATAATATTTATTTTACTTCACTAATGTTCACCTGATCAATATCGATTTTCAGGAAGGCCGAACAGAATCAGTTTGTTCGTTTAAAAATTTCGCAAGAATAAAAGATGAAATACTAGTCGATAATTGCAAACATTACCACTGTTGACGAAATGACTAGTGCAGTGTTTGCAAATACTCATGTCGTCGACTCTCCTAGATTGAAGAGAAAAAGCATACGAATTTGAAACGTGCCCAGTATTACGGCATCAAAGTCAAACATAGTATTACGCAGTCTAGAGAATTTCTGTTTATGGTAGCTATCGAATTCAATTATATTAATGGAAAAGTCGTTACAAAATCAATTTCAATAATACACTCGATCATTTGTGTGGAAACTTGATACGTTGAGAAGAAAAAATTGAATATTTCTGAATTTTTAGTCTAAAACAATTGTTATTTCGATATATGGAACAACAAACTATATTGCGTTGGTCATAGAAAACAAATCACTATTAATCAAAACTATATCCAGATGCAAGGCCAACAATGTGCTTTTGCTATTCGTTAATTTTCATTCATGAAAACGTCGAAGCTTCTCACCAATTCTTAAAATAAATCTCCAACAAAAACAGAATTCATGTTCCACCATATGTAATTTTCTCGAAGGTTTATTATTGTCAGGAGAATAATGAAAGCCCAAAATCTCATTAGATCATCAAACACGATTATTAATTTCAATGCTTGTTTTTTTTTGCTCTGAGAAAAGAATAAATAATGACGAGTGAGTCATACGATTGCATCAATAAGAAAACTGCAAGAATTCAAGGACACAAAAACAAACCAACTGTAATTTGATAAAATCTCTATAGAAACAGCCGGATGGTTACAGTCGAATATATAAAAATGAATCTATCGAAGATCTTGTTGAGTAAATTGTATACTGCCTGTGTTTACAGTTGAAACTAGATAAATGTAATATGATTGCAACGATACCGCTTCATAAATTATTGCTAGATCAATATGCAACTCAATTTAAATAATGATTCCATGATTTAGATGGCATCGTAGCATTTTGTACTTTGAGGGCTGAACTGTTTAATGATGGATATCATTATTAGTTGAGAACAGAGTAAGTCAACAAGAAGTATGTGTTATCCGTTGAGTACATGCATTCAATACTATCATCTTCAATTTCCTTATCAGAAAAGTTAAAAGAAAACAAGTTAGCAAGTAATATTATGATCTAACAAAAAACATTTCTTAGCTTGCCAGCAACAGTTATTGTGATAGATACAGCGATAGAAGCGTTTCTGACGTATAGGCTACTCACTTATAAATAAAAATAAAATTCTCGGTAAAGAACTATCACTGTAATGATGTTTCGATCGTCTAGCATTTTACTAAAAACTTACTTTACAAATCCCATGGCCAATGTCTACAGTGTCTGTATGGATAACACACGGAAACTGCATACAGAAAGGATCTGAGAATTATTCTATGCCTATGGGAACGTCAAGAGATCCAACTATAATAAGTTAAAATAACTGATATTATTCTTCGTTGTATGCTTGTCAATTGTATTACAGAATTTATATGAACAATTGCAAATCCAAATGCGTATGTAGCTGAGTAATTGAAAACTTTTGAGGCTAGGTTCTAATGTGAATTGAATTGCATGTCTTATTTGATAACTAGCGTTAACATTATTCGTTGTTTAGTAAAATATTTCTCATAAATGTACCAATACTGGACGAACATAAATCGAGAACTATTAAAAAGTATTCGTTGAAGTTAGTTTTATGTAAATTTATTCTTTTTTTTTACTGCGATCGGATCAACGCGTTCTTTTAGTATGATGTACTGATAAAAATAATAGTATGAAAAGCAAATTTTCAATACTACGATTTTACTATGAACAATATAGTTTAATATTGACACTTTTTCTATTTGTAATCGTTCAAAACATCGATTATCTCTTCATCGAAGCATACATAGCATATACAGGTAGAATGTTATTGTTTCAATGATTTTATGGTCGCTTCAGTTTAAATAAGTTACTGGCATCTTTGCTTCAAAGATGAAATAAATGCTGATTGAGTTTAAAATACAAAAACAAAAATCATTGGCTCCTTAATATCAACTAACGTCATGATGATTGTCAACTGAGTTGCAACTACGAAATATAGTTATCTAAAAAGTAGCATTGTTCCAAAATATCTTCATTGCAAAGTGCACGCAATTACTGTTTGTTGATGGTATTGAATGGACGGGTAAATCGAACAAATATCAACGCTAGTCATTTCACCTTTTCTTTTTTTTTGTTTTGTCAAATATTTATAATGCAAAAGCTAAGTCGTCGTTTTCTACGTAAAGAAAACAATCGGCGTAATTTGAGTTGACAAAAAAATGTGGATTAGCGACAAAGATTTATATCAAAAGCTCTTTAAGAGAAATTGTGTGATTCAGTTCCTTATTCTGATCTGTATCAAATGACGTAAGAAGATATTATTGAATTAGTGATATATTTTCAAAATTAACTGTACTCATATGACTCAGGGGATCAAATATTTTGTTCGACTATGAAGTAGTGCACATCCAATTCCTAAGCCAGAAATAGTCTATGTATTCTTATGTCCAACCGATTTGGCTGTTTCTTTTTATGACAGTCACACGGCACACCCAAAAATTATACGCGTTTTTTTCGTTCATTAACACTCATAAGATGCAAGTTTTATTTCGAATTGAAGTTCTATATTGAATTGATTATACAAGAATTGCATATTGCATATCGTTTTTCTTGTTCTAGTTGCATCTATCTATTACATGTATTGTTTTATTTTAAGTTTCTATACAAATATAATATTTCTACGGTGAGTACAAGCATGATAATATTAAAAAAATGAAAAAGAACCATCACAGCAATAAATATAATTTAAGTAATATTAAGTGCAAGACTTTTGTCTTTAATCTGCGTTAGTTGGTCGTGTACGAGGTGTTGGTGTTTCTGTAGCAGCTTCCGATTGACTATGACTTCTTACGCTCTTTCTATGTCGTTGGTGTCGTATGTGAACTTCGCCGTTAGCTTTTTGAATGACAGTGCGTTGAATAACTTGTCGTTCAGGTGTTGGTAATCGATGTCGTACTTGTCTGTAGATAGGCTCCGGTGTTGGTAATAAAATTACTTGGCGACGAATACGAGGCTCACGTCTAGGACGTAGTTGTTGCAAATTGGAATCAATGTTTTCAATTGATTTTGTCGGCGTCGGTGTCCGAGGTTTTGGCTGTTGTTTATGTGATTTTTGAAGCTTGGGTTTGTAAAAGTTACTTGGAATATATTGAGCGCCATAAAAGGGTGATAATTTTGAATTAAAATATGCTTGCTGATGGTACACATGTTGTGGATAGGAGCTGACGACTGCTGCCATTGTTAATCACCTGTATATGTATGTTGTAGACACGACGACGCACGACTGTTCGAAGTTAGATTCTAACTAGATTGCTTGTTTCATTAGACACAAGGCTGAAAAAGAAAAAAACTGAAGTGTAAAAGGAAAAAACAGATTATAACAAGAAGAGTAAGGACGAGTGATCAAATCATTTGATCATTGTAAGGCTATTGTACAATCATATCAGACGCTGTACGCTCATTTGATACAGGAAAAAAAGCAAAAAAAGAGAGACTAGCAAATAGAAAACGATTCAATATCTGCCTCATGTTCACTTCTACGTCACGCTCTCTCTCTCTCTCTCTCTCTGTGTGTGTGTCACTCTCTCTCGCTCTGCTCAACCTTACCGCTATACGGCAGGGTTATATGTAGCACAAATAGAATATAGGCACGTGTGTAGGCTTTGTCCTTGCCCTTCATCGAGTAGATATCACCAGACATTTTATTTAAAGCTTTATGACAACTACAAAACAAAATATGCATGTACGCATAATAAGAAAAAAAAGACTAGGAATATTTAGAGGAAATCACCCATTACAAAAAGTACACCGATGACAAAAAGTAAGGCAACCCATATAAAAGCGCCAATGATATTCGACAAAATGAGTAAATTTTGAACGCGATAAGACAATGATTGAGCTCGAGTTAATTCTTGGTTTTTCTTCATTTCACGTATACGCCGACTATAATAAAAAGCAATTATTGGTGCAATGATAAAAAAACATAGAATTAACGAAGCAAGTGACCATAATCGATATTCCCGTATGTCCTCCGCTCGTAATTCGTACACATATGTTGATGGAGATTTTGCCTTAATTTTAGATGAATTCTTTTGTTTTTGATTGTTCGAACTAAATCGTTTATTAAATTTTTCCTTATCATTAAGTTCAATGGAAATCCTTGGCTCTGATTCAATGTCAATGGTACTAATTCTCGCTGCTGATGACATTTTTTTTCTTCTAAATGTATAGATAGACAGATGTTTGTTTCGGTATACTTTTTATTAATGCATAGCATCACACACGTGGACGTTTAAGGTATAAGAGAAATAAACAGATATCGCGCCGTTTTTTTTCATGCATGTTTCGCGTAGTTAAACAAGCATGTGCATGATTAGTGACGGTCACCGTTCGATGAGCACGCGCAAAAAAAAGAAAAGAAAACCTATCTTTTGCATTATGTGTTACGAAGGGCGTTCTATAGTGATGCATGCATCGATGGACAAAATTACTTCTCGTATTTCATATATCATCACTTTTTCTGTTTGGATGTTTTGTTTTCAATTGCTTGCAACAACGTCGCATGCAATCAGCGGCACAAAGGAAAAGAACATTGACAATAATACAGTTTTTGTCTGTCATAAATCACTTTTATTTAATCGAAATTTTTCGTTGTTCACCTACTGTTAAATGCGTTTGAGAATCAGTCAATGTGATGAAATTATCAAATAATACGAGAGCGATATTGAAAAATTTATTAAATATACTTTTACCATTACTCATTAACAGTATTTTCAGGCAGAAAGAAGAAAAAAAAGAAGAGAAAATCGAAGCTATTTAAAAGAATTTATAATATCGAGTACAAAACGAAATCTAATTTTTGATTTCAATATTCGATCGTAAGCCATTTGAATTTGTTTCGGCGTTGCTTCAATCTTCTCAATCTCGCACGTAATTTCATGTTTACTACAAAAATCAAGCATTTCTTGAGTTTCTTTCATTCCACCGATCAAACTACCAGTAATAATTGGTCGCTTAGCTATGAGAAGAAATGGTGCAATTTCAACTGACTTTGGTGATGCGCCAACCCTAAAAGGAATAAAACCTTTTTTTTTGCAACAAATAAGAAACAGCAAACTTCAAAAAAAGAACATAATACATACATGCAATAAACTCCTTTAAACGCTAACATATTCATCATAGCAACAACATTATGTGCGGCTGAAGTAGTATCCATAATAAAATCAAAAGAATCATCGGCTAACTTTAGTTTTTCTTCATCTTTCGAATAAATAAATGCTTTGGCACCAAGTTTAACTGCATCAAAGCACTTCGATCTTGATCTTGAAATAACAGTAACATGTGCACCCATGGCTACACCAAATTTGACAGCCATATGGCCAAGTCCTCCAAGTCCGATAACTCTACAATGAAAAATAGAATAGTTAATAGATAGAAATAAACCAATTTCTATACCCTAGACGTGTATTTTTACCAACATTATATTGACGTAAAGGTGAGTAAGTTGTGATACCAGCACAGAGTAATGGTGCAGCTGCGTCTAATGGTAAGTTTTTTGGAATTTTACANCCCATGGCTACACCAAATTTGACAGCCATATGGCCAAGTCCTCCAAGTCCGATAACTCTACAATGAAAAATAGAATAGTTAATAGATAGAAATAAACCAATTTCTATACCCTAGACGTGTATTTTTACCAACATTATATTGACGTAAAGGTGAGTAAGTTGTGATACCAGCACAGAGTAATGGTGCAGCTGCGTCTAATGGTAAGTTTTTTGGAATTTTACAAACAAAATGTTCTTTAACAGTAATAAAATTTGAATAGCCTAGAATGCATTTGATGAGAATAGTAATTCATATTTTCAGGACATGATGCTTACCGCCGTATGTTGGTGTTACTTTATCAAGTTCAGTACCATTACAGGTATAGGAAACATCAGGACAATGTTGCTCAAGATTATTTTCACCTGAAAAATTTCCATAAAAAAAAAACTTCAATAGAAAAAGCAATTTATCCTACAATTCTTGCAGCTAAGACATGAATCAACAATAAAACCGACACCAACACGATCACCGATACGAAACCGTTTAACATTAGAACCAACACGTTCAACAACTCCAGTAATTTCATGGCCAGCAACTAGAGGATAGTTTGAATGTTCCCAATTATTTTGCCATTGATGAATATCAGTATGACAAATACCACAATAATAAATGCGAATCAATACGTCATCATGGTTCGGTAAACGCCGTTCGAACGTAAATAATTGCAAAGGAGCTGAGACGCTATTTATAACATAGCCTTCAGCAGCAATTGAAGATTCAAAATTATTATCATCATTGATATCTCCACCATGGATGCTAGTGGACAAGTTTCCACATAAAAAAGAATGAGAACAATTAGTTATAGAAATATAATTTAAGTTTTGTTGTCGTCTGCAATTAATCCTGTTCTAGGTTTTCTTGTCAGAGTAGTATATTTCTATATACTTACAGCGAAGAGCTTGTAATCATGTTAGTACAGTAAATTACACGGATGAATATCAAATCAATGCGCCCAATATTCAAATGATTGTCAGGTATTAAGGTAAATAAAGACAAGAGAAAGAGAGAGAGAAAAAATAACATAGTGATTAATTGAATAAAAATCAAAAGAAAAACCGAAACTAAAAACTGTAATTTATAATTCATACTGATTTCTACTCCCGCATATTTTCATCTTTTGAGAGATCGGCAGTTGGTTTCATTGTTTAGTCGATTATCATTTTTTGAATGAATATAAGAGACATCAATCAAAAGATGTCGCACTCGAAATATTACTGTTGATCGATTTTCATATTAAGATGAATCATCATAAGAATTTCTGTTTTGAGCACCACAAATAATTCGTATTTTTTAATTGTACCTAGTCTGATTGACATACACAATATGCTTCATTATATACTATGAATAGAAGAGTATTCGCGTTCCTTCTTTCTGTCAAATTCTGTAGTATTATTGTTGTTGATTCGTACTTGACGCACTGAGAACTTTTATGCTTCGTGCATTACATGGAATCGCTAGCATTTATACCGAATCAGTCAAACATATTAATATATGCACGTATAGTACAAAATTTAACCTATTCGCTTTCTTTCGTACTGAAGAAAACACGCCATAGTATAGTTTCTAGAATGAAAAATAGCTTAAATGCAGATGAGATACGATCCGTTAGACCCATTCAACTTGCTAATGATGGATATGTACTTTTCCAAGTAATAAAAAAAAGTACTAATAACGTCAGTTTATGTAATGAATATATATATCGATAAAGAACATGGTTTATTGAGAAAAGCAAATACAAAGATTCTTGTAATGAAATAAATTGTACAGTATTATAATCGTAAGAATTTTAAGTTATCAACTACGATTCTCAAATGGCATTGACTAATTTATTCATATTCATTATTCAATAATTAACTTCTTTCTTTCTCTCTAATATCATATAATTTTCTTATCGCCTCATCAGACTATGTGTGTTTTCCTTAATCATTAATATCTGCTTGCTCATTTACTTTAAACTATTTATGGGATGATGAGAATAGTAGAAGTTTTATTAGTAGTTCTTCTATAAATCTATCATCGAGACAAATCATACGAAGGGAAAACAGCTAACTATTTGAATGAATTCAACATATCAAGCACAAAACGATATTTAACATCTGATTTCAGTGTTCGTTCGTAAGCCACTTGCAATGTTTCCGGTGATGCCTCCATTTTTTCAATGTCACATGTAATACCATGTTTACCACAAAAATCAAGCATTTCTTGAGTTTCTTTCATTCCACCGATCAGACTACCAGTAAAAATGACTCGTTTAGTTATAAAGAGAATTGATGGAATTTCTAATGGTTTTGGTGGCGCGCCGACTCTAAATATAACATAGATGTAGATAAAAATCCTATCAACAACAATAAAAACAACACATACATGCAATAAACTCCATTAAACTTGAGTAGACTAATCATACCAGCAACATCATGTGGTGCTGATACACTATCCAGGATAAAATCAAATGAATCTTTGACAGATTTTAGTTGTTCTTCATCTTTTGAAACAAGAAATGATTTTGCACCAAGTTTAGTTGCATCATCACGCTTTGATTCTGATGTTGAAATAACAGTTACATGTGCACCCATGGCTACACCAAATTTGACAGCCATATGGCCAAGTCCTCCAAGTCCGATAACTCTACAGTTAAAAATAGGATAGATAATAGTTCAATATTGATTAGCTTCTATACCCTAGACGTGTATTTTTACCAACATTATATTGACGTAAAGGTGAGTAAGTTGTGATACCAGCACAGAGTAATGGTGCAGCTGCGTCTAATGGTAAGTTTTTTGGAATTTTACAAACAAAATGTTCTTTAACAGTAATAAAATTTGAATAGCCTAGAATGCATTTGATGAGAATAGTAATTCATATTTTCAGGACATGATGCTTACCGCCGTATGTTGGTGTTACTTTATCAAGTTCAGTACTATTGTACGAATAGCATGTATCAGGACAATGTTGTTCCAAATCTTTCTTGCCTAAAATCATTCGAAAGATAAATAAATCACATAAAAAAATATACGAACATGAGTTGCAGCTGAGACATGAATCAACCATACAGCCAATACCAACATTATCACCGACACGAAATTTCTTTACACTCGAACCAACTTGTTCGACAACGCCCGTTATTTCATGACCTGGTATCATAGGGTATCTTGAATTATGCCACTCATTTTTTGCTTGATGAATATCTGAATGACATATACCACAATAGTGAATTCGAATGAAAACATCATCTGCTTTCGGTACACGTCTTTCGAATTCAAACAGTTTGAATGAAGAAGTAGAACTATCAACAGCAAATCCTTTAGATGCAATTGGATCAGCATGAGTAACAACGTTGCTGACAACTGTACTGTCGGCTTTATTATCAGTAGTAGATCTAAGTAAAAATGAAATATTGATTGACCGCTAGCAAAAAAGATGAAATTTTTAATAATTTTTATCTTAGAATGTTGTCGATCATTCTTGTGAAAGAACAAAAACTTTCTTTACGTACGCTGTAGAACCCATTGTGGATGTCGATGAAGTGTGTCGAAAGTGAAAAAACAATGAGCACGTTACACTGATGAGAGACCTTATATAGGAGCGAAGTTTGCTGTTTTCTGCTTCTCTTTACTCTCTCTCTCTTTCTCTCTCTCTCTCTCGCATTCATCATCATGACGGGACGCTTTTTTATTCATTGGAAGTGGTCGATTTGTTCTTTTTCGCACTGCCTTGTATTTTAAGTACTATTTACATAGTTATTAGTGCACCCAATAACTTTCAGAACATTATGCATGTCTACGTGAATCCGTTTAATCTTAGTTTTTATATGAAAATAGTTCATTACGGAAGTATTTCTCTCTCACTAAAATAAATGTTATGAAGGGAGAGTTTATCAATAGATTTAATCAACTCTCACTAAAACAAATATTTTGTTCTGAAAGTCGGGAAAATTTGAAATATTGTGCGAGACAGCTTGCCTACTCTGATGTCTTTATTTTTTATGAGTAAGCAGATGGTGACTCGTTCCGTAAGTCTTTTATTCGGGTAGAATTAGTAAAGCTTTTCTGTTAGCTTCCAAGTATGGCCGGGTGAATTCCGGTTACTTTGTAATAAAAACATGCGATTCAAAACCTGTGCTTTTTCTTCGACACTATTTGTATGAGAGACTATATTTTTGACTAATTATAGTATCAACAATTATTTAGTTTTCACTTAAATCTCTTTATATTTAGTAGAGTTAAGCATTGAGAAAATTCATTTTCTAAACGATTGATTCCTATGCAGAAAGCATAACGAGTATTTTTTGAAAGGATCCTTTGATAGCTTTTGTAAGATATCTCAATATTGATCTTTTTTTCCTCGGTTAAACAAATAATAAATCTTGAATTGAATTCTCGAACTTTCTGATTGAAAATAATTGATTAAATAACATGATGCTTTTTCATTCATATGAAGTCATTGATCTTTATTTCGTTTAATGCAACAAAATAATAATATTACATATAATTACATATTTAAAGTAACATGCTCTTCTACGCGCTTTTTATAAACGACATCCCATTGTTGTTCTTTTATTCGATGGCAAAGAAATGAACAGAAAAAGTTATGACAATAGCCTTGATGAAACGGATTGAGATCTTCATCTGGTAAACGATTTAAATATGTTATACGATGTCTTGATACACGTTCCCATGTTGTTGAATTTGTCAAAGCAAAATATGAATGAATACAAAATAGTGTTGTTGTTGCGCCTAGTGATATGATGAGAACGTGCATAGCAAATAAACGAAATTTATTTATATGCAACCAAGATGACCAATCACTGAATGGCACAAATGAACGACTAAAACAGTTGAAAGAACTAAAAATCGGTTATACGAAACAGAAAAGAAGTTTTACCTGCATAACATCATTGACCATATAATTAGTATGTCTGTTGTCAATAGAAAATACCAGAAATAACGATGATTATGTTCGCCAATACAGGTTTCTAAATATGGGCACTGAAAAACAACAATGAAAAATGTTTATGAATTTTATTTGAAAAAAGCACATTCGACAGTTTTACATGATGATCATATTTGAGTACACATCTATTGCAATAGTCACAGTGGCGACTTCGCAAAGGTTGCTAAAACAAAAAAATTCATTATCAAAGTTTCTTTTTTCTTTAATTTAGACTTTATTCTACCTCAATATTACACAGAAGACATTTACGTAAATGTTGATTACTGTTGGCTGATGTTTGTTGCTCTTCACCTTCATTATCATCATCGGACTCTTCTGCCATTGCTCCAGTCCAATCAGGCACCTATTAGAGTAAATTAATATATAATTAGAATCACTTATTTTATTTTATTTCATAAGATATTTGAGACATACTCGTTTATATGGTACATAACCAGGATCGGTATAGCATGTCATAAAGTAAAATAATAGCGACAAATAAGCGACAAGACCATAAGCAAAACAGTAGAGATAATTCGATTCGTCATAAAAAGCCGTGCGCAGATCTGAATCAATGATTAGATTAAAATTATTAGTTAAGTTTAATTTTTTTTGTCATTAAGTTTCACTGTAAAAATTTACCAGATGGCTGAAATAAAAGTGATGCAACAACTCCAAATACCAATAAAAGGTGACACCCACGGACTATCACCTTTTTCCATTGAATAAACTCAAATATGCATCGCATTCAGAAAGAATTTTTCTAAAACAACAACATCTAGAAAAGCAAAACAGAGCATAACCTCATGAATAAAACAAACAATTTTTTAAATCGAATTGAATTGTTTGAACACCGGCACCAGCTACAACAATAATGAATTCGTTTTTTTCATCACAAAAAATCATATCCATAGAAAGTATATCACGAATATCAACTAAATAATTCTTTGTTAGTTCTAACACTTGTTCATCGTTTTTAATCGTCCATAATTTCAGTCTTTGATCAATACCAATTGAAACAAACATTGTTGAATTTATAAAACGAATACCTTTGAAAAACAAATCAACAGAATACTAATTGCATATTTTTATTATTTGTTTTTTTTTCTACCTGTTGCTGGTGATTGATGAAAATGATCTTTTAAATATTCTCGTTTCCAACTCCAATTGTTGATATCAAAAATTGAAACATGCACTGAACCATCATCACCAACACTTGCTAGACGAAGAGAATTATTTTCATTGATTTCAATTAAGTCAAAATCATTGATTCCCGATTGATGAACTTTTAGACTCGTTGAAGGTATTGTATTGTCCAATGATGAAAAGTCATATGCACATAGAAGACCATCTGTAGAGGATACAAATGCAATATGACGAGTTGAATATACTTTGACACGTAATTGACAATATTCAGAATGTGAAGAAGTTCGAAGTAGAGTAAAACGATTTGAGGAAAGTGTATAACGAAAAATTCTAGATAAAAAAGACCTTTTGCATTGGAAATAAAGTGATATTTTAATAAATACCGTAATACTGCATCAGATGCAGTAACAAATAATAAATAATTTCCATTTTCTGCTGCGGCGGAAATAGCTGCGATGCTAGTAAATCTAGAAGATAAAAAACAGATTAAATACTCAAATGTCTAAAATTATATTTTCGTTGAATTTTTCACCTCACATCTAAACCATGATCATCATCAGAATTATCTTTTTTATTTTCATCATTAATATTTCCACCGCCACCGCCACCATGTCGTCGACGTAATGGATGAAGCATAAAATAACCAGATCGGACAACAATATTACTTTTCATTTGCCAAGAAAATATCTGAGCTCGTGCGCCGCATGAGAAGAACAAATTATCAATTACAACTATATCACAAACAGCTGATAGATGGGATTGTAAAGTTGAGACATGTTCACATTGCGGATTGGACTTTCCTACCTAAAACAAAAAAGTATGAATTTACGTGATAGATTGATTATCGAATTATTACGAAAATGAAATTCATAAAACCACAGTAGTTAGACACATCTAAATAAGTTCTATTTTTTTAGTTTTGCATCATGTTGATATTTGAATTCGAAAATTATTTTTCGTAGGTATCTTTACTAAAAGTTTTCTCTTCTGTTATCTGAGTTTTTACTTTCGATTTCAATGTATTTAAATTTGTCGAAGTTCAAATTAACAGCGCGGTTTTACTAGATTGCCATAGGCAAATATCTAAAGTATTCAACATTTTTTTTATTTTCTACCAAGACTTTTTATGTGTCAATTTCAAAAATTTGCAATGATCAATAGATTTTCTTGAAATTTCTATGCATAAAGAATCTATCAACTAAATTCATCCTCGTCATACCTGAAATGTAAACAATTTAATTTGTGTGTCTTCACTGCCCGTAGTCATATAAACGCGATTATTGGATTGAAATAATTTTACACAACGAATTTCTGTACCATGTGTAGGTGGTATTTTTGATAGACATGTTTCTTCATTTAATATTCTCGTTAAATTTTTCCGTGCTAAAAATACTTGTTTATTTCTTATATAAACGAAATAAGCATCAAGATTTTTTTCAATAAAAAAATCGTGATTGCGATGGCCACCACCACATTCAACATGCATTAAACGTCGTTTTGTTTGATCGTCTAGTGTATAGAGAGAAAAATTATTCGTTGTAAAGCACGTGATTAACGATGGAAAATTTATGAATCGATCAAGCCAAGTTATATCCGATGTGATCGTAAATGTTGATTGATGAAGTAATTTTCGTTCTTCAGCATTTATAGAAAATATATTTATATAACCATCACGACCACATGAACGAATAAGATTTGTATTTTCATCAATATCAATCGATGATGTACCATTTATACCATGTAGACGTTCGAATCGTTGATAAATTGAACAGTTTAATTGATTATTTAAATCATACGAAAGAATATTTCCTTGTCGATCACCAATTAGTAACAAATTATATTTATCAAGATGTAAACATGTATTAGGCCAACGTTGTTCAAAGTCGGGTAAGACTTCTAAGCAATGATCGACTGTCGCAGGTTGATTGGTTATATTGTAGATAAACTAAATTTAGGAAAAAAGTAAAAATTCATTATTAATGAAATAATAGTTTTTCTCATGCAAAAGAAATTTAATTCGTCATTATCGTAGCATGATATCTGCATATATTGATTAATCTTCTTGAAATTATCTCAGAAAATTCTTCTGATAAATAGTTTCAAAATAAAATGTCTATGAAAGTAACTGTCAGTCATATTTTCGTTGATTCCCTTGAGTACAGATAAAAATTGCATCTCGACCGATTCAATTCTTTGTTTTGAAATAATCATTCACATAGAAAAACAAAGCATATGAAATTACTAATAGACGAATGATGGAAATTGATGCACAATAGCAAGAAAACGTCCTATGCATGAACGCAATATGTCAAACTGAGATGATGACATGCAAAAGTTATTTCCTTAAAAAAGTTGGAATATCCCTTGAGAATTATTTTTCTTCCTGTAGAAAAAAAATTCAAAACCTTCTATTTACCATTATTCCATCTGGAACACAAACAAGTAATTTCGAAGATAATGTATTATTTAACCATAGGATTTGTAAAATTTTATTATTTTTATTACTATCGATTTGAAATTGATTTATTATTATTCCATTTTGATTAAATATAAATACAAAACCATCTAATGAACCAATAGCAATATATTGATTACCATCACTAGCAACACACATTTTCGCGTAACCATTTTTTAACGAATTTCTACCATCATAGAATGATGTTACATTTTGATTATCTATTTTTAATAATTGTCCACCATTCATTTGAACAATCATCTTTAAAGAATTTAAGAAAATAACATTTCTCGGATAATCATTAACAGCAATTTGATTTAATAATATATTTTCAACTGAATCAATAGGAACATCATCAGGATGATAACGACGTACGCCACCATCACTCCAACCACTAATAATAATTAATGGTTTATTATCATCATTATCCCTTAATATATCCATACACCAAGCACTTTTACAACGATGTACTGAAAAACAACGTAGCATTTCACCTGTAGATTTATGTGACCACAAACGTATAGAAGAATCTTCACCGCATGTTAAAATATGTTTAGAAGTTAGACACGATTGCCATATACGTGCTTCGTGAGCAAAAAACGAAGCTAATAATTCAAGATTATCGTGAAATCTATATAATTTTACTGTACGATCATCACCAACAGTACAAAGTAAATTATCATGATAAGTTATACTGAATATGGCCCCCTGAAATAGATAAGTTCTATTTTTTTTCAAATCATGCTTTTGTTTATTATTTACATTATGATCGGAGATGGTCGATTTTTCATGAAAATGATCATTTGACTCTTGTTCGTAAAGAATCAATTCGCCGAAAACGGTACCAGCTGCAAATATAATACTTCCATTCATATGGCGAAAAAGACATGATGAATACAGTGTTGTATATTTAAATGATTGAATCAATTCCAATGAATTATTATAACGATAGATTTGATTTAATGCTGTACCAAAGAGAACTGTAAAAGACTAAGACGTAATACATTAGATTCAAAGTAAAAATTAAACTTATGCCATTACTTGAATTAACGGATCTAAATCAACAATGAGCGCACTTACAATCCACGAAGGACATTGTATCTGAGGTATTATTGTTGTCAATAGCGAAGGACTAAAAATAAGTAGATGTAAATTTCAATTGCATTATTTATATTTTACAAATAACAGTTAAGACAGAGTGGGTCGGATTCAGTACAAACACATTTTTACTCCTACATATATCTAAGCTTTCGAGAGAATTAAACATTGTTTACATTGAATTTCCTTTGCGAAATTCTTATCTAGATACGAAAAAGTCGTTTATCATATCTCGAATACACTGAAATCAATGTAATTTATTATCGTTCATCTGTTATTAAAATAAAAGTCTCTATTCACATACAATATTGAAGACCATTGAATAATTGAAAATGTTCGTTGACCAAAAACAACAATTACATACGACGAATCATCATTCTCTTTAGTTATTTGACCTTTAGAGAAAACAAAATAATGCTCTGATAGTAAAGCTAATAAAGTAAATTGTTGTATTCTTACGAGCTTCAAAACCATGCACAATGGAATCAACTAATATCTTCTTTTGTAATAATTGCTGATTTGTTGTCAAATCAAAAGCAAGTACATAAGGCCCAGTACCTAATCACATAAAGAACCAACTTAACAATCAAAATATTCTCTTATTTTACCAGCTAAACATATTCGATGATTAGGAAGAATTTTTATTGCAGTTACAGGTGCGCTAAACATGATATAAATAATTAATCTACAAAAAACAAAAATAACAAAGTTATATAATTTCACAATGAAAAAACTTCTTTCAACAGTAACATCTAAATTTCTATTTCAATCAAAAATAGTATACAACAACAACAAATATATTAGCTGTTTTCGATTTTTTGATTCATACCAATTCGTTTTTTAAATGCTTTATTTGTCCATACGTAACCTTTGAAATTAGACCACGACCATGGAATACTTAAACTGTGTGCACGTTTTTCAATTAGCAATGCAACATCAACAAGAACTCGCGCATCTAGCACTAAAAATTTTTTTAACAATGAATCTTTTTAGTTCCTTCTTTTAAACTAACCACTGTAAATGAGTTGTGCTTGTTTAAGCGGTCTTTTTCGCCAATCACTTGTTTGCATTGATTTATCAAGTGGGTTACCAAAACAAAGACGCACTAATTCACTTAAACCACGAGATTTTGAATTTAATAATGCATCATAGTAAGGAAATATTTGAGGACAATTTTCAAGAATCTATTTAATATAATTGATTTAGACAGAAATCATACGAAAAAGAAAAGCCTACATATTGTTGTACTCGAAATAAATCGATAACAGCTGTGCCTTGCAAAAGTGCATCATTCATTGATGGGTAGTTTTCAATAAGCGATGATGTATCACACGCATAATTATATGCTACAATGAATTGTCAAATACAAATACAATTGGTCGTGGTTTTTGTAACAGTAAAACTTACTAAGAAGAATAAAATCATGTGAGCAAAACATACGTTGAGCTAATTCAGCTAACGATTTGATATCGAATTGTAAGCGTAGCGCAAGCATATCAAATATGCCGTACAAATATTGATTTCGTGATGGTAATAAACTTGCTAACTGGAGCGTTGATACTATTTGAGAATTAAGTGTTCGTTGTGTTGGATCCATAAAGGTTTCACAATCGAAGCCAACAAATGGCAAATGAGATCCAACAGAACATCGAGCACACTGAAGAAACAAAACAAAATGTTTATCAATCACAACTTAGATATTGACAAAGTAACTTCAGAAATTGATCAGACAGGCATTTTTTGTGTGCTAAAAAAGCTGATATACAGAATGTCGACTATGCCTTTTGAATAGAGAAATTCGTTTCGAACAAGTAAATAAGGAATTTTCAGTATCCCTGGAAAAGCTAAGCCATCTTTTTTTTATGAATACTGCCATCGTAGAATAGTCTATTCTAATAACGATTTGACATCTATAGAAGAAAAAAACTAGAAATAAATTCTGTTTGATCAATTTTCTGAATCATTCTGTGTTGAAAAAAATATACGAACTTCGAATCGACTCAGAAATGGATCAACATCAGAATCAAGTTCGACATAAATAATATCTGACAGAAGAACCGTTGGTTTATACGTTTCATCTGTGAATTGTTTAGTTGACCAAATTGATGGTTTTAAACACATAGATCGAGTTATTGTAGCACCATTGAGAATTTCTTTTCGACGAATTCGAATCTGTTCAGGTATTTCAAAATCTTCAAGATCATAAAAACGAGCCCATTCGTAACCGGAATCAATATCAGTATAGTCAATAAATAAATCAATTAATTTCATTTTTAAATCACGATTATCGTTGATTAATTCCTTCGAATAAAAACAAAATCAATATTTTATTTATATTCAAGTATATCTCATATAAGCAGTTCGTAATCCGATAAGATCTCTTACTCAATGAGTTATTTATAGTAACAAACAGATCGAGATCCATTATAATATGTGCTCGATTATAATGAATAGAAAACTATTCCTTATGTTAATTCTTATGTTCTCTACAAAAATGAATCTTAACACTTGAGATAGTTTATTGGGTAATGATTAACACTTAAAGTTTTTTTTTTTTATATTCGAATCTTTGTGAGGCTAGTTAAACCTAATAGGACTGATAGTTATTTTTTTGCTGATCATCGCAGTCGAATACTTACTTTAATCTGTTCATTCCACGATTGATCATCATCTTCATCATTATTATTGCCGCCACCACGCTTTGCTTCTAGATATTTTCTTACAAATAGAGTTTTCAGAAAACTTAATTTTTCGTGCATAGCTAAATTTGGAAAATCGTTTAAATCAAAATTATATTGTTTAAGTAATTTTCGTGCAGCTCGTTTTAAAATGTGCACATCAATATAATTTCCATTTAAATTAATTGAATATTGAGCTAATAAACGACGAGCAACCAGTCTAGATTAAAAAGAAGAGCAATGCTTATATCAATGCGAGCGTTTCCTCGGTGAGATTCTCATATGTAGAACAAGACTTATTGCATATGCTTACTGATCTATTGAAATTAAACTATCGATTGTTTGCAGTAGTTTTCTTTGAAATAGTTTATTATCTTCTACGATAAATTTTATAGTTTCCCATTGTGATTTTAATACCAATGGTATAATGATCTATTTAAAATAAATAATACATATTTTATCTTATTTTCGAGAAGCAAAAGAACCTTTTCAAGTGGTATTGCATCAGATTCTAACAATCTTAGAAGTTTTGTCATATGTGCAATAAATGTAATATCTTGATGTTGTTCAATTTGCTCATTTATGAAATTCGTAGCCATGGTTTGATTCTCTATTGCACGTAAATCAAATATATCAATGATTGCCTCTAATTGACTGAAAATACATCGCCGACAAATTTTTAATAGAATATTATATTTAATGGTATCATCTAATTCGATATTTTTATCGAAGAGTTTGATTTGTTTAAATTGTTCAATAAATGGTAAAACCATTTTATGTTTTTTACTATTTGTTGTACTTATTGTATGATCCAAAAACATATAAAGTGTTTGATATGGTGTAGATGATTGTTTAATAATATCAGTGAATAACGGTTGCCATTGTTTGTGCTCATCTTGACAATAGAATTTATATATTCGTTCATAGATTTCTAAATAATTACTAAAGCTATATCGAAACAGATGAATTTTTTGTTAGCAACGATCAATTAAACGTACTTGTAAGAAGAATTTGATTCTGAATAAATAGACAAATATATATATATATATATATCGATGAGAAAAGAAATGATTTTTTTATTTTCTTACGAGTACTCGATGATTTTTTCTGCTGGTCAATTGATACGTTTTTGTGATTTTTAATATGTTCACTATCATCTGTTGATGAATCGTTATCGAATAATATATTTTCATCATTATCTGTATCATCAGATTCGAAATTCATTTGAAAGAAAAATAAATCGTAAAATATAATTAAGTAGCGATTGATTTTGAAATATTAAAAAAGAAAGAAAGTAATCAGTCAAATATATTTTGCATTTATGGTAATGAATGGATCTTAAAATAGTAAATTAGATGGCGCTCTCTGTCTGACAGAGAATAAGAATTAACAATAAGGTTATAGTTTGACGAGTGCAAACGTTGCTTTCTCTCTCTCTCTCTCTTTCATCGTAAGAAAATTATAAAGCATGCAACACAGAAATAAAAAGAGTGTCATTTTGTTTCATAATAAACTATTAATAGCTACATTTCATCCCAATATATTCTTTTATTTACTATTCAGTCTCTAATCGTACTGTTTGACTTTCGTTATCGTAGGTGCGAGATCGATTCGTATTAAAATAAGATTGATTGAATCCATATGTGTTTAATTCATTTCTAGGGATGTGACAATACCAATACTACCCATATCAATACCAAATGGTATTGATCGTATTGGTATTGTTATGTATTGGTATTGGTGGGTATTGGTACCGATAGCAGGTGGGTGAAGGGAAGGCATACTTCTACACTTCTGGAAAATATCAAAATTTCGAAAATGTTCTGCAGCAGTTCGATTCCTTGACGCCGAAGACCTTCGGCGAAACTTTATACATAGTCGCTAGTTTTTCAAAATACCTTATCGTTACTGAAACTTTTCCGGAATTTTGATATTGATTATTTCCAGCCAGGATAGCGTATTTTTGAGAAACTAGCGACTGTATAAAGTTTCACCAAAGGTCTTCGGCGTCAAGGGATTCAAATGCTGCTGAACATTTTCAAAAGTTTGATTTTTTCCGGAGGTGCAGAAGTATGCCTTTTCTCCAACGGCCTGCTATCAGTACCAATACCCATGAATACCAACCAATGCCAATATCCCAATACTGTATTGGTATTGTTACAACCCTATTCATTTCCTATCGATAAATATAGGTCAGAAAATTCTATCAGAAAATGTGGACACCGGATGATTTTTTCGTGTTTGTTTTCATCGAAAATTTGTGCCCTACTTATATTAATCACAAGTGTGAAATCACGAGTACTTCTATGATCCTTCTCTTTAAAACGCTATTTCAAAATGCAAAGTTAAGCATTTTATTACTGAATCACGCTACTAGAGATCTGCCAGAAATAGATAAAAATAGTTCTTCTCATTACATAGAGATTTTCAAAAGAAGGTAAGCAGTAGCATTGAGACAAAAGAAGAAGAAAGAATAAAAATTTGAATTGACATACATTCTCATCTGTATTAGAGAAACTGACATTCGTCGGTGGAATTTTATTGAACATGTCGACGACCGATGCATATGTTACAACAGTATCAACAATCATGGGTCATATTTCATACTCCATTAATATATTTACAATTATTTTTGGTACGATTGGTGGTACTTGTACTCTGATAACATATACGGCTGCGCAATTTCGTCGAAATGCTTGCGTATTTTATCTATTATGTGCCAATTCGTTTCAAATGATTTCTATTATTGTACCTGTTTCAATTCGCGCGCTGGTTGGATATTTAGGAGATAATTTAGAACGGCAATCACTTTTCTTCTGTAAGTTTTGTTATTTTGCTAGCTTCACTTTACCTCACTTGGCTACATTATATATGTTACTATCGATTTTGGATCGATATTTAGTTACTTCTAGTAAGGCGAAATATCGTGCCCGGACTAGGGATGTAACAATACCATATAGAGACACATAAAGGTTGCCAATTTTCACAATGAAAATCTACCAATCTTTATGTGTCTCCAAATGGTATTATTACATCCCTAGTCCGGACCAAACGTAAAGTAGCACATCGATTATCATTTGCTACATTAATTATTGCCACTGCTTCCGATATACATATACTCGTATTTCAGGGAATATACAATAGGAAATGTCAAATTATTTAAGATAATATATATGAAGTATATTTTGCTATTCATCTAGTACTATTTATTTCATTACTGCCTCATATTCTTATATTGATTTTATGTCTCATTACATTTCTTCATCTAAAAAAAAACAAAAAATCTCGAATAGCTCCGACAGGAACTGTGACACGAAATTCACTGATGAACCGTTTCGAAGCACAACTCAGCACTGTATGTTGCTTTTGTATCTGTTAGAAAAAAATGACTTTTTCTATATAATTTAATTCGAATTTTTAGATTCTTGTTTCGCAAACTATCGTTGGTGCTATTTTCATCTTAATTCGAGTTTGCTCATATGAACATTCTCGTGACTCGTCTAATTTCTATGCAATATAGCTATCATATATTAGCTTCTTGTATTTATTTTCCCGTGTACATTATTGAACATAATTTATAAAAACAATAAACATTAATACTTATTCATTCAAAGGAAAACAGTGAAATTCTAAATTTACCATCGATTATTTAAATTAATTTTCCCCTACGATCAACTACATAATATGTTTCTTTCAACGAAAACGATATTATGTTATTTGATTGGTTTTCATGTCATATTAACAGAATTTTAATTTAAAAAAACGTACGGACAACTAGCCAACGAAAATCGCGAATCAATAATAGACGTCAAAAACTCAAATTTTTATACGGATTTCTTTTGTTGATAAGTTTATCTAATGCGCATTCATCTGGCAGCTAGAATCTCACTTTGAAGATCATTTGATATATATATGTAGTTTAACGTCAAACGACTGAGTAGTGTAGAATCAAATTTTAATAAATTCTATAGTGAATATCTAAGAATAATTTTTTTCACAATAATCGAAGTTCAAATTGTATTACACGTTTTTATTTATTTCTCTAAAATTTACAATGCTTCTAATGAAAGCACCCAAAAAAAGATATCTAGCAAACGACGAGCTCAAGAGTAGAGAGAGAGAGAGAGAGATTTTTAAAAAGTAACAATACTTACGGTTTTGCCAGCAAGATGACAAATAAGCACAGCTAACCTATCAATACTATTCTAAGAATAAAGAATCGCACCGAAGGAAGATGAGTAACGTCCTTAAAATATAAGTTAAGAGTATTTTAATGTCTACTGTGTGGAATATTTAATGTTCTCATTAATTTAAATTTCATTAAAGATTATTAGAGGCCGTCGACTGTATACTAATGGTAATCATAGTTAGCAGTTCTTTTTATTTTAATGTCAACGTGGATCTGGATGATTTAATAATATGAATCAAGAGATCAACTAGTGACTGCAGAATGTCTAAGAGTTAAAATCAGATCAACGATTGAGCTAAATTGAAAAGTACATACTAGCATCGTTCATAAATACATGTTTTTAAATTTTCTTTTTCTTGCGCGTAATTCGATTGACATGAGAGGCTCTTTGATTAGATTAATTTTTACAGGTTCTGAGCTAATCCGAGATATAAAGAATCGATTGTCTCTATTTACTCTAATTGTCTTCTTGGATTTTCTGTTCGTTTTTAGTCATTTCAATTTTTACGTATAAACATATTCTGGCTGATGTTGATCGCTAATTTTGAAGTACAGGAAATAGAAATGGTTTTTGTTGAGTTCGTTTTTACATTTCAAATATTTCGTCTTACCTTTATTGACAAAAGCGAAGATAAAGCCAACTAAATCAATCAGAAAATATTAATCGTTCAGATTACGAATAATTTATCGACAGTAAAAGTGAAGTAGTATCAATTGAATAATATTTTTCTTTAGATCTATTTGACATTTCAAGACACTATCTAATCGCTATCGTTTCTGTGAGAAATTCTAAGAACATAATGTGTGCCTTTCCGCCTTCTCAGTTTAATTACAATATTTTTAGGCTTCGCATTAAAACACTTCTTTGTAACAAATATGGAAAATGACTTGTACTTTGAGATAACATACATCAGTGATGAGAAACATGAGAAATACAGCATAAATAATACAGCGCCATCATCAATTCATTTTTATGTTATATAATCGTGCATTTGTCTTTAACCCTTTCCGATCGGATGTTGCCATTAGGCAATATTAAGCCATTAATTCTACAAGGGTTGAATTGTGTTGATGATAGCTGCTCGTTTGGCAACATATTGATGTATCCAGAAGAAAGACATTGTTTCATTAAGAAGACAAATGGCTCTACTTGCAATGCTCCAAAAAAGCATCAAAATCGAAAGAAATATATGTGAGATTTCAATGTCATCACGAATGAGATGTCAATTTTCCGTGACTGATATTGTTCATATTACATCACTGATAAGAATTATCGAGTAATCCTTCCCTCTCACCCCAAATCGGATGTTTTCGTTTAGCAACACTATGCCGTAAAAAGATAAAAAATCTCTTTGCCTTGGCCTTTTCTCATCGTATTCTATAGTATTCTCATGGTGATAAAACTATCAACGGAGCGCGGCAGACTTAGAAGTACAATGCATCGAATTAATGATATTCTCACTAGCACATAACTGCATTGTTTTTGTCATCCATCATATTTACAATTTTATATGAACGTCCATATTTGTATTTCAATTGATCTCGATTTTTCATTTTTTTTTTCTTAATAGAGATGCCTTTCGAAAATTTTCAAAGTGATATAAAAAATTGTGGATGAATCATACTGAGTAAAATTTATAATTTTCTTGTTAGAAGATCAATTGAATTGGCTACGCTCGGTACTCAATTAGCTATTATGAAATTATGTTTAATGTAATCGAGCAGTATAAAGTTAAACTAAATTCAAAGTGTCATGTCGACTCTCAGCTGGTGATCTCATTGCAACCTTAATTAAAGATAGACATGCACTTTTCTTCTATGAAATTTACAACCAACCTGGTCGCGTTTCTCTAAGTTATTAATATATAAAGCTAGTATACTCTGTACCATCAAGAGAATCATTATTTTTTCATAATTTAACATTCATATTCTTCATTTAGTCACATTGTTCTGAAGGTCAAAAAATCCTACTGTATGAATATCGCGTATAGCTATTATAAAAAAATCAAATAGCTGAAAGCATAACTCATTGTTATTGGTAGTTTTATTTTGTCAAATGTGATAATAGAAGTCGTTGTATAACAAGATGTTCAAAGTTCAATTGAAGAACTTTCATTTCATTGTATTATGTCAGCCATATGAAATCTTACCAAAGATTAGTTTCAAGCATCGATTCTTTCTGACTTTATTTGAGAAAAAACTGATTCACGATCAATTTTGATGTTGCTGATAAGAAAATAAAAATGTGTAATGTGATAAATAAGAGACTGATAGATTTTGTTGTATCTACGATCAAATTCTATACGAAGTCCAGTTCAGGAAAGATGTATTTAACAACGTTGTCCTTCGAAGTAATAACAGTCACTTCTATTCAAATGTCATTGCAGAACGGCATGACTTTGCATGGCATTTCAGTATTTGCTGATGTAACAATCAGAGACTCGATCAATGCTCTGTATTAATAACAAAATTTTTGAACATCAATTCAGAAATGATAACTCAAGACGCTCAAGCGCGACAGGCCACTCTGATGCGCAATTGCAGCTGAGTGCATCGAATAATTTATAGTTAAAATCATGCAATAATATGGGCTTGAATATAATGCGCATTTCATGTGGATGTCACTCTAGATTATCTATTCGTTTGTCATCAAAAATAAAAGTTTCAAAATAGTAAAAAAAAGAAACTCATTTTAGACAAACTACGGTAGTCGAGACAAAGTCTGTCAATAAATAAAGCTTGTCTATATATAGCTTATCATCTTTTGTTTCAAACTTCAAAAAAAGGTTTGACTCCAATATTGATTTAAGTCGATGTCTTTCTTCATAGAAAAAGCATCAATAAGCAATTATAGAAAATAATGAGGCTTGAAATCTATTCAAATAATAGGCCATCAACACCATAAATCAAAGAAAAACATGCTCTTTATGTTTTCTTCGTTTGTCTTTGGCAGCTTTTAATGATCCTAAAATTACTCTCTTGTTTGTGTTTTTACACATTAATAAAAGTAAAAATGTTTTTATAAAATTTGATGAATTTATCACTGATCGACAGTAGACAAAAAGACTTAAAAGTTTGATATTGAAATTCATAATAGTCCTCTTAAAAGTGATATGTGAGAAGAAGATTATTTTTCATTGTTAAATGCGAAAGAACATGAATACATGTTAACAAATCTCGTCCATTGAACGTATACATGTTCAAATAATATACGACTTTTCTAACTTAAAAAAAACTTGAATTCGGATCAATTACCGATTTGTTGAATTGTTCATTTAATTTTCTGTCGGTAGAATAAAAAAGCTAATTTTTAATTACAGACAACACGCAAAAAGTTCATTGGCGTATAACATATTTATGTCAATAGTCATTTGATTTCTTCTTCATATTTCATGAGTTGTGTTCGCTCATGATAAATACTACTATGTAATAATTATTGTTGCACCGATCAAACGAAAGAAAAGGTTCACTGACCGAATAATCACTTTAGTCAACAACATTCACACAATCTTCTTTTATTTTATTTTTTCTGTATATATTTTTTACTCGACTATTTGATAAAACAACGACATCAATGGTCAACCATAATATGAACAATGCCTGGCGTCTTCTTTGGGCTCTTATACATGAATGGTTCTCTGATACATTTGTTCGTATCTATGTTATGCGTCGACTACTTATTTCTCGAGCAAACAATAACAGTAATAATAATACTGGCAGGAATATTCAACAAAGTAAGTTGAAAATCTAATTTGTATAAAAAAAAAAGAAGAAATTCTTTGTATGATAAAAAGCAAAAGGTGCCTAAAGAATCGTTTGAATAGAGTCAACAGGCAGACATATAAATTGGATATAAATGAATCCTGTAGGTAAATGTTTGTTCTGTATATTTTATAAATTGATGAATGTCGTTTTTCGATGCTAAGTACTTTTTGTTCATACTGAAAATTTACCGAGATTGATTCCATGATAGGTACGATTGACTGTTTATTTTATTATGAGACGTCAATGACAATGAGTTCGATATTTTATGCCCAAGCAATAAAAAAAGAAAAGAAAAATCTCTGAATGACCTTGTATGAAAATTGAAAACGAAAATCTATTCATGGTCTACTACTGTATAAACAAAAACTAGGGAGAAAAATCTCTAAAGATTTTGTTTATTATCTTCAGGCAACATTGATGTGAAAAGTTCTGTGATGGTTCTTCTGATGTTTCGTTTTTTTTTTTGCACACTTTGTGTCTATACCAATCTGCACATATACGTACAACTTTTGTCGTTGCGAAAAAGAAAAAGGAGCGAAAGCGAATTTATCGATAAAGCCTGCGGTTAAGAACTGCTTGTGTGTATGTGTGCGTGTGTATGCTCGGTCGAACGTTGGCTGCGATTACAAAAAAAAGAAGAAGGAGGAGAATAGGGACAAATCGATAAGAAAAAGGAGAAGAAATGCAGTAGCGTTATTTCTTGTCTTCTGTATTCCATTGTTCATCATCACTTCAACCTACCATTACCTGTTTGTTCATTCATTTTCACTTTTCCTTCACTCACATTGATTTACAATTCGATTACGAACATAAACGAATAAGAGAATCAAAAGTTGGTATTTTATTCTTCACACATTCTACAATATCATCGCAGCTGATTCTGCTGTTGATTGATGTTCAAATTTCGACAGTTCACATTGCCATCTGACTCCATGTTGCATTATCATCGTGGTGCCTCTGTTATCAATACAGACATGGTGCCTATGGAGCAGCAGCAACAACAACCACGAGAACGTAGTCTATCTCCGGATAGTTTAGAACAACGTTTCTTTAAACATCATTTAATGCCAGATAGTGTTGATGATGATGAATCTTTCTTATCATCATCACCATCGTTAGTCGATTCAATTAATATTGATCAACAACAACATCAATTGAATTCAACAAAAACTATCGTTCATAAATTAACATCGAACGGTCTTCTTAGTACTTTATCGTTTATCAACGATAATGATAATGATGACGACGATGACGACGATGATATGGATGATGATTTCGATGAAATTCATTTTGATCAAGACGAAGTTAATTTACTTTTTTCTGACCCAGACGATGGTGTTCTATGTCGATTATCTAATGATTTAATTGATATGGAAGACGATTATGATGATGATGAGAGTGACGATTATTGTAAACGCACGCGTCCTATGTCTAATATAACGCCACCAAATCTAGTTATTTTATCATCATCATCATCATCATCATCGTCGTCGTCGACGTCATCTTCATCATCTTTGCAAGATCCACAACAGCTGTACTCTACTTATCGCTTTCTTGATCCCATATCTGAAGCTGCTAGTGAAGAAGAACGTCGGGCAGCTATATCAATAATTCGTCAACAACAAAAACATAAACATAGTACATCGTCATCATCATTATCCACAAGTGCTAATGGTCATTGTGATGGTGATACAACAACGAACGATGATCTTTCAACATTGAGTGACATTGATGAACAAAGTACATCGATCGATGAAAATTCTATTTTACAATCATCTATACTATTTCGCGATCAGCAACAACATATACATAAAAAAAGACGTCATAAAGAATTTCGTTGTCTAAGTTGGTCAACAAAGCACGAGAGTAAGTTCGCCTAACATATATATAAATCTATGCATTGATCGTTCGGATTAACTCGGTTAAAATATAAAATTTAACATAATCGATTTAACGTAAGTAAAAGTTACATACAATCGTATAGCACGTTAGGTATTCACAATTGATTTAATAGTTATAGCTATCATAATTGTATGTGACCAATGAGATTTGTTGATCATTTTTATGCATACCAAAATATAAATAATAGGATGTTATTACGTCAAGTTAACATACCAATAGTTACGACTAGTTCTTAAAATTCCAATGCTTTCATTATACGATCATTCGTTGAATTAGACAAACAAATAAAGACCATAAACAAAAGCTTTACATATATACAGAAGCCTAATCGAATTGATTTAATATTAAATATGAAATTAGCCAGTACCGATAAAACAAAAGATTTATATAAATATTGAGTTGTCAGTTGAAAGAATTGATCTCTATCTACGCCATGGTGTCAACTGTTCTGAATATTCTAATGCGGGTGTCTATCTGTCAGTTCTACCATTGATCATATCAGAAAATTCCACAGAAGAAAATGTTTGTGCACTAGTTGACAACTGTTCTAAGCATGAAGTCAAACCAAAAATAGATTTTTGTTCTTTCTTATTAATATTGTGACATATCCGAGGTTCTTCTTTTCTCTGCTCTCTGGCAGATATCTCTAGTAGATATACGAAAATGGCTCATCTAATTAATCTGTGCCTATGACTGTATATCTAACCATGTACACTTCGTTGATGACCTCGTTTTTTTCCTTCTTGTACATCGGGAATGATCTCATAGGAAAAGAACGAAGAAATAATCACTATGACATATTACGTTTCCTTTATGTTCTCTTATATTTTCTCTCTCGCTCTCTTTTCTTTGCTATATCTAACAATTTCTCATGGTACTTCTTGTTTATCCATACGATTTGCGCAGCGGGCACATTTCTTTTTTACATTTTCATCTATGGTTTTGCGTAGGATGAAAGAAAACGAGAAAGGAAAACTAGTTGGAGAAAAGCGAGGGCGAATAGGACATAAATATCTTGGATAACAGATATGTGCAGTTCTCACTAGTATTGTCGTCAAAAGAACAGGCAGGAGATATTTATATTATTTCTAGTAGCTTGCTTTACTTATAAACATTTTATCCAACGTATATTTTGCGTGCAAATTAAAGACAGGAAAAAAAGTAGAATAAGTATTTAAGAGTGCCACATTTGAGCACCTACTTAATTGAATCAAGTGAACAATGGCAGATTCAAATGAAGATTCGCGTATGTATTCATTATTAAAAACAGCAGTGTTCTTTTGTTTTTGCACTTGACTCGATTTTGTTTCTTATATAAAATAGCAAACAATTTGTAAGGTTTCTCTCAATTAGCAGTGAGTAACGAATCGATTAAAAGAAGAAACAATGATTTTACTAGACTATGCTATCGAAAAAATCTATCTGTAGACATATTTTGCTCGACGATATAACCTGTATGTTGTTTTCTTTTCTTTTTCTATTGACAGCAATCGATACCAGTGGTGGTGGTCCCGATGATACATTGGTGCGCCTACGTAATATAACAAAAATGTTTGGTTCCAAAAAACCCGAAGATGATGAATTACAGTTACAAAAGGTTGAAAAATTGGCACCAGGCGAGAAAATCAAAAATAGATTTGAAAAGTAAGTTCCATTGATTTACTTTTTTGCTTGAATAGATCGATAAATAGAAAAAGGAAAGGATAAAAACAAAGTTGATACCGAAAATAGACGAAAAACAAGAAATTAGGTGAGCAGCCACCCATGTGGCTGAATTACACAAGCAAAGAAGAAAAAATACTTGTATCGTTTCACATGAATAAATATTCGCAGATAAGTATAGCAACTGGTTTCTAATAAATCTATCATTTGAAAATGGATCCATCAATGTTAGCGTAAGTAGCTTTTAAGCTATTGACGAAACATCAATCTTGATATAAATTGAGGCGTATTTTTTTTACATTTAAATATCAAATCAGCCAATGACGTATATTTTCCTTTTCGTATTTTTTGTTTTTATAAGAAAAGAAAAACACTTGAATAAAAAACGGCGTAAAATATGTTGACCACAAAAGTACAGATAGAATTAGGTATTATTCGAGAGAGAGAGAGAGAGAAAGAAAAAGAAAAGTAAATGAATAACAAGACTTCTAATTTAGGAAGTCTTTTTTTAAGTAAATGTTTGACAGAAATTTAATGAGGCAAAGACCATATGAAGAAAGATGTTTTATTTTAACCATAATAGCTATATCATGATTACTTATTTTATAATAACATATTAATCTTAATTTCACATACGAAATATTGTTATTAAGACCTAGATTCAGTTCAGTTCATATGCCTAGAAAATTGATAACGCTATTTTCATCATTATTTATTGTTTTTTATGACAAGCATTGGCTTTTTCCAATTATTAATAAGCACTAATTTTGTTTTTCTTTCTTTCTACATTGATACTTTTTTCATAATTATAAAAATAATTAGTAGATATTATTAGAGTATTGTAGTGATTCGAAGTAAATCAAAATTTTTCATGATGTAGATTTGAAAATAAAAGTTCTTCCAACGGTGCTGAAAATGACGACGATGAAGATGATACACAATCAGCAGAATCTGATGGTGCTATTCGAACAACACGCAAAAAGAAACCACCAAGAGAACACGTAGGGACAATATTAGGATTTATGCTTTTTTTTTTTGTAAATTTGCTTTTGATAATGTAGGTTCCATACCATGAAATGGCTGAAGTTAAAGATAAATTCGAGAAAGGTTTAGTTGATAGCGAAAAACCCCGTGTAGAAAAACGTTTAGATGTTCGAGTGCAAAGTGGCCTGGCATCATCGAAAAAACAAGCATTTGAACAGGGTGAATTCGAACAAGAAACTGAATCACATGTCAACAAAGTCCAAATCGATGCTGATCTTGTTGCTGGCTTAACATCAGCAAAAAAACAAGCATTCGAACAACATAAAATTGATAATGATGCAAATCTGCCAAAATCCACTTTTATTGATGCTGAAGCATTTTCTGGTGCAACCACAGATAAAAAAGCTAAATTTGAAAAAGGTGAATTTGATCAAGAATATCATGAACATGGTTCAAATCGCGTACAAGCTGACGCTAATCTTCTTGTTGGTGCAGCAACGGAAAGAAAAGCTAAATTTGAAAGTGGCCAAGTATCGGAACGTGCAACAACGCCAGCACGTTCTGATGAAATAGCAGCTATGGTTGGAGCAGGTAATGCACAAAATAAACGTTCAGAACTCTTATCAAAAATTGAAGCTGAACAACAAGTACAACGTTCTGGTGATCGACACATCGATATTGATACTGAACATGGCTTAGCAGGAGCACGACGTGAACAATTAGCAACATTGGCCAATAGTGAATTTAAATCAACAGAAAAACATATCGATGTAACAACTGGTTTAACAAGTACAATTAAAGAACAGTATATGGCTGATACAAGTAAACCAGTAAAATCAACTGCTGCACCTGTTTCGGTCGAAAGTGGTTTAGCTAAAAGTCGTGCTACAGCATTTGAAAATCCCGAGGACACTTCTACAGTATTTAGTTTTAATCTAATAAAATGAAGACTAACTGTAAGTTTTGTTATTTATGCTAGATCAAACGAACAGTAGAAATCGATAATGAACTTCTTGAACGCGGTGTAGCCAAAGAACGTGTGGCTATGTTTAAAAATTTACAAAGTGGTGCACAACCAACAGCAAGTGGAGGCGGTGGAGACTCAAAATTACGTGTTGATGTAAGTGTTTTTTGTTTTTTTTTCTGTTTTACTTATTTAACTTGAGATGATATTTATTGTTCGTAAAAATTAAAGGATTTTCGATGGCACGTAAATGTGTGCCAACCTATAATAAATGGTTCGATTTTGAGAAGAAAAAGTCAACCGAACGTAGGTTTCTTTTTTCAAATTTGATTAATGGGGCTTTTCTTATTAATTCTTAAATAACAGAAAAAAGCTACTAACATAGGTGGGATTGCTTGCAAAAAAAACGTCATCCTAGATGATAATAATAATAATAATAATAAATAACTAATTTGCGTATATACAGACACACACACACATACACACACACATATATATATATACCATAAATGACAATTTCCTATGTTGTTTTCTTTTTAGCGTGTCGAATTCTCTGACACGCTTGTCAACATGAGTGTGAGCCTGAAGATAAAATCAACGGATACGAACAAAAGCGGTGTTTCCACCACCTCCGGTGAGGTACACTAAATGTGTATATTCCCAAAATATATATTTTACTTTTTTATTTTATATTTTTGTTCATTCGATTCATTTTATGAACATGTGTGGACACCCATTCATATGCGTGTTATTATCTTCAAATGTGTGCCTTTGTTATGTATTTGTGTGTGGGTGTGTGGGTGTGTGTGGTATACTGCTATAAGTAGATAAACGCTTCATCTTTGATTATTTTTCTAACTTTATCTTATTTTTTTAATTTTATCTCTTCTTATCTTTAATTTTAAAATGCATTATGTTTTCCTCTTGCTCTCAATGCACTGTTGCAATACTATAAATATTGATCTGGAATAAAAAAAATTAATTTATCGCCTTTTAATATACTCATATCCTTTCATTATATTCACACAACCTATTACTTCTCGATATTGATATTCGAGAAAGAGTTTGTATTTGCTTGTACATGCACCATAGTATACAGAAAACAGTATCAGATAAAAATAAAGAAAAAACAGCATTATTATTGAAATCTGTGCTATTAGTTTATACTACTTTATTGTCCTTCTCTAATTATGACTATTTGTTTGTCTGACATGTAAATAGTATATTTTATTGACAAGTTAAACATTCGAAGAGTTTTACTTATTTGCTCATGGGTATAAGTGATATATATGTTTTTACACATAATTTGCCTTTTTTTTCTATTCAAATAAAAAGAGAAACAGTCATAGTAGAGAAAAAATGACTATAGATATACTGTGCGACCATGCGACTCCTATATATGTATACGTATACACATGTGATAGACGGATTGTTTTATTGGTAAAGTCAACTTGCAGAGCTATAGAGTGATTGATATGCGTTATATACACGTATATTGTATTCGGGCATTGAACTAGAATAGATAGAAGAAGAGAGTATAGTTGCATAAGAGAAAAAGAAAAACGTGAGTAACCTTCGATCGTCAGCAGGCGAATGGATGTGTCCATTCATATATCCATTCTTTTCTTTTTCTTTTCTTTATCGAAATAAAGCAAAAAAAGGACCGAGTGCGAATAATTTATTGTCCGTTCTCTGTCGTTTAAAAGAAAGAAATGCAATGACTGCCTACGACTACTACTACAACCAACTACTATTACCACTGAGAAGAGACATTTGATTGAGCACATACATACATATTTATACATACATATATCAGAAGAGCTAAAGAAAAAACGGATGTCATTCAGAAGTCACAAAAGCAAGTACATGAAAACTGTGAGTAGTCAACTTGTATCATTTGTTTACCAAAAAGATAACTACCCATGTTGATTCCATTTTCTTCTGTTTTACTAACAAGTTTATAGATTGATTGTTTTTACTTTCTGTCTCATTCTCGTCTTTATTACAAAAACATGTTTTACTAGACAGAAATGTGGTGCGTTTGACTCACTTTCTTTTTCTCTTCATGTCTCTCTTTCGCTCTCTGTCGGAATCTTTTTTTCTTCTCTATTCTCTTTTATTTTATATGCCATTTTATATATATATATATATATTTCTATTTCTATTTCTATGTGTATATAGGAGAACGGGAACGTGGTTCGTGAAAGTGATAGGCGTGAAGAAATCTACTTTGAAAAGGGTCAAACAAAACAGCTTGTCGAACAGTGGAAAACAAAACAAACATCACCCGAACGAGATACGCCTGACGCCCAAGTAGTACGTGACGCTGAAATACTACAACAAGGTATATAATTATTATTATTATTATTATTCTATGTTTTTCTGTATACACCTACTTGAAGAGAAAAAGAGAATGAGAAACATATATATATATTTATAACCTTTTATACTAAAACGTGTATTTTAACTCATAGGTAAAGCAAAGAATCTTGTTGAATTGTGGAAAACGATGGATAAAGAGAATACACCACCTCCCGAACGACGTGGGCAACGTGCGATTACACCACCTTCTGATAACGACCGACGTTTACCAGCATCTGAAAATGTAATATTAGACATTATTTAATTGTTAATATTTTTTTCGATATACATACAGGATGAAGTGGCTTCTCAGAAACCAGGTTATGCCGACGATAAAGCTAATATTGAATCAGGTCATGCCAAGGCTGTCCGAGAAAGGTATAAGTTTAAAGTTTAGTTCTGTTTATGTTTGCATCTTTATCGACCTTTTGTTTTTTGAAATATCATCATTGCATGTCATTCTATATAGTGACGAAGAGCATGTTGGTATTGAGAGTCTTATCTCTATTGTTCATGACTTATGGAATCAGAAGACTAAGCAAGATGAGTAGGTGGCTGCTAGTATCTCTACGATTAATTTGAATTGCTTAGCTTTGATTTTTCTTTTTCTATTTGAATCAAAATAAAAAAGGCTACTAGCTAATTATATATTCGTTTTTTTTCTTTCAAAGACTTATGCAAAATGTTGAACAAAATAATACAACAACTACAAGAAAATCCTTGAAACAAGTCACACCACCACCGGATGGTGTTCGAAGGTAGAAACTATTCGATTAAATATACTAGAATTTAATCTAAATTCAAATTAGAATATCAACAACACAACAAGATACAGAACATAATTCAAGTGGTATTATAGAACAATACAATGATAGTGAAGAATTCGTACCAACTAAAGGTCAAGCTCAATCATTGAAAAATCGTTTTGCTGAATTTGAAAAAGATGCACTTAAAGTTGAAACAGCTTCAGCAAAAATAAAATATACACCAAAACGATTTGTTGTAGGTTTTTTATTATTACTATGAAATATGAATGAATAAAAGTCAACTAGCAATAATTTTTTGTTTTTTTAGGATACACCGGCACCAAAACAAGTCAGTGTTGAACCAGCTGTCGACCCAAATAAATGTTCTGTATGCCAGAAAACAGTATATGCAATGGAAAAAGTATTGAAATAGATTATGATGATTTTGTTTTTTGTATATTAATTATCTATGTGGTCGTTTCAGATCGAAGCGGACAAGAAAATTTATCATAAATCCTGTTTTAAATGTATGCATTGCAAATCGATATTAAAGTGAGTACTCGAGTAGAACCATCTACATTTTTCAAACTTGTTTTAGAGGAACATAATAAAGAATTCAAAATTCTCAACAATCAATCGTAGGCAGTTTTTTCTTGAATCCTCTCTGCCGTGTGTGATTGAAGAGCATGTTGTTTGTTTTTTGGATGTTTTTTTATTTTATTTTATATTTTGAAAGCAGATGTAATCAGCCAAGGTTATTTACTTTTTTCTGTTTTTAGGCTCGGAAATTTTACAGCTAACGATGGTCAAATCTATTGTAAACCGCATTTTCTTCAGTTGTTTGCTATTAAAGGAAATTATTCAACTGGCTTCGGTCTAAACGATCACAAGGCACGATGGTTATCAAATTCTTCTTCTTCTCCTTCATCTTCTCCTAGTAGTATATCCAATACACATGAGTCAGCAATGTCCAGCGAAAGTTAAATTCAGTTTTCTTTTCTGCTTATTTTGTGATTTCTTCTTTTTGGCCTTCATTTCTTTTTCTTCCTTTGCTTATTTATTCTTAATAATTATCACTAATAACAACAGCCAGGCAGCAAGATGTTTGTGTCACTTGTGATCTTCCTTTTTTTTTGTTGTATAAAATCAATTCCTTTTTTTTTGTTCTGTTCAAATGATTATAAAATTATATACATCCTTCTTAATCTCGTTTGCGCTATAGTCGCTTCTTTTTTTTCTTTCTCTCTGTTATTTGTCATCATGCAATATAGAAAAAAAAAATTAATTAAAACAAGAAAGTGTTCTTTTTATTTGTATTTTGTTTGCTTTATTTGTTATATTCTGCTTACACACAAAAAGATGAAATTTTTAATTCAGTTTTAGTGCCTTCATTAGTTATACAATCAAGAGCAGAAAAAAAGAAGTGTCACTGTTGAGCGAGCATAAATTAACTTTGTGTTGTCCGTGTTTTACACAAATTACTGTACTCTAGTTAATAGATCGAAGTGCAATTGCTTGTCAACTTTCACATATATGAAGTCATATAAAATATTAAAAAAATCATTTGAAACGAATTGTAATTATTTGACAAACCAGCAGACGTATTGGCAAGAAACAATATTCAATATAGTTATTTATTTTGAAAGAAAAGTCGGAAGTTTCTAGTTACGTATTAAAGAAATCTATTTGTGCACGGCAAACTAATTATGAAGGCATACATTTCATATGATCTAATAGTTTTATGAAGTTTCTTTGAAGTAGATCACAACGGTTGTAATTTCTGAATTAGAAAAAACAAGTTCTCTCAAAATTTTATCATAATTAGACGTAATTTATGTTGATCTATAGCTAATGAGTACTTTAAGAGCAAATTTTCATCATTATACTTCAAGGAAAAAGAATCTTTTCAAAAGATTTGATAAACTAAATGCTCGATTCTTCTTTGACTTATGGTATCATCATATTTTATTTGAATAATCGAATTGATCTTACTAAGGGTAACTTTGACGTATCTGAAATATTGATGACTCGTTGAAACATCTCAATTTTGTATTCTAAGAATCGTGTATTTTATTAAATTAGACTGAAATTTCATTACTTTTAAGTTTCCGACATATCTCACACGTAGGTAAATGATTAATTAGACTGTTCAAAAAAAGTTTTGTGTGATGCTTTCGTATGGAAACAACACCGTAGAGAAAGTCGTACGATCAGTGTACAGGAAGAACTATTCGTGCAAGAAAATAAAATCAATCATGTAGTTAGTACGAATTTATTTGCTCAATGAGAGATTAGCAAACTCAATGATAGTCAAGAGAAAATTGGATGTTCAATATTGAAGTAAAAATATTTACGCTAGAAATCTTAATTTTTCTTCCGATTCATTATATTATCATTGAAATAGAAACGAATAGTTGATGTTAAACTAGCTACTGTCATGTAGTACAATAAAATACTGTATGGCAAATGACAATGACAAAATTATTAATACTTTATTAATTGATATGAAAAAGCTGATAAAATATTAATCGGACATTAGCGGAAAAATTTTAAAGCAAGAAAATTATACATTTACTGAAAACGATATATATAGGTTACTAAAAAAAAATCAGTTCATATGTATCACATTTTGCGAAAGAAAATGTTTACTTAATAGTTGGCTTATTCATTCAAACTTCAATTTTTTTGATTCACTTGGTTGTTCTTCCAGCCATTTTTGATAGATCAATGCACGCCGTTCAAGATCAGAATCAAAAGGAGGTAAACCTTTATATTTAACAAATACAAGTTCATAAGGGTCATGTCCAATGCCATCAACAGATCGGTCAACAAATATTGGACTAACTCGATTATTACATGCCTCTCTTTCTTTTTTACGAAAATCCCAACCTTGATATTTTATTTGTAATGATGCTATTTGATAATTAGCATGGAGAATAAGTTGACTTGCACCTATTTCACCATTGAAAACAGCATCACTATAATCGTTTTTACAATTAAATACTCCTTGTTTTTGATCAGTTAATATCGATAAACCAATTCGATCAGTGACTAGCAAGTAGCTTTGTACATGTGGTTTATGTTCACAATTAATTGTTGAACCTACAAGTTTTATTTCGTCATTCAAACGTTTAGTAAATACAGTAAACCACCACATATGTTCATCATCAAAATAGGCAGCAAAATAGGGTCCACGTATTGATGCATTCATAAAGATAAAGTATTTGTATAAACTTTTATTGATCATGTTTCGCGATAGAAACCACCCAAAAGTACCAAAATCGTAGCATTTGTTTTCATGTTGAATATAATGTGCATTGGGTGGAAGCGATGGTAAACGTGATTGATTGACTGGTTTTTTACCGACTTGCTGTAAAATAAAATAATAATCAGCCGGTTGTGATGGATGAACACCATAGCGAATAAAAAATTGAAGATTGCCTAGCGATTGTACATCTGTATCTGCCCAAACATAAATAACTAAGACTCGCCCAGCATCAGTTGATTGTGTTGATCTTAATTTTTGTTTTATTGGAATCGTACCACTACTTGATGATGATGATGATGATGATTGATTTGATATGTATGAATATACAATAAAAATATATGGACATATTAATAAAATAAAGTGAGTTGATCCATATCGTCGTGAATAATCCATCTCTGAAAAAGTGAGAACTTTCTTACTTTATTTTTCTTTATTCCGAATTTATCGAGTATATAATTATATTACATGAATAGAACTGTTTCGAAGTGTACATGGTTTTAGTAAATGGAGACTTTATTTTTAATAAATTACATATAATTATCGGTTTTTAGTGCAACAAAAACTGAATGTAAAATTTCTCCAATTCATAATTACAAAATGCGAAAAAAAAGAGAATCAGAAAGAATATATTTGCATAAGAAGAGTTTTACTAATAGAGAAAATTATTTCATGTCTGTATACTGTTGAGAATAGGTACTTAAATTTTACGGTTCCAACATGTAATTTAATCAAATAGCTTTATTTTTGCATATATATATAGACTCAATGTTTCTAATCAAGGTTTTTCATTGTTAAATTATATTACTATATCATAGTGTAATTAAAAGTTTACTTAAAAAGACGATATGAGTTTACACATATGTGATCTCTAGAACACAAGCAATAGGAATATTAAATTGTATACGAACTAATTCTGTAATGTGAAAAAGATGCGAAGCGCATCAATGATATATCTGATCATATATGATAAAACTATTGTTGTATGCGAGTTCTTGCATAAATTTATATGAAGGATTCATTTCTAATTCATGTTAATTGCCTGTTACGGAGAGGACAACTAATAGAAATATCAATAAAAAAAGTATTTATATTTGATTTTAACTGATTATCGATAGAACTTCAACATAACGAAGCAATATCGAATTGTGTAACTAAAAAACAAAACCTAAGCGAAATCCACGGCAAGAACACACATATTGCTTGTCAGAACATATTTGATGTTTCTTAAACAGTAATTGGTCGTTTGTAGGATTGATCCTAAGAAACTTTTGGGCATAAAAAAGCTTAATATGCCCTGGAAAATATATTCTATGATCAGTGATATAGAACGATTGTGAAATTCATTATGAAGAGAACCCTATTAAATAGACTATCAGCATGTATGTAATGAATTTATGATTCCTTATCTATTATCAACTGTTTTTCACATTAATCATAGCCAACATTTGACAAAAATTGTGTTTAAAATTGCTTGATTTCTATCATCAAATAGAAACTTCAAATCGCATGGTTTGTCGGTTGATAAATTAAAAAGCAAGGCAGAAAATAAACTCTTAAGTTATACATCGTGAAAGTAAGAGAGAAAGAAAAAAAAGAAAAGAAAAGAAAAGAACTAATAATAGTCTATATTACTGTTGCAATTTGTGGCTTCTAAACAGTGTTGGCAGCGAAGAAAGCAACTAGTCGTATTCAATTATCAAACCCTTGTTGAATCGACACTGTTTGCGTTATGTAAACGTTGGTGAGTTATGAATGCCAGGGGGGGGGGTTTACGGCATAACGTCCCCTGTATTATGTGCTGATACTAATTATGCTTGTACATATATTTTCTCAAAATAATTTCTTAATNGGTTAACCGTTGGTTTTTACGCTGTAAAGTCGCTAAAATGGCTTAAATAACCGCGGTTAACCGATTTTTATAAAAATTGACCGCGGTTAACCGACGGTTTTCGATCGATTTGTGCGACATGGGTAGCTTGTTACTTTTTTCCCTGTTAGTTGGTTCTATTATAATCAACTCCTTTTTCTCTTTTTTTCTTCTACGTGACTCTAAAACTTCTTCTGGAAGTCTTGTGAAATCGTACAACTTATCCTTGTTGTATCTACTGTTTCATTGATTAATTCTAATCTATTAAATAAATTAGTGAATTCTCATTCAAGTTTCATTTTCTTATTTACTTCATCTTGTCATTTGCCGTCATTATCATTGTGGCATTTGTCAATACTTAAACAGTCGCGCCTTCACCTAAATCTCAATCGTTAAAATAACGACGTGACAGGGGATACAATTAGTTTATTACAATCGAGCCGCATCAATTTTTTCATAACTTTTAGTAAAACATTTAAACATCTCTCAGGAATATCAAGAAAAACTGAGTTTCAAATTGATAAGTTTTACGTAAGATTATCGCTATGATAGTAAAGAACTGTGAAATATACGTAAAACTGCTCTCCTATTTTAAGATACGATAATGGTGGAAGCCCATGAAGTTTTTATAGATCTCAATTATAAATATTGGTAGAATCCAATGTTCTTGTTGCAAACTATGAGAAATGAAAAGCAATCTAAAAAGCTTCGCAATAAACTGATCTTTTTCAGAAGTGTTGTTTTACGAAGTTTCACGATCAGATTTGCAATTCCGTTTTTGTGCTATATGAGAAGAGGTGAAATTGTCTTAACTTATTTTTTCTCATTAACAAAATAATTTGAATTGATTTTTCAGATAATTGCATTAAATAAATCTCCTAAATGATCTACTCATTTACAGAAATTTTCTTTCAGTATCCTAGCTGACTCGAGAAACTTACATATTGGTAGAACTAAATGGCAGTTACATTTTGGTCGGAAAACATTAAAATGAATCTCACTTTCACTTTTCCATTCTTGTATGAGGAAAGAAAAAGCAAGAAATAGTCGTAGTTCTGTCAACTAGAAGGGAATTTTTTCATCATTATTTGTTGAGACGTTTTTTTACTAAAAGAATAAAAGAATAAGAAAATAAAAGAAACAACACTCATTAATATCTCGCCATGAGAATCGCGAAGAAAAAGCAGTGAAACACGTTAATTTATATGAGCCAGTTCACGCAAGCCACACCCGAACCAGCTCAAACCGGGTCATCCGATTTTGCTTAATTTTAGGAGTGTCAATTTAGCTCATTTTATTTAAATTTAATAAGTTGTTTGGATGCATACTCATCATTGCTATGAGGAAAATACGTGACTTTAACAGTAGTAAATACTAAATGAGAGAAGAACCACCTATTTTAGGTTAATATTTGTACATAATTGTCAAAAAATTTCTCTACTGATTTTGTAGAATCCGTTATCTTTCTTCTTCAAAATACTGGGATATTCATAAAAATATATTCTATAGCACAACTCGTAGAAGAACGACTAGCTTTAACTGTAGAAATCAAGAAACATGCTCAAATTTGACTTGAAATAATAGCAATCAAGTCAAAAACTATGTTTATCTACTAATTTTGAAAATTCAACTAATTTGAATTTGAAACGAGTTAATTTTAATTTTTTAAAATTTATTTCTCGATTTAATAATTTTTTAAAATTTAGATATGACACACCTACTCGATTTGATACAAGTTGTAGAGTGAAGAGTGAAGAGAATTTTTACGAAAGCTGTTTTGAAAAATACTGAACTCTCGAGTTTTTATTAGTATTTTACCAAAAGGTCCAAAAATGAGCACTTTTATCGAGCTTATCTTCATGTGGCTATATCTCGGAATTGGCTCTTTAGAATGAGCTGAAATTTTCTGCACTCATATAACTTAATGAGTCGTATATAGACCTGTGACAGGCCAGAACTGAAAGCTGTACTCGTATTTCCTAACCAGTTCTTTTTAAAAGAACTGAACTAGTCATCCATTCTCTCTCTGTGTAGAAATATCCAACTATTTTGCGATATAGACTAATATAATATAAAAATATTATCTATGTATCTCTGAAATAATACACACAGTTACCAGTTGTCGAAAAAAGAACTGGTGATACCCACCCCCCTCTTATAAGAGACCCCCCGGAAGAAAAAGTTTGTCCCATATAATAGAAGTCCCCCTTTAATTAATTAATTTTTTGCTAATTACGAACTTTAATTAGCGTTTTCCCATCAAAATATGCCTGATTCTTAGCGTTTTAAGCTGGAAATATTAAGAGAATGTGTTCACAATTATAATGACACCCTTAAAACTCTAAAAATCCTGATGGAAATCCTGAAAATCACCTTATATTTCTGGAAAACCTTTTAAATTAAATACTAGGGGGAAATGTGGCTCTTAATACAAGACCCCCCTGGAAAATTTTTACGCTGGAACATAATAGAAGACCCGGGGTCTTTTATTGTGGGAGGGGGAGGGGTTTACTGCGCATCTCCCATTCAATGCAGTTGACGATGCCACATGCGTTGGATGCAAACTCGTCTGTAAAAATGGATGGGGCTTAAACATACACCAACGTACTTGTGTAAATAAACAAATCATAGATATACACAAGAATGCTAGAAAAGAAGAAAGAAAGAAAGAAAGAATACCCTTGCCTTGCGGCTACCTTTCAGTATAGGGTGCTGTCCGGAGACAGTTTCAAGAGCCCGATATTTTTCCTACAACTATTACTAGCTGCAGCTCTGGACAGAAGGCCGGCCTGACTCAGAGTTCCTTCCGCTTAATTACTTAAGCTTCCCATGCATACTGACTAACCACATACTATCCATGAGGATATTTTTATGTATGTCACATGTAATCAGCGTGCTATCGGATGGGTGATCCGAGACAAAGCAGCCGTTAGTAACTTGTCCAATGTTACTCTATGGATGATGGCGCCGAGGTTTGAACACACTATCTTGTGGATATGTGCTAGAAAAGAAAAGATGCTAGGAACACGGCAACATCTGACTATTTCATGAAATGTGTAAATAATAGATATGCTATTCAGGAACGATAAAAGTCGATATATCTGTCCAGATAAAGATTATGGTAGGTTGCTGAAATCATAGTGTCCTGCAGCAAATGTAAAAGCGTGTGCAACATTGTAACTGGAGGAACAAGGTGTGCAGGTTTAATGACTAAAGTTTACAAGCGAGTACTTGTGAGGTATGACGACGATTACCGAAACCAGATCCGCTTGTGGTCTGGAAGTCTCAGCCTGATGGATATGGTAGTGCCTCATTTGCAACTGGTAATAATCCTATGAACAAGATCCAATCGTAAAAAACTATACTTTATGTGTATGTCTTTGTGTAGTTCTGGATGTTTGTGTTTTTGAATAGTCCTCAACGTGTTGCTGATCAACTATGTTTGTTCTTCGCCTAAACCGGGTTTCCGGCATTGGCATTTTCTTCTTCTTTTTTCTAGCGCACTTCTATCATATTCAATTGACATCTATATTAGACAGAGATATTCACATATAACTCAACGAACCATTCGAGCAATAGATTTTCTTAGTACCGAAGAGCGGTTTAAGATAAGCTACACTCACACGCTACACACAATAGTATGTGTAGCTTATCATTTTTATTTTAACCAATCAAATTGCGTTCCACATAATACCTATTTTTGCTTGGTACTTCACGAGTCGATTGAGAAAAAACCCACTGATGTGAGCATAAAGGGACTAAGTATTAATGCTTATATTTCATTCATTTTGTTTTTCTCGCTAATTTGATAACGAGACTTTGACATTATCTTTGATTAAAATAATGTGCGACACTAAGATAATCATTGATCAAGAGACTCAACAGTTGCTAATCGACAGCACAGCTAATCTGATTAAAAAAATTCAAGAGGATATCAAAAAAGACACGGAACTCTCTGAAAGAACATATGAAACTTGCGACAATATATTAATGCAGGCAAGTAAGAAATACACGGAAATACAGATGGATTTTCTTGAAGAAACGAAAATTCTTATTAACAAAGTAATAGGCAATCCAGAGAAATGTTATCATAAAGCCTGGGTGCACCTGATGGACATATACGTGTCAGCATGTGAAAAACTGGCTGCTCCGATTATGCAAGTGGTGAATTCTGTGGCCATTGAAAGTTAACGGTTCAAAAATAAATATCGATTATTTATTGCTGGTACTGTTACTTGTTCCGTCGTTAGTACAGTGCTTGCTGGAGTTCTAATTGTCCATTACTTACCTGCATTCTGTTTTACGTTTACTGCGGGTGGGCTGGCTGTGGCAATCGGTGGGCTGATTGTGGCAATTGGATTAGGTATTAGTTGTGTTATCGGAGCGATCAACTGCTCACAAATACGTGCTGTGTATGATCGATGTGTCACTGAGTTAAAAACATTGATTATGAAATACATGCCAGCGTTGCTCGGTAAGTCGATCGATACTGTGACCAAAGAACAGTTACACCAAGCAATCAAAGATGGACTGGACGAATTCAAAATAAAGGAAGATATTTGGCTCGATAGAGATATATTAGAAGCATTACAACGTCAAGTGGATCGTAATCTGGCAAGACTAAAAGAAAGTATCTGATGTGTTGAAGTCCATCATTAGTACAAAATTTCTGTCATCTATAATCTTGTCAATAGAAATCTTTCTGTCTATAATCACAAATGAAGGGTGTGATTTTATTAAAAATATATAAAATCAAAAGCTAGTAAGATGCATTTCATTTATTGCTAAAGTAATCTTACGAATTGCTAATGATTTGAAGGATGATGATATGGACAGAATGTTTTCCCGGAACTGTTTGGTTCAGTTGGTGCGGCGATGGTGCAGAGTAAACGGCAAGAGGCTTAACCTTTGAGCTATTGTGGTTGGTGTTCACTTTTTTTTCGAATGATTAATATTTGGTATGACTGTTAGACAGAATTGATTTTATCGCCACTCTAGTGAAACATCTTGTAAGTAAGATCTTGAAATCTTGGGATTGGTAGGTAAGATCTTATCAAGATCTTTAAAAGATAATTCGCTTGTTCAGATCTTGTCCTATCTGATAAATCTGTACCT